CGACGCGCTCATTGCTGCTTTAGTAGCAGCCCCATAGCAACACCTGCGTGCATAGATCACGGGGACAGCGAGTTATACCAACTAATACAAGTTGGCAGAGCATCCAATCGGTGCGTATGTACCTGCTCACCCGTACCGTGCTGATGCCACACAAACACGCCGTGTTGCCACAACCGCCCGGGAGAGGTGATTGTAATCAGTGCTCACGAAAAGGCTATTTATCTATGCTACACCACGCCCAGTGTGAGAAGACACAACGCGCCGTCGATGCCGCGCAACAGACTCGAATCCTATATCGTTGGTACAGAGTTGCGTGGCGTGCTGCGGTGGGTGGGTGTGAGGAAGGCGGCGAAACACTGGATCGGGTAGCGTTCGGCGTGTGGTGGGGGGCCGTGCCCCACGCACGTGTTTTGCGTATGGGCTTGTTTTGGGTAGCTGGGTTGATGTGCGGTTTATCTTCCTGTCTGTGATTGGCCGGGGGTTGGGTGGCTTTCTGGGTGAGGGTGGGTTCGCAAGCTAATGCCCCCCTTCATCCGCTACCGCCGCTAGAGTAGGCCGGAGAATTAGTGGAAAGGAACAACAAGGTAGTCAAAGAGCTTGAGGCGACGCAGATGAAAGGAGTGAAAGTCATCCTAGGATGCTCCAAGCGCATAAGTAGTGCAGCCGCCAGGGCAGAGCTGGCGACCCAATCCCTACGATCGGGAAGAGACGCAAGAAAGCTAAAATGGCAGTATCGCATGTGCGGTATGGGAGAGGAGAGGTTGCCGAGAACAGCTTGGGAGGCCAAGTGGGCAAACAAGAAGAGGGGTAGACAGCCCACGAAGTGGGTCAAGGTTGTAGATGACGTATGGAAAGAGTTCAAAATCGACGGTGAAACGCTGGATGCAGAGGGTCTAAATGTGTTCAAGGAGAAGATATATGTTGCTTTTCCCGAGAGAGAAGAACAGAATATAACCAAAAAAACAAGGATAAGGATTGTCTGGAAATGTACGGAATGTTGAAAGATGGAATAGGTACCTACATGGACCAATGGATGAAGGGACAATGACCTTCGGGAACGTGGACGAATATTTAGGAAGGTAAACGATGAAAACGACAAGTTCAAATGTGCGGCTCCGAGTGCGAAGGCCGTGTTCATGTAGTTGCGGCATGTCAAGTTGTAGGAGAGGAAGTGTCCATGACTGAGCTGGGAAAAGTAGAAGGAAGGTACAGGGAGATGTTCGAGGCATGGAATAGCCATGAGAAGACGGTAACTGTATTGGGGCATAGGAAGTGGGTTGAACAGGCGGGAAATGATATCGATAGGATGAATAGAGTAGGGAAAAAAAAATTGAGTCATCTTCGGCGAGGTAGGAATGAACGAATGGCCATCTGTGATCGGTGCTGAGGGAAAAATGGTTCGTTCTCCCGAGGACGCGTGGTCAATGGTCTAACCGCTAAGGCATGCAAAAGATAAGAGTACGCCCCCACCCTCTACTATCCGCCCTCGGCGTCGGGTGCCTTTCCTGCTGGCTGATAATCACGTGGTAAGGTGGGGTGGGCTTGATATTTACCCCCAGCTATTAAGCATTGCTGCACGCTTGATACTTACGGCCGTGTTGTTGTTCCACGTCCCGGCGGGGATTGTTGGGTTGATCGACATGCTCGAGACAGGACGTCAAACAGCTAGCTGACCACGTCTGTTCTCATGTATCGCGTTTTTCCACGTTGTGGGGCGTGGGGGGTGATAGGATGATGCCAGCCGAGTACCTGGTGTGCCTGGCGACGTACGGCTCGATCCAGGCCTGGGGCGTGGAGAAGGGTTTGGTCGTCGGGCTCGTACTCGCCGCGCTCGGCTTCACCGTCACGTACGCGCAGGTGATGGAAGATGGCATGGGTGATGGGTTGGTTGGTAGATGCTGTGGGAAGGGGCGGTAGCGCTCTTATTTATCTTCCTGTCTATCTCTTTGGTATCATCGTTGATGGAAAATCGTCGCTGGTAAGGGAGGCAAGGAGCGCACACAGAGACAAACCAGACAGGACTTGCACCAAATTCCGCGGTGGCGTTTTCCGTAAGTTTCGTTTCGAATTGGGCACGTTCTTCGGTGGGCCTAGTATCACCCTTCTCCTACCTCATGTGTTTCAAACGAACAAGAGTGTTCGTGATATTTTCCCTAGTGTTCTCCGCCCCCCTTCCCTAAGCGACTCAACAACTTTGGAAATATATTGTCGTGGGTGCCGTCACGCTCTTCCATCTCCGAAAGAACGATGGGTCATATTTTTCCCTTCTTTTCCGTTTGTGTGTGTGTGTGTTTTCTGTTGTCTCCAGGTTCATCTCCAAAAGGAAAACAGGTCGTTTTCCTCGTTCTTTCCGTTCTTTTCTATTTTAGGGTGCTTTCTCCTTCATCTTTTTCTTCTTCTGTTCTCACGTTCGTCTCCGAAAGTACGAACGGTTATTTCCCCCCCCTTCTTTTCCATCTTGTTGTTCTGATCCCAGGTTCCCACGGTGATGAAGGCACGTGTGAAGGCGAGCACCGTCATGCGAACGTTCGAGGAACGCGTGATCCTCAAGGCCCACCAGGAGCAGGCGGTGGTCCTCGAGCTACAGGTACATGCAAGACCGAGCAATCATTCTGGACAAACTATGGAAGCGGTTAAGATGGGTTTTTGGTTCGGGTTAGGGTCTGCTTATCCCTGCCGGGTCTTTTTTTTCGAGTAGTACTCGGAGTACTGGCTTTCTTTGCGAAAGCAGTCCCAGCTCGCGTTTGTTTATGTGAGGTTGAGGAACACTCTTGTTGTCTCTTCCTCCTGCGTGTTGCCTTTCCAACTTGGACGCAGTAAATTATCTCGAAGCAAACAGATTGATTGGACCCTGCTACGTTGCCGAACCAGGTAGATTCTCAAACGCCGAAGGCTCGCAAAGTTTGACTGCCTGTGGGGCCCCTTCCATTCGCGTCCATTTCCCATACTTTTTTCGCCGCTCCCCTTATCTATTGCTTGACATTCAGAACTTGCGATGTAGTATATCTGCTCTTTTCAACGGCACCGTGTCTCTGGTAATCTATTTCTCTGCGCCCCTCCTCCCCTCCCCCTCTCACTCCGATGCTTTCCTACGGATCTTTTTCTCTCTCCCCTCCACTGTCTTTTGCTCGTTCGACACTACTGTCCTATTCGCGCACCTCTCGCGGGAAAACCCACGTGCATGCAAAACACGCAGGGCTACATCTTTTTCGGCTCCGCGGTGCAAATCTTGTCTGACGTTATGGACCGCATCGCGTGGGGCATCGACCCACCCCCGACCCCCAACGCCGGGGCTCCCGCCACAGGCATCTTCAGCAACGTCTGCGACGACAGCAACCATTCCACCAGAACTGTCGGGAACCAACTCCAGCAGCAGCAGCAGCAGCAGCAGCAGCAGCAGCAGCCGCAGTCATACCTGAAAGCCGCCGCGCATTTCCAGCCCAGCGGCGAAGGGACCACTGCTGCGGGTGTCATCAACCCCCGCGGGGACATCTTGAGCCCGGTGTTCAACCGATCCGGAGCGGTCTACCGGTCATCCTCGGCTACAGCCGCGGCGGCTGTGCCCTCCTCGGCACTGCCCGGGTCCTCTCCCATGTGGACATCCTCACAGCAGCAGGGAGGGGCTTCTTCCCAAGGAATATCATCACCCCTAGCTCACTCGCTGGCGAGAACAAGGTCAGTCGGGGGGACGTGCACAGGGGTCCCTGGGGCCGGCGGCGGCCGGGGTCGACCGTTCCACAGAGCCGGCGGCCTGCTGCCAGGTGCGAGCGAGCGTCTGGAGGCGGAGCAGGAGTCGCAGGCTGTGCTCGCAAATGACAGCACCAGACATGACGGTGGTAGAGGCGGGGCTCACTTCTCGGTCCCCGCACAAGAGACGACTGACTACGAGGCGATGGAGGAAGGGGGAGCTGGTGGGGACGGGGGCGCGGGCAGCAGCGGCGGAGCGACGGCGGCGGTGGGGGTGCGCGCGCGACGCCCGCGCGGGGCCAGTCTTGGGGAGGAACAGAGGGTCGGAGAGGGTGCCGTGCAGGAATACATGTCGGTGAGTACCACTGTACGGGGGTCAGAGATGAGAGTGACAGCCCGTTAACAGAGGAGTTGTTGGTGAATGGGGAAAATGGGACCGATAGAGAGAGAACAAACAACCTGAAGGGCAGAGATCTCTTGAAGATTGAAAAGAACGTAGAGTGTTTGAGGCGCTTGATGCGTGTCGTGCGCGAATAACTTATGCATGATGAGCTTGGAAGGATATCCCCGTTATTGATCCACAGTCATCGACCTCCCCCCCCATCGTCCGTGTTCCGTCTCTCCCTCCGTCGCTCGTGTGGCCCTGGAAACAGCTCTGGGCGAACGGCGGCGGGTCGTTTGTCGACAGCCCAGGCCTTACCGGCAGAACGGGCGGCGGCGACAGCAGCCCCGGTTTCTCCGGCCGCGAGACCCGGTGTCCCTCGGTGGTGTCTCTCCTACCGGCCTCCGAAGAGCGAACCCGGCGCGTCATCTTAGATTTCTCGAACGTCGTGAGTGGTTGCCTGTCTGAAGCCTCGAGCATAATGAGCCATTTGCAGCATCGTTGGTTGTGTGCCCGTCTGACGTCTTGCACCTCGTGGACTATTGCAGCAGCGTGGGTCGCATGCCTGTCTGATATCTCGAACCTGGTGGAATCGTGAGGCAGCATTTGAATCCTGTGCCCTCTGAAACCTCAAACGTCGTGGATTATTTTCGGCAGCAGCGTTTGGGAGGGAAGAACCCAGAAGGAACCCCTGATTGATGCCCGAACAGCTAGCCCCATAGAGTATTTCCCGCTGCCGGTGAAGTAGCTGATTGCGACGGACTCCGCCGAACTACTCCCGGCACAATGGCGTCGTGGTAGGAGTTTCCCGTGGAGAAAGCGTACACGCAACCACGCAGCGGTCGCTTACCGGCTGGCGCTCTGCTCTGCAACGCTCGCTGCCTGCCGGTATACAGGACATTCGATATCCCCCGCTGGACCAGTTTTTGAAATCCCGACACAAATGTCTGCCGCCTCCGCTCCTTCCCCCGCCCCCCCACGTCTCTCCGGGAAAACCTGCCACACAGGTTGGCGTTGATGCTACGGCGGCGCGGTCGTGCTTCTTGATGCTCAAGATCGTGATGAGAACCAGCGGGGTCCACGTGGTGTTCGCGGGCGCCACCCGCACGGTTCAGGCGCTCCTTCGCTCCCACGGGGTCATCACTGACGACGACCCGGTGTTCAACAGGTGCAGGCAGGCGGTGTACGTGCGTGCGTGCGTGCGTGCGTACGTGTCACGAGCTTGTGTCCTCGATGTCGACTTTTCTTGCGTGGTTGAAGACCTGGGCAATTTTCTCCCAAGTTCTGTGTGTTTTCTGTTTTGGATTCCCTCGTTTGTTCTTACTACGTACTTGGTGGCCAGTGGCGGGGGGGGGCGTCGCGAGTTTGCAGGGACACGGATGGCAGCCCCTGCTTATTTCTCCGCGTTGTGTAGTTTGCTTGCACTCTAGGGCTTCTTTGTCTGGTCTCTCCCTCCCTCCCTCCCTTTCTCTCTCTCTCTCTCTCTCTCTCTCTCTCTCTCTCTCTCTCTCTCTCTCTCTCTTTCTCCTCCTTTCCCCTTGATGATCATTACCGTGGGGCGTGTGTCCTTAGCCTTTCCCGAAAAAAACGTTTCGGAAGCGAGCCGGCAAGTCCTCTCCAGGAAACACTGTCACGAGTCAGCCTCGAGAGCAACAGCTTTCCACCGCGTCGCAGTCTTGTCCGCCTTTTTGAGCCCAGTGCACCACAGTTAGCGGGCACCCCCCCCCCCCATCACGCGCGCACCACACCACTCTAGCCTCGACACCGCACTGGAGTGGTCCGAGGAGATGATGCTGGACGAGCGGAGGGAAGAGATGCTTCTTCGCGGCGGGGGAGTCACGGCCTCGCCGTCCCTCGGCGGCTCCCTCCTCCGACAACAGCAGCAGCAGGCGTGCTTAGCGGGGACGGTTCCCCCTCCCCTCGCCCTGACGGCCCAGGCCCAAGGCCGACACGCGGCGGAAGAACCAGCGGAAGGTGGAGGGGGATTGCCGCCGGTCGAGAGCAAGAACGAGGAGGGGGAGGGGGAACAGGGCCGCCCCGGCGCCGCCCCGCCGTCGCCGGCGGAGGCGGTCGTGTTTCTCGAGGACCACTACCTCAGCGCGGGGACTCTACGGAGACGGAACTCTTTTCGCACCCAGATCTCCGACCGAGGTACGGACAGCCGGCTGGCTCGGAAAAAAGAGGGTACATCATAAGAGGCTTCGATGAAAGAGGGTACCACCATATCAGAGGGGATTCCGATAGGAGAGGGTCGAAATCGGCTGTCACAGACTCGACCCAGTTGGGCACCCTCTTTTCCTGTGTACAAGGGGGCTTCGACATTTGAGGGTACTTCGTCAGATGGGGCTCCGCTGTAGGAGGATCGACATCAGTGAGGATCGACATCAGTTGTCACGAACTCGACCCACTGTCGTATACGTCTAGTTGGTAACCTCTTGTTCCGGAGTGAGAGGGCGCTCCGATAGGAGAGGGTCAAGGGCCTTCGTCGTACCACCGTCTCTCGTAGTAGTCACGACTGTAGGTACAGTTGTTGCGTGTGCTTGCTGGTAGGAGTGAGTTTGGCAGGGAAGTTTGGGTGGGCTTGGGGGCGAGCAGTTGGGCTTGGGTGGCATGGTTGGGCCTCGCTTTGTGGGTGCGTGCCTTCGCGAAAGAGGAGTGCCCGGTGACGTTGAGTTTGTCATGCTGGTAGGGTGGAGCTAGGTACGCGTAGCTGTTTCTTCTCTCTCGTTCTCTCACTCTCTTGCTCTCTCGCTCTCCCCCCCCCTCTTTCTATCCCCCTGTATCTCCCCCCCTCTCTTATCATGGCCCCACTTCTCCGTACACTCAGTCGTTGCACAGTACCTGTCTTGCGTTCCGCCCATATTTCGCTGTCGTCATGGCTGCCCACCCCTTCCCCGGCTTCCTGATTTACACCCCTCCCGTGCTGTCGCCGTGTGCAGCCTTGGACAACCCTCTGGTCGTCGGAGATGTTGGATCTTTGCAGTTTATCCTGGAGGACTACCTGGAAGTTGACCGTTACCACGTGCGGCGATTTTGGTTTTCGGGCTCCAAACGCGGCGCGAGTTTCCCTCTGTTTGTACTATTTAATAGTCGCGACTCTGATTGCTTAGCTGTGCAGCATGTTGAGGGTCATGTTTATAGAATTGGTATTTGTTGCATCTTCCCCGTTCTCCTTCTCCCTTCAGAATCTCAAGACTGATTTCATCCTGATCCGTCTCTGTTGTTCCTGGCCTTGACTACGATCCGGGGGCGGCAGACCATTGTGCCCGCAAATATAGTTTTTGGTTGCCTGCCAATGCTTGAACACGAATCCTTCTGATCACTGTTTGCTTCCCCCGTTGCATCCAATGCAAAATAGAAAAACCTGGAACCATGATTTGTGGCTCGGGCGCTGGTCACGAACCCTTTGTTTTGCCTGCATGCACAATGCGTATGTAGTGCTCCTGTACTTTTCATTTCATTTCGGTTCGAGGTCCGTTACTGTTGGCGTGTCACGTTCCGCCTATCTTCGTGTTTTTGAGGAGGTCTGGCCTTTCGTAGGAGCATGAAAGAGCGAGCCTTACAGACAGAACTGTATATGTACCTACGTGGTGCAAGACGACGACGACGATTACGAGCGAACGCCTACAAGACATCATCAACTCTTATAAATCCAATCCAAACGATGACCCGTGTGCTTGTTCTCCTTCGCTGAACGGTGCTAATACGGGAGCCTGCATAGAGTGTGTGTGGCATGTAGCATCATTTGCAACGGGAATGTTCCTGCCTCACACATTGGTTTCAAGGTTCTCGAAAAACAGCTGGAAAACGGAAACCCGAAAGCCGGAAACCGAACCACGGAGAAGCCTGCAAAGAGCCGCATCGCTTGCAATGGACGTACTGTTTTCTTAAACACTTCGATCACCAACAATATCTGGCTGGGAAGCGGGAAACTGTTGCCATAAACCGGACCGGAACGACGTACCACATACCTCCGCCAGGCCCCGGAAAGCGTCCGCAGCGTGTTTGGGGAGGCCAAATCTTTCTTCCGGCAAGAGCACGTGGCGGCCGGAGCTGTGCTGGTTGACCACGACAGCCCTTCCTCTTCTTCCTCCTCGCCCGAGAAGGTTTACTTCATCGGGTCCGGTAGCGTGGAACCGCAGGTGGGCAGCATAGGAGGCTGCCTGTTGAGAAAACAATTTAATTTCGTGTTACATTTCTGGCAAGAGAGACAAAATAAATACTTCTAAATGATGGACAGTGTGCTGCGTCGGCTGCGGCAGCAGCGGGCACGGAGGAGCGAGGAGCGCCTTCTAGGGCTCTGCAAGCGCTCGGTCGCTTGTTACCCGCCACCATTAATGCAAAACGATCGCCATGTGTTTTGAATCTGTTTGCTTTCTGCGGAAGAAGGAAGACTTCTCGCGCTGCTGTGTAGGGAGCCCTGTGTTTATCGCAGGGAGTGCTGAGGGGGGCGTGACCGAATGTTTCTTTGACAACGACAGCCTCCGCAGGTTTTGGTGCATGCCTCAAACACAAGCACGCAACGCGTTTCTCATCACCTTCCCACCACAAGGATAAAACCGTTGCGTCAGGGCTGCCGCGCAAGCGTAATACTGCTGTTTCGTTCGACTACAACGCGTCCCTTTCTGGAGCGCTCTGCTCGTAGGTTAAGTTTTCCCATTCGCATTCTTGTGGGTCCCGTTCCGATTGCAGAGGGTCCAACGGTTTGGACCTCTGGACCCTTCGCTTTCATCTCTTGTCACTGTACCCAATTACTCTCTTGCTATTTGTATTTTGACAGTGACCCAGCAGCGGATCCCCCCCCCCCCTCGCTCTCTGTGGTGGGGTCCTGTGGGAACAATGCTCCGTCCTCTCGAGGACGCGCGGTCAATGGTCTAACAACTAAGGCATGCAAAACATGAGTACGCCCCCCACCTCTGCTTCATCCTTGTGAAATGTAGCCTGGGCCGGCGAAAACCCGGCATACTGCTCCGTCCCGGCATGGTAGGGACGCGAGGTCAATGTACACCATGTGTTTACATGAGTAGATCCAGACCCCCCCCCCATCTCACCCAACACCCCCCCCCCACCCGTGGTGAACATGTCTTCCCGTGCCCCAGATCCCCGGAGAGTGCGGCCCAAGACGCCTCCAAAAGGTTTGCGCTGGAGGCACCTTCGGCGAGGTGGGGTTTTTTCTCAGGACCCCGCAGGCGTTTCGCGCCGTCGCCAGGGAGCCGTGCCACCTCCACACGCTCAACAGGGCGGGCATGGTGGCCATGCAGGTAGGCCTGTCCGTTGGCCTTTTGGAATATTTATTCAGATCAACACCGTCCTTCTGATGTGTGGCGGTAAGTTCGCGCCGGCGAGCGGCAAATTTCATCAAACATACCTCATTCATGGACGTTTTGTGTGCCCTGGTGGCAATTTTACCCCCCCTTATCTGTCCGCTTTACCCCCTCCTGTGCATGCAACCGGCACGCTTTTCGTCCGTTGTTTTTCGAATGAAATAACCACAGCACCAAAACCCGGGGCTGTGCATACTGGTCCAGAAGGCCGTGATGAAGTCCATCTGCCTAGCGAAGTCGCTCTCCATCGAGTCGGCGCACCTTCGACCCGTGGACGACGGCCGATCGAGGAGACTCGGCAGTATTGAGGAGGAGGGGTAGAGCTGTCGAACGAATTGATGATACAGATCCCAACTATGCAGGCACGTTGAGATCACAGGGGTGCGGGAGAACGGCAAGGGGAGCTGCTTGCTAGGAGGAGTAGGGAAGCGTCGCCGCCCGCGGAGAACTAGAACGGGTGTGGTGGAGCAGCGGACACGAGCATTTGCTCGTTCGGGCATCGGCAGCCGCTGTCCTTTCGCGTAGTAGGGTTCACTGGACGAACGGCTTCTTGTTTCATTAGTTAACCGCACGAGCGTCATATACCCCGGGAATAATTATTCGTTCTCGCGCAAACGCCAAAGGGGAAACTAGAGTGCACGTGTGCGCACTGGCAGGTTTCATTTACTGTCGAGTCCAACAATAACACGTGTAGGCGTCTGACGCCCGTCTCCGCGTAAAGAAAACGGGTAAATATTATTTCTTACAAAGAAGGGTTGGGCTGTGGTTGCCAACTTGCCGGGGAGAGAGTAGCAGAACGATATTCAATGGTAACACCAGCGCAAGGACATGGGTACAGAAGGCTCCACCACTTGTTGTTCCCCAAGGCTCGTTTCATGGTTCTTTTTTGGGTCGACCCAACATTGACTAGGCTTTGAGTAGGATACTTGCTAAGCACCTGGCATTAGTGTTTACTCTGTAGAGACGGCCGTCTCCAGGTTTTTAGAAAGCAAACATGACCTCACACAAAGATTACCCGTTCGATATATAACCTCAGTTGAAAGGGTTGTGGCGAAAAGGCCTATGGAAGTGTTTTGTTCTGTGTGAGAGTTTATGATTCAAGAGTTCGTGTCTATCACAGTTCTATGCCAACATTTTGTCGGTAAGGCTGCTGGAGGTCGTTGGACATGCAGACCAAGCGGGAGTGGTGTCTACGGACCGGGTGGGTGCCGACGAAAATACGGGCGTGATGTCGTTTGCTACCCCCCTGTACCTGCTGAAACGGTCCTCTACACGTCCAGTTTCGAGTGCATGTGTGCATGCGTCGTCTTAGTGACTACCAGGTGACTTATTTTTGCATCAGGTTCGCAAAGACACGGGTCGGTTCAAACTGCTGTTGGTTGACTATACGGCCGGCAAACAGAGGGGGGACAAGGTCAACTATGCGAAACGAAAGGGTCGTGGGTGGGGAAAAGCGAAAGCCGTCGGTTCACGGCAAATTGAACAAAGCTGCAGCTCCAAGGGGAACATTTCTCGCGGTTTGGGTTCTCCGAAGCCTCGACGACTCTTCGTAACCACCCTCGAATATCCTCCAATCGGCTTCACGTTGCGCAGATTCATGTACAGTAGGTGGCCCGATATAATGCCGGTGAAATCGGCTGTCAACCACCGGCATTATAGCGGGAGACCGACATCACGTAGAATCGGCCTCTATTATGCTGGTTCCGGCAGTACTGAGGGTCTGAGAATTCCGCAATAACGCCGGTACCGGCCCTATATAGGAAACCATCGAGTTATTCAATACGAAAACGAACGTATAGCACACACCACAAGCATCAGGTGGTAGGGAAAAATGACTAGAGGTTTGGTAAGCATTCCGCGATCTAGCAGATTTCAGAGGCGCGTGCATCGAAGGGCCGTATGTTATCTCACCCCTCCATGCGTCTTTGGTTCTACCCCCTGACCTTCCTTGACGTTTAATATTCACCTCTGGTACCTCCCCGTCACTCCCAAAAATACACACGAATTATGTCGTACGAAAATATCGAGTAAGAAAGCAAAGCAACACCCAGTACGAAAAAAAGCGTCTGAACACACTGTCGCATAACCGACGAATACTCGCTCACACAGAGGAAATCCAAACAAAAATTGGTCAGGCTGCTGGTGTTCAGGTAAAAACGATAACCAACCATACCCCACAAACCTACCAACAGATCCCGCCGAACCAACAACCATACTACTGAAGCTGAATCGACTCCAAAACTAGCATCAGATTTGTCGAAGTAGCCCCTCCGTCCTGTGTGTGCAAGCAATCTTGAGAACCGGCATTATTCACGGGCCACCAACACCCCCGAACCGGCATTATAGAGGGGTCGGCCTCAATAACGCCGGTACCGGCATTATACCGGCTTGAAGTTGTGCCAGTCGATTTCAACCGGCATTATAGCGGGCAACAGGCATTATTCGACGGGCATTATACCGGGCCACCTACTGTACCAAAAAAGACAGCCTCGAGCACACTTGAGCCGACAAAAGATGGGCATATAATCCAATGGCGAGGGTTCAAGACAACCCAGTTTTCTTGTTTCGCGATACACATGCATGTATGTCAGTCGCTTTGCAATGCGATTCAGACGTTGTCAGGTTAAATTTTGTTTCCCAGAAGGGGAGGGGACGAAACATTAAAATCCAACACTCGTTGCACTCAATATCCACCTCCAATGTACACAAATTTCATAGTTCTAGAGCGCACCGGATTCTTCGGATCGCGCAGCTGATGCTACTCTCATCATCGTTGTACCCCTTGATGGCTCTTTTCTGCGACCTAGGGCGGACAAGCACTGATGCCACGCTAACTACATGAAGTGCCACTCGCTACTGCTGTAGGTCGACGCCGGGGGCCCTGCCCCGGCGGCTACCGCCGCTCGAAATGACGCTGCCTCTCTCCTCTGCTTCGGCAACCACCGCCAGTGAGGCTGTAGCTTGTGTAGCCATCCTCGCCAACTCCCGGCCAACGTGTTCGTGCACCTTCAATCTGAAGGCTTCTCTCTCCAAGCACCAACGGTCTGTGGGTTCAACCACGTGGTTCAAGTGCGACTTTCGGATCGCGCTGGTGGCAGAACCGGCCGCAGCCGCGGCGCAAAATCCCGACAATAATAGTGGCATATTCTCCTCTTGCTCCTGCCCAGCAACGAGCTACTTTTGGCGTCCGGAACGCTGACTATGGACCGCAGGGACCACAGCACAGCACAGCATATTATATATGTGTCGTCGTCGTCGTCGAAACTACATGTAACTGTAGTTCGGTTCGCCGTCATCCTGCGCGTCGTAACCCGGCGCCAGAGGTATACTCAGCGACGACAAAGTGTGCGAGCGTATAATCAGAGCACAACTTAAACAAATTTCAAGGGTCGATTGAAAAAAATGACGAGGACAGGAGGCATGTACCACGCACAAGAGACGTAGTCGGTAAGCTGGGGGTACAATGAAAACCGCGGATGAATGTACTCTACATTTGTTTCATGTGAAAACGGTAAAACAATAGGTATTCGGAGGTTTCGTGGATTGATTGTGGATGACTTCCACATAGGACAGATCAGATCCCTGCAGATCGAGCTAATAGCTCTTTCGTAGGGTATGTCCCTTGTAATTGTGGTAGGACATAGTGTAGATAAGTGATCGGAGCATGTTTGTTCCATGGTGATCTGAAGGACTTTTTTCGTGATCTGACTACGTTTGGCCGAGGTGATCTGAAAGACTTCGCTATGTTTGCCCGAGGTGATCAGTGGTTGGGCGATGCTTACCTGAGGTGATCGGTGATTGGGCTACGTAGTGGATGATTGGGCGATGTTTGCCCGATGTTATCAGCAACTGGGCGATATTTGCCCGAGGTGATCGGTGATTGGGCCATGTTTGCCCGAGGTAATCGATGATTTGGGCGATGTTTGGCCGAAGTTAACAGCAATTGGGCGATATTTGCCCCAGGTGATCATCAGTGATTGGGCGATGGTTGCCCGAGATGATCGGTGATTGGGCGATATTTGCCCGAGGTGATCGGTGATTGAGCGATGTTTCGACGAGGTTATCGATGATTGCGCAATATTTGCCCGAAGGGATCTGGAAGACATACGTGAATGGGCGATGTTTGCACGAACGAGGTGAACTGAACATCATCGATCGGTGAATGGGCTATGTTTGCCCAAGCAAGGTGATCGGTGATTGGGCGATGTTTGGCGGAGGTGATCCGAAAGAGATCAATGATCCGGCTACGTTTGCCCGAATTGACCTGAAAGATATACTTCCTTGGAAATTTGGGCATTTTTCCCAAGGTGATGGAAGACACATAATGCATCACCTGAGTAGGTTTGCCGCAGGTGACCTGAAGGACAATGTTTGCTCCATGATGGTCTGACAGGCATCGGGGATCGGGGTGTGCTTACTCCTCCATGGTGGTGCGTAAGACATGGATGGTTATTATTTGCAGCGCAAACACGTGACAGAAACAACAAGAAAAAAACGACACGCTTCCTCGACAGCAGCAGTCCTTTTGTGTTGGGTTTTGGAGTACGAACTTGGTGAATCAACGCGACCCCCCCCCCCCGCCTTTCCTTCTTTGCGCCTTCCGAGTATGGCTTGGCATACCCCGACACCTCCCGTAAAGAGCGCCGATCTGACTTACAAATAAATACTCTTGACTCCTTATCATGGAAATAAATGTGATCCAATATGAGCAAATTCGTTTTATCAAGTTAAGGGGGGGAAGAAGAGGGGTTTTGACGCTGGCTCTTTTCCCCTACTTTAATCCTGCACAAAGAAAGAAAACAACCTTTAGTACGGGTTTACAGCAGAGGCTAAATGCTACTAGCTACTGCTGACACGTTCAGGGGTTTACGGTCCATCCATGACGGTGAGCATGACTGTGACAAATGTTGGATGCCGCTTGGTTCCGGGGCAGATTTCGGACTGTTTTCAGAGGCTGCTGCGACCTTCGATATTGCGTCCCCAAAACTGAAAATCAAAACGTACCCAAAACAAAACACAAGCAAAATACGCACTACCATATACTTTATATTTGGGTATTTATTTCCGCCCCAGTAGGAAACCTGAACGTGCCAGCACGCACGACGCCTCTTCATGTTGTCCCCTACTGGTGACAATAGAATGCCTAACCTAACCAGATTAGGGTCGGTGGAGGCGAGCATGGCTGGCTGTGACAAATGTTCGATGCCGCTTGGTTCCAGTGCAGATTTCGGACTGTTATCAGAAGCTGCTGCGACCTTCGATATTTTAGCTCTAGTAGCAAACCTGAACGTGCCAGCACGCACGACGCCTCTTCACGATGTCCTCTACTGCTGACAATATAATGCCCAACCTAACCCTCAAAACTGACCTTGTTTGAGCGCCTTCCGTTTTGGCTCTTCTGACTTGAATTTAGAATAGCGCGAAGTATTGTTTTTATTTCAAAGGAGGCCTGTGGAGGTAGAAGCGTGAAAAGTATGTTTTGAGAAGTCTCTACTGCCGCCCTGTGTGAGAATCCACGATTGATTCCCTGCTTTTCGCAATGCTTCCCGACTGGTCTTGTGTGTCTGTTGTTGTGCGATTTTTGGACCTCTTGTGTTTGTTTTCAAAATTCGTCAACTTCAAAATTAATCTTCTTCCCCCCCTTAAATCATGCATGTTTCGAGTTGTCGATCCACTGCATGTGATGTGTGTGGTTCTGTTGTTAAAAATCAGAGGCTTAGGGTCTGCTAAGGCTGTATAATCAAGAACAGTTCCCTGGTGGTTTTGCTGGTGTTAGATTGCTTGGTGTGTTCTTTTAAGCGAACGTCAGATCTGCTGAAAAGAGGTCCTCACTAAAAACAAGATAATAGGCTGATGACGCAAGTCAGAAGTCTTTCTGTCCAAGAGACCTGTGCTACGGCGGTAGCAACAACAGTGAGCACGCAGGGTAACAGAGCCGTGTGGCACACCTTGTTGACAGGTGTGCTGAGGTGCACTGTAGGCGTGAGTCTACAACCAAATGGTATTTGGTTCAAAGAGAACTGAGAAACAGATGTTGTACAAATTTGTTGTATTGTTGAGCTCGGCAGGAAACAGAGTGAGCTCCAGTGGGGGGCGTGCGCTCTGCCTGGTCAGCGTTTTTGTCGATTACCGACGAAACTACGAAGAACCTGTGTACCGGTCCGGAACCGTTCCGGGAACGTTCTGGGAACCAAATACCGTTCTATAAGCCCAAAAGCACCGTTCCGGAAACGTTCCGGGAACCTTTCTAATCTTACTCTGGAATTTTCCTGAGAACGTTCCTGAGAACCGTTCTAGGAAAATATGCCCGATGTAGGAAACATTCTACGAACCGTTACGGAATCTACCGCATCCATCAGTGGTCCGGGTCTGCTGACCCCCCTAAATCAAGCCATGTGGTCTAATACCTAGATCAAGCGTACATACACGCGCAGCCAGCTTAACAAAAATGACGTGTTTGCGCAGAACAAAATTTGGCTCGTAACGACCAGTTCGGGGTATCTAAAGTTCCTCCGACGCGACTTCTGCCTAAATATATATTTGTCTTGAGATTTCGCTATTTAGAGAAATTTGCACAATTTGCCGCCCGAACGACCACGCGCGCTGGTCGGTCCACGTCAGTTTGGGCCGCTTGCTGCGCCGTTGTGGCACGAGACGGCACGAGACGGCAGCGGGCTACGAGACGCGCAGCCAGTGCCCGCCCCATGCCCCTATACACAAGTCATGGATAGAACCAGGAGGCCGATCCGGGATGTCAACCTTAAACGCCGCTACGGCGCCATGAGCCCCGGAGAACTGATGCATGAGCAGCTTTGCCTCTTGTGCGCAGCTGTCCTGCTGTTGGTTGGCACAGCGAGGAAGAAGATGAGCACGAAACGGAAGAGCTCGAGTTGTGCGCTGCGCTCATAGCGCTGCAGGTGGAGACAGTACGGGTAGATCGCACGGTCATCAGGACAGTGAGGGGGAGGGATTTGTGCATCGCCGACATCTCGGAGGACAGGGCGTGGTGTGACTATCGCTTCAATTTTCAAAATTAGGTGCACATGTATGTATGTGCACATCTTTCCTGGCCCCTTCGAACTCCACCGCTGCATGTATGTATGTGCGCGGCGAGATTACACGGCCAAATGCGGATCATCTGTGTTCGTCTTCCGGGTTTTTTTTTTGCGCACGGTGGAAAGACTTTATTTTTAACAGAAATTACATGGCATCAGTATAGCAAATTCGTTGTAAATTATGCGCAAACACGTCAATCTCAGTTCGCTCGAACAAATCTTACGTGGTTGTGGGGCGAGTTCTGTATCGTTCGTCTTGATGGGGGGATACTTTGTTGAATCCATAGACTGTAGGTTTGACGGCATCCAAGATCGACGGTTGGTTGTCGTCGGTGATTGTGCTGAAAGCAAGAGATACTACACTGTATCATCATCATGCTGTTCTTGCGTTCGTTGTGATCGGATGGTCAATCAATCAAGACACCCCGTCACATCGTCGCCGAGCTATGTAGCATTCTATGTAGGACCCGCGACACTCAAAACATCGATAAACCGGCAGTTCAGTTGTTGGAGCTAGATGTGTATGCCGGTACACACGTTTGTTGTTTATTGTGATTAATTGATGGTGTGATGTGGGTTTCCCTTTGTGTGCTGATACCCCATAATGTAATGTCAAGACGCGGCGCTCCGGTACCGCGGCGCTCCGGTAGCAGGGCAAGAAACTTCGTATGTCCCACTTACTTGGGAGGGGACCTGTGTAGATTCCAGCGGACGTACTTGTTCGCCCTCTCTGCTTCACGCAACCCTCCCATCCGAGACCGGGACGAAAGGACTTTGTTTTCCCTGTGAAGAAGGAAGTTGGCGGCCGTGGGCGGCCGCCGCAACCGGCCCGCAAATATCCTCTTTTTGTAGGCCCCCGCAGACCCATGATGAGAATGCCTCGTGACTGAGAACTGAAACCTGACCGAGCGTGTTTTTTATTCCGCCGCATTGTTGGTCTCCCCACAGCAGCAACACAACAAAACTGAAGACGATTGCAGCAGCCTCGGCGGCTCCACCGCCTGGCGTGAAGCGCGAAGGGTAGAAGGTGGATGAGCGTGCCGTTGCTCGGGAGCAGCCGCTTTGATCCTGCAAGTACCTGCCCGTAAAATTGATATTCTCGCTGGGCAGCACCGGGAGGTTCGCTCTCGGCAAGCGGAGAGAGCGGCCGCGCCAAAGCCCAACAACGGCAGGGTACACAACGGCGTGGTATTTTCAGTTCAACAACAACAACAAACTTCGATACCTCGCGATATTGCACCGGCGATAGCAGCAGCAAGTCGTTGCATAGGTGGTTGGCACCATGCTTCGAGTGGGGGAGCGCGTGCTTCTACTCGCGCTGAGTGAAGAACGGGACAAGCACCCGCTGGGGTATCTGTCCTCGCGGCTGCTCATGGATGCTGAAGGTGAGCAGTGAGCAGGGGCAGCTGACAGCTGACCCAGCACCAACATCTCCGTCAGCAACGGGGATTGAAGGAATAAGTGGGAGATTTCAGCTGCTTGAAGTGCACAGCTTCTCCATGTGCTCAACTGCAGCAATTGAGAGATACATGTATGATGTGGTTCTTTTTCCGATCTTCGAGCCAGCGTGGAAATATCTCCTGCATGCATGTCATGACCGAGACTACTGTACATACACCACCCAGAAGAGTAAACTACAACTGATGTCGGCCCGGCGATTGTTGTTTGTGTGTTGATTTGAAGCTCATTTCATCTTCCTGCCAAGTAGGCTCGAAAAGGCGGCGTACCTCTCTCTATTTGCCCTTCTCCGAGAAAATAAAAAAATGAAAGAGTCGCGACGCGACCAACGGCTTCCAACTGAAAAATTGTGTGAAGATATGCACAGCACCCGCCCATGTAGTGGTTCGCGACCAGAACGCACCCGCGTGCCGTCGTGCGGCAAAAGAAAGAGTACATATGCGTACATGTAAAGTAGTTGTCTCAAACGCAAACCCCTCCATCGATTTTTCGAAGAAATTTAAATTTCCCTGCTAGGACAATGAACAAGTTTGTTGAAGTTAAGTTTTCGTTCTTTCGCGAGGTTGTTAGCCCGGGTTCAACTTTGAGTTGTTAAGGGATGGCAGAAAAAGAAATAGATACTCCAGAGTACGAAGTAGACGCTGGCTCTTTCTCATACTTTAATCCAACATGAAGAAAGAAAAGAAGAAAGGAAACAACCTTCCCGCCGGATCTTCGTAATTACTACTACTGTGAATCTCAGTGGAGGACACCATGAACAGGTGTCGTGCGTGCTGGCACGTTCAGGTTTTTGCTACTGGAGCTGAAAATCGAAGGTCGCAGCCTCTGAAAACAGTCCGAAATCTGCGCCGGAGCCATGCGGAATCGAAATTGTCACAGAAGTGCTCACCGCCACGGACCGTAACCCCCTGAACGGAGGGTTGTCAGCAGAAGCCAAATAGTGGCATCAGCTACCGCTGTAAATCCACAGTTCAGGAGATTGGGGTCAGTGGCGGCGAGCACAAGCAGTACAAGACACAAGGGTGTCGGTCTAATTTGAGGAGATTTGCGGAGATTGTAGGCCACTAAAAATACGACCCGGTACACCACTACAGAAGCAGATTTGAGCTCGCCAACACCTCCCCCCCGCTACTATAGGGCGTCCGCTAGTGATGGAACTATGCACCAGGTTCCTGGCAACACCGACCCTTTGTTTGAGCGCCTGCCATTTTGGCTCTGTTGACTTGAATTTAGAATGGAGTGGATTTTATCTTGATTTTCAAAGGAGGCGTGGGGAGGTAGACGCGTGAAATGTATGTTTTGAGCAGCCTCTACTGCCGCCCTGTGCGAGAATGAACGATTTCTGTGTTTCGCGCCGACTGGTCTTGTGTGTCTGTTTTGCAGCTTGTGGTGTGTTTTCAAAATTGATTCAACATCAAAGTTCGTTGTCTGGCATTCCTTAAGTAACCCGCGGGGCAGGGACTCGTCTGAGCCCCTTGTCACCGCCGAATCGGGCACCTTTTCCGTGGGAGGGCGCATTCCACGGCCATCTTCGATCGAAAAAAGCGTTGGAGCCGTGCCCTACGCGGTCAGGGTGGGGCAAGGGGGGCAGGCTTTCTGACGTCCTTCATCAAGGTGGATTAGGGCCAATCCGGGGAAGCACGGGGGGTTGTTGTGGAGCGTACAGCCACAGAATTTACTGTGACAGTATACACGCGACCCCCTTCATTTTGCAGTACAAGCAATGCCGTGGCCTTGCCTACATAGTACATCACGGATCGAAGGAGAGAGCACCCTCTGTGCGAAACACACCCAGGATGGGCACGAGCTAATTTATTTTCCGCGCCGGGGCCATGAATCTGCACGTCGCACCACGTGCTAGCCTGCACCAAGAGTACAACACGAAATTTTGTTTGAAAACGGCGGCAAAGATGCTGTATCTCCCTGATGCTAACGGTTTGCACTGCGGCAGGTTCGTTGCCGTATCGCGATCCCGTGCACGCCTTTTGCTGATGAAACGATACACTTGGAAGAAAAATAAAATGGTGGGAAACCTTCAATCCCGCAGGAGGACAGGCTGCAACAACCGCATGTCCATCTCCTCAACCCACACGTGCACTTTCTCGACACGCGCGAAAACACATTGCAGGTAGATCTTCTTTCGCCACCTTGGACTGCTCCTTGACGTCCTTCCGAGACGCGCCCCCAGCGGAGAGGTCGTGGGAGCCGGTACGAGCAAACGGTTATTACCAGGGGTTTCGGGGGAATTGCAACTCTGGGTTCCCCCCTCAACGGGTGGGCCTGTTGAACGTTGGTTTCTGCAAGTCTCCCTGTATGGTTTCTCAAGTCGGACGGATACATGTGCATCTGTGAATCGTCTCCTGGGTGTGTGCGTCTTTTGGCTTGTTTCTGGTCGGCCTTTGCGCGATGTCTAACGTACGGCGGCAGCGGGATAATGTATATTGGTGCCCTTCCCAGGCGTATCGGCGGGTGTGTCGCGTACCACCAGGCGGGTGTTCGGCAGAAGACCGTGCGGTCGGGATTCATTCTCAGGGGACGCTCTTCTACCAACGCGTCAAAACTCGCTTTTCTCGTTCGTGGTTGCTAGATGCACGAAATCTGCAGACCCCTGAATCACAAAAGTCGTACACGAAAAACTTACTATCCTGTTCTTGCCCCGAGCCCCTAATTCCCGAAGCGTCACGTCGCGTGGTGTGTGTATTCATACGTGAATTTGTTGTCCGTGTTTCCGCGGCCGCCGCCACCATCACCGCCGTACCCAGGTGGTAGTGTCCGACTGCGTTTTTCGCGTGGCGGCCTGCGTGGACCGGCACGACGCTACCCGCGCCAGCCAATCTCAGCGTAACCTGGAGCCGGGGAACACAGTTCACAGGGGGATGCAACCGGTGAGTCACCGCACCTGCTGTTGGGTTTTTATGTTGACTGGCGATTGACGTGTGAGGCAGTCCTTGCAGCGTTGGGAGTTTGGCTACAAAACTTTCGGGAGAGTTGGATTGCGGGGCTGGCGGGTTGGTACCCTGACGTTCGGGAAAACACGAATTCTATCACCCTCCCCCCCCCCCCTCGAGCCCAATACATGGTGTCACTGTGCTCAACCGCTTGGTGCAATAGCTGCGCCTTCCTTGTGAGCGGTGAAGCGACGCGTTTCGTACCGAATTTGTTTGTTCTGAGGCAGGTGGGTCTGTAAAACAAACCACCACGGCCAAGCATGACAGGTACTGTGCGAGCGCGCTCGCACGCACACGTACCGATACCGATACCGCCCCAAATCCGTTCAAGAGATATCCGGCGTGGGGGGGCCAAAGGCCACAGAATGAGCATGCGCATGTCGGGTCGGGCATGCCACAGCGGTCGCACAATCTTCCCGCTTTGGAAGCGGAGAATAAGTCGGGTAGGCTCTATTGTGGCGTTCGTCTTGCGACCCCCCTCACCCTGCAGCACCGAGAAGCGCCGCCCAAACGTCTCGGTATGCGGAAGGGGGCACAAAAGGCACGCAGGGTTGACTTTTGTGGAGTAGTGCTTGTGGACGTCCTGGTACCTCGGCGTTGGTCTTGCGATCCCCCTTCCGCTCCAGCACCGAGATGCGTGCCCAATAGTCTCAGTACGCACAAGGAGGAAAATATAATAGTGTCAACGCCCCCCCCCGATACCCCCCCCGTCCGCAGGGCACGCCCGTGAGATACTCCAAGGCGGTGCAGTTGGTGCATGAGTTCAGCGGCGCGCTGCTGTGCATCGATGTCCAAGAGAGGGCGGAGAGCGAGGGCTTTGCCATGAAGGTGGTGCTCAAGGCCATAGATCCTCCATCAGGTAGGGCTCTTCATCCGTGTAGGACTGCAGACCTTGCCTTCGAAGATAACTCCGGGACCCGTGTTGGCAGAAAAATTAGCGTACGCGCGCGGTTTTGGCACGGCACATCACACGACACGTTTGCCCTTCTTCTCCACCGCGGAACGGACGAATCTGGCGGTGACATGGAGGAAGATCAAGCTAAGGTCCGACGCCACGGTATCGTGGGCACCGAAGTTGCAACAATGTTTTTTTTGTGTGTGACAATGAAGCTCCAAACCATTACGCGATGACGTATCACCACGGAGCACTTCTGGCGGTCAAGTCATGGAAGAGGTGTTACGTTTTGCGGCGCTGGTGTGTTCGTGTGAGCGCGTCTGGGTCCATCCCGTGTACGCGCACGCACTGGTGTATTTTCCCTGCAATAAGCATAGCCTGGGCCTTTCGTCTGACCGAAGACAAGACCGAATTAAATAAAGACAAACATGAAACCTATGGCAGCTTGCGTATATCAATGCGTACGTTCGTCCGCGTTGGTGGACCACTGGACCTTGCAGGGGACGGAGGGTCAACGGACGGGTACAAGAACACGTGGTGGGAGGTCAAATCGCCGGGGAACGTCAGAATCAGCCAGGCAAGGCTTGCATCTTTTTTTCCTTCGTCGTCCCGGTTTGTTGAGCGTTCGCTCGCAGCTTCCTCGTACCGTAAGGTCTTGCCCCTCCAACATCACGTTGTTGCTTTGGTTTACCTCTGTCTTGTTTTCGTGACAACAACCTCTCAAGCGTGTGACTCCGTCTACGTTGCTTGGCACCAATCGCTTTTGGGGGGGGGGGGGGGGGCATGTGCTGCCACACAGCAAGTGCAACAGTATACACCCTGTCCTAAATGGGTCTGCATGCGGCTGGCAAGTTAGGACCTAGAAGACGGACCTAGAAGACGTACATGAACACCAACCACGTAGAAGGCTCACAGCGGGCAACCGGGTCTCTAGTTTAGGGAGGGTAAGGATCAGTAGGACCAATTCTGCGGGAGTCCGCACGAAAAAGGCCCCCTACACGGGAACAAAAGCACTGGGGTTGACCAAACTGTTTGTCCAGTGCGGACGAACGCTGAGGGATAGCGAACCGGCGTGTATAAGGGGCTGATATCGTGGGGGAAGGGGCTGATGTCGTGGGGGAAAAGAAAGACAAGTGTCTACCAGGTCAGGCACCCCACCCCAATCCGGGTGTATAGGCAAGCACCCCACCGCTCCTCACGTTGTGCTCCACAAAATATATCGCAAGCACGAAGGAGACTCAGCGACCACGCTCGAACTCGCGCAACGATAATCTCTCGGCCCTTTTCTGCGTAGCCACTCAACTACTCCTCCTCTACCAACTCTTCACCCCCCGGCGAACATGATGCAACGGCTGCACAGGTCCTACACTACGACGAGATCTGCCTACACTCGAACCGCTGGGACCGGAGCGTGCGGGCGCACCCAACCCTCCTGGATCGCCAAAGGGTAACTTCAGCAACAGAGGTGGAAGGAGAATCAGGGACTGAAGAAGCAGGAGCTGCCACCGGCCTTTCTCCGACGTTGCCTCGGGAGAAATATCCTGGAGCGGTACGTGCATGGTGTTTTTTTCTTTGGTATTGTTTTCCTCGGTTTTTTGTTGCGGTTTAGGCAGGCTGTGGGGTGGAGGTGTGTCAACATACATGTTTGGGGCTTAAGATCCCCTTCTCATGGCCGTACCTGTGGTAGGGTCAAGAGTATTCGCGTCCTTGGGGTATCCAGGAATTTACAGATGCTAGGAGTACGTTTCAGCCGTTGCTCGCGGGGCGAAAATCAACAGTACGTATTTTCGTGACAGCTCAAGAGCAGGCGCGATTCTTAACGCGTCTCCCTCGTCCTCCCTACCCCTGCCCTACGCCGCCTTTTCCCCGCCTTTCGAAAGACTGGTCCGTGCCGCTCAACACTCACACACGCACCCACATGCACGCACGCACGCACGCAGGTGCATGCCTCTTTCTCGCACTCGCTCCTGAGAGTGGTGCCGTACGACGACTGTCCTTCCCTGCCGTACTCCGACGAGGGACTGTCCATCGCAACAACGTCGGCGGCAACGGTAATGGCCTCCGCTTCCGGGGGGTGGCCAGGTCCGGACTCGTCTTCGTCACCCCACGCGCTCGCCGGCAGCGGAACCGCCGACACCCCCGTCGGCGGCGTCGCGGACGACGCGGGCGCGATCCGCGGGGGAGACGTGGTGCGCCTCTGCCACCTGAGGTCCACGGGGTTTCTAACCTGCGAGGTGGTGACGCCGGAAGCGTTTCCGCGTGGGGGGTGGGCGCAGCCGGAGCCTAGGATGGTAGGCCAGGCCGGAGGAGGAGGCGGAGGCCGAAGAGGAGGGGGGGGGGGGGGAGTGGACGGCCCGGTACAGGGGCAGGCAAGCGACGGTGGGGTCGGGGGCGGTCCGTTCCTTTACATTTCCGCGACCCCTCACCGCCGCCTGAAGCTGCAGAACGCTAGCAGTAACTGCCTGTGGGTTCTGGAGCGGACCCACTGCGCCCTGGGCGGCCGGCCCCTGCGAGGCAGCTGCGCGAGCGCCGCCGGTGCCGCCGACCCACCGCAGCAACATCAACAGCAGGGAGGAAACCCGACCTCTTCGTCAGTGTTTTCGACAGGCGGCAGTGGCAACGCGCGTCGCAACTCCCTCCACCAGCAGCAGACCGCGCAACATTCAGGAAACTCTTCTGCTTACACCGGTGGCGCCGCTGCCGCGGGGGCAGGTTATTCTCCCGGTGACGGCGGCGGTGGTAATAGGAGCGGCGCGACGGAGAGGCAGAGATGGAACAGCGATTCCGACTACTTCCCTGGCGGAAACGAAGGCGGGGCACGTGGCGGTGGCGGCGGCGGTGGCAGCACCGGTGGTGCAAGCGGCACTAGGCCATCCTCTTCCTTCCCGGGCGGGGGCTTCGGGCGCGACACCTACGCCGAGGCCGTCGCGAAGCGGAGGAGAAGGCAGGGGGCGGGAGACCCTGTCGAGTACGTCCGCATCAAGCACCTCGCGACCATGCGCTACCTCTGCGTCGGGAAAAAGTGCGATCCCGTCCGGGGTGGTGGTGGAGTAAACGCCGGCGGGGATGCTGGCGCCAGCGGAACACCGGCCACCCGGCGGCGGGGGGACAGCAGAAGGAGAGGAGCGGCGGCGGCAGATGCTGCGGCGACAAGAGTGGGCATGCTGACGGTAGATCAGCACGCGGCGGTGCCAGCGGCCACCGTCTTCGTGATTCGGCCGCGGCGCACGGCGGCCGCGGGCGCGGAGGGGTTGGTGGGGCCGGCAGCTGCTGAAGGGGCGGGGGCGGATCGCTGGCTTGGTCCCGAGGATCTGGTCCACCTCCAGCATAAGAACACCGGGCTGTTCTTGTCGGCCCTCCCCCTGGAAAACACGGCGAAGGGGGGGATCGGGCTCACCATGGTCAAGTCTCCACTGACAACTGAGGTAAGGGCCTTTTCATTTTTCTCTCTGTTCGAGTCAGGTTTTCGGGTTGTTTTGGACAGGTGTTGGCTTGTTGATGCTTGACGCCTGTGAATTTCACGAGTACAGTTTCCATCGCAGGATTTGTTGCTGGTGGATGTGACGGTGATGTGTGTACCCGACTGGGCTGGTGCTTGCTAACCCTCGTCCCACACTCTTGGGTTTCCTTGCCCTCCTTCCCTTGCTTTTTGCGGGGGCGAGCAGTACTGGCGCTTGGCCCGAGCGCCGGAACGTGAACGCATGGCCACCAATCATATCCTCACGGCGCAGGCGCAACTCAAGGTGGGTGTATCCCTCTGGCTCTTCTCGGGCCAGCCCCGTCTGTCCGTTTGGTTATTTTTCTGTTTTTTTGCCTGTCTCTGTTTTGTAGCGATGGCCTTCCCCCTCTGTTGGCTTGCTTTCATTTTGGTGCAAGGCGTAAACAGCGAAAAGGTGCACTTACACGGGTACTCTCCTCGTCTTTTTCCTGAGACCCTTGTCGGGTGGTGGGGGGGGCACTTCCTGAACATGCGGAGCCCTAGGAAATTGTTCCTTCGGGCTGCCTTGTTCGTCTGATGCGTGGCTGTGTCCGGGGGGATCGGCGTCGCAGACGGGTGCTCAAGAGGTTTCCCCTGCAAGCGGACGACCCCACACGACTGCCTGCACCCCGCCCCTTTTCCTCATTCCGCACCCGTGAAACCTTGCGCGCCTGACCTGCACGAAATTACGCCGCCGATCAATTGGTGCGCCACCACAACCCAGGCTTCACTGGACTCGTTGCTTGTGGAGATAGAAAAAATGCCGCCATTCGACGCGGCCGGGAAAAAGAACAACACTGACGGACGCGCACCGGCGGCACCCCCCTCGGCCGCCTACCTCTACCCGCCGGTGCCCTACGCGCGCTTCATCCGGCCGGCTGCCCTCGCCGTGTCACACTTTCATTCGGTGCTCTCCCGCGGGGCCGCGTGGTGGGGAGGAGGAGGAGCAGGGACGAAGAAATTTCCGCCGTCGGTGTCGTCGTCGCGGGGCCACTCGCTTGCGGGCCATTCGGGGGGTGGCGATGCTCCGAGCGCCGGCGGAAGGGGTCTCATGAGCATGGGCGAGCGTCTCGGGAAGGCCTCGTCCTCGTCCCGTCGGATCAGTGTCGGGGGGAGGAGCGGGGGAGAGGAAGCCGCGGCGCGAGTCATCATCGGCAGGAAGCGAGAGCGGTCGCGACACAACGTCTTGGGTGGCCTCAGCGGCGGCGGCGGCGGCGGCGGCGGCGCCAGCGGTGTCAGCGGCGGCGGCGCCAGCGGTGCACTGGGGGGAGGGGTTTCTTCGCTGATGATCTCGTTAGACGAGTTCCACGCAAACCCTCGGCTGCGCTTTCAGCTGCTGCTGAGGGAGCAGGGGATCGTGGTGCAACTCTTTGAATCTATGTGGACGGTACGTGGTTGCAGCCTCGAGTTTGAACTGATTGCGGTCGATGCGTCTGGCGGGGTGCGGCGTGGCTTTGCTGTTGCGCTGGGGGCCTCGTGGTGACACCCAGCGGAATGCTTGTAGTTGATCGCGCCCAGCGCACCCAGTCGGTTGGCATGTAGATTTTCCCAGTTTTGGGACAATCGGTTTTTCGAATGTGGGTAGCCACAATTGTTATTTTTCCTGGCAAATTCTTTGTTTTTTTATATGGGTAAAACACGCCCCTCGTGCACGTTCGTGCAAAGAAAGACAAACGCGGGTGCCATCTCCACCACCACCTCTGTTGCACACAAACCGGACCGGAGCGGAACTCATTATATATCTCCCACTCGCACGCATCCTGCTTCTATTGCTACGCGTGTGTCCGTAGATTTTCCGGGAGCAGGACGGTATCCTCGCGCGTCACCTCTGGTGGGACGACGACGCCGAAGAGAGCGCAAGCGGCTCTACAACCGTTTCTATTGGCCCCCCCGCCTTCAGTGCGACCCCTCGCTCTGGTGCGACGCGCGTCGGAGGTACGGATGTCGGCGGCGGCAGCAATACGGACGAGTGGGAGATAAGGAGGGACAGGTCGGCCGCGCGTCACTGTCTGCGGCAATTCGTTGTCCAGGCGATGGCGCTGGCGGACTTCTTCGCCAGGGACAACCCGCGAGGAAAGGTGTGAGATGGATCGAAAAAAGTGTGTTGAGCATTACGGTTGGGGCGGTGCGTGTAGCACCCCACCCAGAGCGCGACGTCTCTATCCCCCCCCCCCCCTCCCTCTCTCTATCTCTTCCCCTCCTTCCCCCTTTACCATAATGGTGGTCGAGTAGATCATGTTGTGCGGGGTCGAGAAACCTCACTCCGCGCAACGGGGGATGATCGCACCTCGTTGTGTTAAAATGGTCAAGCTTCCTCGAGGCAGTTACACAGCGCTTACAACTGTCTCTGGAAGTGAAAGCACCAGAAAATAAATTAAGTCATACGTAGCTGTCATCCGTACGCAAGGAAGTAAGCACAAGATGCCGAACACCCTTAGCAGGATGCAGCTCACCCTTCATGCGACTCGCCAAATACCTCACGGCGCTTCGCGCTTGGTGCTGTGAGAGCCTGGTCCGGTGAGAACCCGGCGTGCTCCGTCCCGGCTTTGTAGGGATGCGAGGTCAATGGTCAAACGACTACGGCATGCACGACTATGAGTACACCCCCCCCCCCTCCCTCTCTCTATCTCTTCCCCTCCTTCCCCCTTCTCGCTATCCCTCTCCCCCAATCGCTTCGCTCGACACATATATAGTATCTTACACACAATACGCTTTTTTCGCTCTGCTGCTGCTGCCGCGGCTACTGTCGATGTTACGACTAGGCCGTGCTGGAGAACTTCACTCCTCTGCTGCGAATGTTGATTGGGAGCGGCCTGGGCGCTTGTGAGGTGCTGGCTACCATCAGAAGGGACAACCCCCGCACCTACGCGGTTGTTACGCCGGCACGCATCCAACAGGTGACTCGACGCGTAGCAAGCTTTCAGATCGTGACGCTTCGACTTATGGTTCAAGGATGAAGGCTGTGGAAGGCACGCATTGGCTAAAATTGTATCATGCGGACGCGATAGGTTCGCTACCCGAATGATGTGTCCCTTGCTTCGCTGCGTGCTGGTAGTCACGCATTCTCTTGTCAACCCCTCTCTCGCGTTCCCTTGGTTGATCACTTGCAAAACCTTCCGCTGTGTACTTCTCCTCAGGTGCGTATCCGTTCGTTGGTATCCTCGTCATCCCCAACGAGACAAATTGTGAAGAGGATAGTGTTTCTGAAATGGAGTGTCCACTCGCAACTGTTGCGAGGAGAATATGGTCGCGTCGTATCCCCTGCAGAGCTGGTGGGAAGTAGAAAGTTTGTTCTGCCACGAAGATTGAAAATACTCGCATCGCCGAAACCCCTATCCGTATCTCACATGCGCCGCGTTTCGGACCACGCCACGCCAGATCCTCGCGACACTGCCGGAATCACGGGACCTCGCCAACAGCATGCGCCTGCTGCGCAGCATCTGCAAAGTGGGGCATTCGCTGCTGCCCTCGATACAGCGCCTCGTCGCGGTAACGGTGCTCGTGGGCGTCGACACGGCTGCCGCTGCGGCCGCTGGGAGGGCTGCCGGCGGAGGCAGCGAGTTCGGCAGCGGCCGCGCCTTGGGCGGCGGCGGCGGCGGCGGCGGTGGCGGCGGCGGGAGCGGGCGTAAGGACAGCGATGAAGGCGACGGTGGTGGCGAGCACGGTGTGTCCGTTGCTGCTTCACTGGAAGGAGAGGAAAATCACCTCCTCAGAAACCCTCGCAGCTTGTTCAGGTACGAGCTCATCCGGGACATGGATGTCACCACCAGCGATGTCGATGCTTCCGGCGCTGCTGCCAGTGGTACCAGCACCGACCGCGGGAACGGTTCTGGAGGTACTCTTGCCGGCGGCGCCTCCGTCTCCCGCCCTTCATTGACACCATCGGCCTCGGAGAGCGGACGCGGCAAGGCAAGCAGCATCAGCAGCAGCGTCAAGAGCCAGCGACGGAGGCCATCATTGCGAGCCGCTTCGGGTACCAACTTCCGGTCGGCCGACGGCACCAAGGGCATCCGTGTCAGGCTGAAGCGGTTGGTCGCGGGGGTGTCCATGGGGGAACAGCTGCGCCGGCGGCGTGAGCTGCTCAACGGGGAGACGCGGGTCTCCTCCGGGGAAGGCGTTATCTTCGAGGCCGTGCAGGAGGGGAGCGGGTCGGCGTCCCGGACGGTGGTCCGGGTGCTGAGCAGGTGTGAATCTCCACACAGCGCGTGTGATCTCCACGCAGAGAACCCGGTTCCGACACGAGGAGGCTTTTGTTGTAGATGGCATGCCTTCCCTGTTGCCGGCACGTAGCCGTGCCGGGTGTGTCTCTTACGGCTCTTTTGGCATTTGGCAGATTTTGTGGCCTGCTGTGAAAACAGAATCGGGTTGTGAGTCGCCTTGTCGGATCGCCTCCTTGGCGGATCAATGAAGCCTTCGGCGGACGGTTATGACAAGCGGAAGAATGCAACATGTCTGTGAACTCCTTCAGTCGTTGTTGGTAGAACGGGGCTGGCCGAGCTCTCTTTTTTACTTCTCATTTCTCACCTTGTGCTTTTCCTGCCGTGAACGCACGTGAATCGAACGCCTGCTGGGAGCAGGGGCGGGGCTGGGGAGCCTCCGGTGGAGGGGCCGTGGGGACCGAGGGGAAGCGGCCGGGGTGCCGGACCTAGCTCGGCCGCCGGGGACCTGCTTGAGCTGTTCGTGGAGTCGGTGAGGCTGCTGGCGTCGCTGTGCCAGGAGCGGCACAAGGGGAACATTGCGCTCGTGCGCTCCCTGAAGGGCACGACATACAAGGTGTGGAGTTTGTTTCTTGTATGTGTGTCTGCGATACTTGCGATTGGCCGTGGCTACCCGGGTGTGAGTGACTGCGGTGTGCACGTTATGCATGTGTGTGGAAAGCATATGTGCGTGAAAGGCTCTTGGGAGAAAGTTTTGCGTGTGTCGCGTGCGATAGATGTTCATGGTGGATGGTTATTTCTCTCCCCCCGAGTGTTTTCATGGTGGACGATTTGCAGCACGTCGGCGTGGCCGGGTTCACGCACCATCCTGCCCGCATTGTGTCCACCGCCCCCTTCCCGGGCCCGCTTTCCCCACGTCCGGGCGCTGCTCGCGCGACGCTTTCCTTCCGACCGACCGCCCGTTCGTCTGCCTGCCCGGCCATGTATTCGTCCGCGTTCAGGAGCTGATGGAGGTGGTGAGGTCTGAGACGGTGCCGCCAACCGTTCGAGCCGCATTCGCCCAGCTGCTGGAGCACTGTCACCTCAACGTGGCCCCGCTCCTTCCGCGACCTCCCGTCAGGTAGGACCGTGCGATCGGACGGGGTTAGTTCAATGGCCCACCGGAATAGGTCGTTGCGGTGGCGGTGGTGGTGGCGGCTTGGTAGTAAAGCCGCGATGCCCTCTACTCGATACCTTCATGTTCCGGGACGTTCAAGATGGCGGAAGAGTCTTCGTGGTGAACGGTTCACCCGAAGGCAGCCGTGTGTCGAGAGAACTACAGATTTGTCTTCAGTTCATCATGAGGTGATCCTAGTTTATACGATACCAGTGAGGTCGGGCTGGTCTTGAGTTTGCCTCAACGTAAATTCTAGCCAGTGCCTCCTTGCCCGGATTCAGTGAAACGATGACACACGTGTTGGTGCGGATATTGCCACGAAAACTTTCGCAGGTACGTCAGACTCAAAGACGATGACGACGAAGACACCTACGACAGCAGTAGTGACGACGACGATGACGGCGATCAGTCGTCCTTTTCGGGAAGAGGAAGAGGCCGAGCCAATGAACGAAAGGTGAGTAGCATGGACTGGATTTGCGAGAGAGAGACTCGATTTTTCATTTTCCACCCGAAGACAATTCTCCACGCTTTTGTTTTGCGCTTAATCACTTAAAGCTGCAATTCTTCTATGCGTGTGTGTTTGTTCGTTTGTTGTCTTCCAAACAGGGAAGACAAAGTCCTCACGAACTGAACCCTGCCTGAAACGATGTACCGCAGAACGTGAGACGTTACCCCAGGACATTGTCCGCAGTCACGTACTTGCGCAAATCCAATGTCCCTCGAAACCCGCCGTACGTTAACAACGAATCTTTGAGTGATTGTTGTGTCGTCGTCCTCGACCAGGCTGTGTGAGGTATTTTAGGTTGGCACATACCCGGACAGGGATTTCTCGTCGAGGGTAGATAGATCGTTGCATCACTTCGGTGTTTTTTTTTATGTGTCGCGGGTAGGGAATCCCGGAACAATTTCAAACTCGCGCCAATCCCATCGCCGAATGTGAAGGTTTTTGTTTGTGCGAATGTGTACCGATTGTTGATATTGAATATCTACTCTCCGTTGTGTGCCATTCTTCCTTGCGCGCGGATGTTTTTCTCCGCCTTCTTCTGTCTCAGCCTGTGATCCTGTCTTTGAGTTGATCTCTTATTTCTTTATTCCTCGTTGGAAATCCCTTTCCTGATTGGGAATATGGATGCATTCGTTTCTTTCTCTCTTCTCGCTTCTCTCTTCTCTCTTCCTCGCGGCGTGGTATTTTCACCGAGCCGCAGGACAGCGCAAACCCGGTAGACCAGGGGGTAGCTGCAGTAGATGCCGCCGATTTCGCCGAGGGAAAGAGTGAAGACACGAGGAAGATCGACGAGGGCGAGGAGCAGCGCGAACACCTCAGGGACGCTCTCGAGGTAAAGCCGACCTTGGACCGTATTGTGTGGATGCATTGGGGGAAGGTGGAAGAGCACATGGTTTTGCGGCGATTGATTTTCATGCGTGTAGAAGGAAGGCCAACTCTGGTACGTGGAAGAACCGTGCTCTGTTGTGTTTCGCAGCATGACCATAAGCCGAACCCGTAGTGTTTTACTTGTTCTTCTTGCAGCATCGCCGCCATGTCCTTTCACTGTTACATTTCTTGAACCACCAACCAACGCACACGTGAGGAACATTCGGTCGATATATTTTTGTTCTCTCTTTTTCTGTCGTCGAGAGAGCAGTTCGTGCAGGCGTTCGTCAAGAAGCACACCCGGCCTGGTGGTACGCTGCAAATCGACCAGTGGAACTCCGGGTGAGTCGGCAGCACTACCATGAGAGAAGGAAGTGTTCACCACGTAGCGGCGGGCAATAGGTTCCCTTCCTACGTCATTCTCTAGAGGAGGCGTTTCTGGGGTGTCCGGCCATTCGCATGCAGCTAGTATTTGGTGGTCCCGGGTTACATATGCTTCGTGTATTTTCCAAGCTGGTTGTTCCGTGAGCATGGTTGATCCCGGGAGGAGGCGGGGATTGTTATTCACGCGGCGCGGTGAACGCCGCGTGCCTGCCCTACGGCGCGGGTGATGCGGAGAGCCGGGTGGGAGGCGCACCACATTGAATAGGACGTCTTTTGTGGTCGGAATACCGCTGAAGGCCTCCGTGGGTGAACAACCTTTCGGTTGGCACCGGCGTCACTCAGAAATGTTTTCCGTTAATATGCACTTTACAAGTTTTTCTTTGCACCCGTGACAAGGGATTCGGCGTTTTGTGCTATCGCCGTGTTGAACGGGGACTTCCAGTGACCCATCCGAGAGTTTCCCTGTGGTGAACCCCGTGGTCCTTGTGATCTTTGATGTCGCCTTCACATCCAGCAGACCACTCTATTATCAGCCACACCTAGCGTGTCTCGCTGTACAGCAGTCCATGCGGCAGGCAAGATGGTTCGTTCCGTGGCCACAGGCTAGCTGTATGCGGGAAGGCGGGGGTGTTGCCATTTCCGAACGAGCTCGATCCCGCGGAAGAGAGACGGGTTAATCATGCCTGCAAGGCTTCCCCTGTGATTGTCGTTTCTCTGGTTAACCACGAACGGGCCGCTCGTGCGGTACCTTTTGCGCTGTCTTTTCTCTGACAACAGCGGCGGGGACAGGTTCATGGACCAGCATTGGGATCCTATCGACGTGGAGGAGCTTTCTCCGGGCGTCGATGGCGTCGGCAGCAGTTCTTTCCTCGCGGACTCTTTTCACGAAGCTTTCGATGTGAGATACCTCAGTGAATGCTACGCAAACGGCAGCCGTCGAGGGCCGGTCGAGGGCCGGTCGAGTTCATGTTTTGATAACCACGACCGTCGGTGTCAATCGTGTCGATTGGCCGCATACATATGGCAGGAGGCCTTGACAGCAAAAGCTGAGGGGGGCACGCGGTAGTACAGTGAATCTTGGTGCTGCATGTTCCTGGCGAGCACTCTGTGGCCGTCCCGAGATGGTGTACGTCCTCTGCCGAGCACGACCGCTGTTCGTGTCGCAATCGCAAATTTCATTCGTGGTTGAACTACTGAAGATGCGCCCTCCGTCTTGTACGCTCCGCCCCCTGATGCTGAAATCTGCCTTGTACGCAGCCCACACGGCGCCAGAAGCAGTTGCAGCGGCAGCGGCGGCCGTCGGCCTCCGGCAAAGGCGTCTCCAGACCCGACACTACCCCAGCGCTAGCGGCGGCGTCTTCCGGGACATCAGTTCACACACGCATGCACGCGCCGCCGCTGTCGGCGATGTCGAAGGCCCTGCAGCTAACGGAGAACCTCAAGCTCCTCGGCGCGGTGCTGTCGCTGCTGCGCCTGACGCTCGACCTCCTGGGCAGGCAGCCCTTGGGCACTGACCCGTCCGCGGGGCTGTTCAGACGGCTGTGCTCGCTGCTGGAGTTCTTGGAGGACGTCCGTGAGATGCGGAGCGAGTTTTTGGCGGCGGGAGGGGCTAGGGGGGGCGGGGAAGGAGCAGGAGGCGGCGACGCGGGAGGAGGAGGTGGAGGTGGCGGCGGCGGCGGGGGGGGTGGCAGGAGCGGCATGTTCGGGTGCGCGCACTCTCTGTCTGTGCTGGTGTTTGTCTTCAGGCCGTTCCAGGAGAAGAAATAGGCATCCAAGTCTCGCGGTTACTTTCTAGAGGATGCCGCCGCTATGCCCTCGTTTTTTTTGTTGAATCGTGTGTCGCTGCATTTTCTCTTGTGCGTTATACTGTTAATTCACAGAACATCTTGTGTCAATCCTTGGCAAGGCTGACTTAGCATGTCTGACTCGCGATATAGCCGAACGCACAAGATTTTTTCGTTTCGATGTTCACCGTCCAAGGGTGAGGCAACCCTGGGCGTCACGTTTCAGATGCGATCATGTACTGCTCATGCCCCCCCTCAAGAGAAATGCCGGTTTCGGTTGGGCTTTTTTTTTCCTAGCACGGCGCAGCGGCACCGTGTTTCTAGCCCTAACCTGCTTTCCTTGACGTCTTAGCTCTGCCTCTCGGTCGTTTTTTTTTTTCTTTGGGGGCGTTGCGCACGACTTTGTCACAACAACACGCCCTTTCCATATCCACGACGTCCTACATTCGTATTGGTTTGGCAATGTTGTGCGCTGATTCGCGTGCCATCTCGTCTAACCCGCTACCCCGTTTGGGCAATCGCGCTTGTTGTCTGCTCCGTCGCACGATGGCTTTACATTGTACACTGATGCTGCTGCTGTTGCTGCTGCCGTAGTGGGACAAGCCGAAGGGAATCCAGCGTTGGTGGCGGCGTTGGCAGCGGGGCTAAAATCTCGTCCGCTTCAAAGCTCCTGGGCTCTCTCGCAGACGAGGATGCTGTGGGCATAACGGACACAGAGGTGCGCTGAATCAAGTCCTGACATACCCATGTCTTCACACTTCGTACCAGTTTTTTTTTGTTTCCACGGGCCCACTATCGGTGTACTAGCTGGCTTTGTTTCTCCTTGCCCTGCGCATTGTTTCATGTCTCCCCCGCTTTGGTCAATCTAATCCCATCTTGCTCTGGCTGGCTGACTGCCTCCCTCCCTCTCTCTCTGTCTCCTTCTCTCTCTATCCACCTATCTCAAACGCTGTTATCCTTCGGTGCTGTAACTATCCGCGCATGGGAAAAAGGTGTCCGTGATGCGAGTGCTGACGCTTCTGCTGGGGCACGAGCTGGACAAGCAGCTCGACAAGGTCTTGTGGCTGGCACGGAAGTACGACAAAAACGAAAACGCCTTTCGTTTCAGGTACGGCGTCGCAACTGCCAACGGCTTTTCACTGGCCAATACAGCGATCGAACATCTCTCTCTCTCTCTCTCTCGCTCTCTCTCTCTCTCTCTCTCTCTCTCTCTCTCTCTCTCTCTCTCTCCCTCTCTCTCAATATATCCGTCTACCGCATCTATCTGCATGTATCCCTGTCACGGTGACTGTTAGTCTTGACACATGTACAACAGCAGTACCTGACCGCCGACGACGTGCAAGATCGGATGACACGGCGGAACTCCATGCGCCCAAGTGCTGCTACCGATTACCATGGTAGAGGTTTTCTCCCCGAAAGCGGGAGCGTACTCGTTTCATCGTACTTCATGGCCTTGCTTCTCAGACCATATCCCTTCTTCACCAGACAGGGGGAACCCACACCTGATTTTTACATGACGGTGCATGAGCACGGCGAAGGCGCCCGCGACACCGCGTGATGTGAAGAGTCGGCCCGCTCAGTTCTGGACTACGGAGGTACGACAGTGTTACGATATTTTTCGATTTCACCCGAGCAAACGTATTAGTAGCACCCATACGCCCACCTCAACTCCCTTTCTTCTTTTGTTTGCCTACCGGGCCACATTCTTTCCCTGCTTGCGGTTGGTCTCCATGAACGATAGCTTCGACGCTTCTACGGACAAGATGGTTGCGACGTACAAGGGTAAGGACATCTGGTCGCTGGTGCACAACAGTGGCGGCGCGGGCCTTCTGGCTGGCAGGGAGGGTGAGATAAACGCGCACAACCTCTCCAACCTCTCGGGAACGCTGTTGAGGCTGGCGGTAGCGGGTCAGGAGAGCGGGAGGGCTGGCGGCCCGACATTGACAGCCCGGTGAGTCTCACGCACTCCCTGATTGTTTCGGCGCTATCCTCTCACTCAATCCTGATATGGCGGTTTGTCATCCTGATGTTCGTAGTGAGTACAAAGCCTAAGCCCCCTCGAACTAGCGTCCCCTATATGGAACCCGTCCTTTTTTTCCTTTCCGAAACCATCTCCCGCTGTATTCTCCCCTCCAACATATGGTGGGCCGCGTTGAGAGGGTGTCCCCCCGAAAGCCCACACGCCAGGCCCCACGTCTCCGCCCTCCCGATCAATCAATGTGCAGGTCTTTCGCGCTCCTGTTTCGGATCAGCGACCAGGGGAACCAGCTGGCTCGAGAGGCCCGCAAGGTCACGCAGCTCACCGGCCGTGCGGCCTCCGAGACGCACCGCGGCCTCAATCGCGCCGTGATGGCGCTCCGAGCCTTCTCGCGCCGTCGCGCCGGTCGACCCGCAATGCTGGCAGACACCGTCGGCAACAGCAACGGGAGAAACGTGCTGGTTGGTGGGTCGTCGGAACGTCTGGCGGCACAATCGCCCCCGCCCCCCCCGACGACGACGAAGCCTCTTCCCCGTAAGGGTACCGGCGAAAGCGGCGCTCCAGTTAAGGTGACACGGACAGCAGCGGCGAGGGGAGAAGAGGACGGCGGTACCGGCGCATCACCCCCAGACGAGGCAGGTGCCGACGTTGCCAGAGCACGGAGCCTTTCTGCCATCTTTTCAGCGGCACCACCACGACTAGCGCCGGCCCCATCCGCACAAGATGCGCCAGCGGCTCCGGTGTCGGCGGCGCCGACGGGACTCGGGACCGACCTGATCTCCGCCTTGCAGGCGCCCTTGCTGGCGTCGTCGCCGCTGAACCGGCCACTGTCGACCGACAGCATCAGCAGCGCCGAGGAGGAACCGAACGCGGGAGGCAACGCCGAAGACGGCGCCGCCGCCAACAGTGTTGGTGTCCACAGCAGCAGCAGCAGCAGCAGCAGCAGCAGCGGTAGTAGCATCAACGACGGGAGCCCCTTGATCGAGGCGTGGGCGGCGGCGGCGGCAGAAGAAGCCGCGGCGAAGTCAGCGGCGCTGAAGGCCTCCGTGGCCGCGGAAGACGCCGCGCAGGCCGAGGAAAAGAGCGTCAGCGAGGCCCTCGGGGAGGTGCGCCGGGTGCTCATGGCCGGGCGGGAGGACGCCGACGGCGCGCAAGCGGAGGTGGAGCGAGTGGCGGCCGGGGTGGGGCTTCCCGCGGCCCTCCTCGGGGCGCTGAGGGCTCTGAGGAGGGAAGATTACGCTGGTGCTGGCGCTGGTGGAAACGGGGGTAGCAACTGGCTGAGCTTGGCGAAAGAGGTGCGGACGTTCGCGGACGTTCGAAGAACGCGTCTCAAACGCCGTTCAATGGTCAAGGAAGGAACAGCATTGAATAGCGGTGGCTTTAGCCGCTCCCGCGAACCCGGACGAAGCATGGCGAACATAATCGTGCGGTTGTGATTGGAAATCGTTGGTTTGGTCCAGGGGTTGATTCGGGAAGTGCGTGCAGTTGGCCATCCCCTATTCCGACTTGGCGCCTTTTTCGTGTTGGTGCTTGTCCCATCTGCAATTAGGCCTTGGATCGATGCATCGCAGTCTCTCGCCACAATCCCTTGGATGAATGCGTGGGCCTCGTGCAGCTTCCCCTATGCCTACACCTGTCTCACGCACCCACCGAAACGCGGCGCCATCCCTGTTCAATCGCCGTTTGATCTCGACTTTACCGCCACTCCGTCCCTGCGCAGATCATGCAACTGCTTCGCCTCCTCGTGGAACAGGGGCCGAACCCGGACCTCCGACGTCTCCTATTCTCCAACTTCTCCTTGCTCTTATCTTTCCTCGATGTGGGCGCCCCCTCGCCAGCGGCGGCATCGTCGTCCCAGCAAGCTGTTGTGGTCGGTGGCGGTGGTGGTGGGGGTGATGGTCGCAGCGGCGGCCGGCGGCTGTTCTTCGCCAGCCCCGTGGCTCGTCTGATGGGCGAAGTGGTCAACCAAGACTACGTGCTGGTGACGAGCGTTTCGGAGGAGCACCTGACTCAGCTTGCGATGGCTGCGACTCGGAGCAGGTATGGTATATAGGGGTACAAGTTGTCGCTGTCCGTGTGCGCTGCTACAGCTACCGCGTTTTCTTTATCTCTCGTTCAGCAATGCTGCTGGTTCATCTGCCGCCGTATGTTGTGACTTTCGTTTGAGCTTTCGGTATTGCTGTAAACGGGTTGAGAGGATCTCGGGCGCTCCTACAGGGGAAACGCGTGGGCTTTCTCTTTGCTAGTGTTCTGGTGAGCCCAGGGTAGCCAGTAGCCACTTCCCCGTTGTCGGGCTTGGTCAACCAGTCTGCGAAGTTCGACGCGGCGCCTTTGTCGCTCTTGCTCTCTGCTTTCATGCGCATGATGACGCCAATCGGTGCTTTTGCCGCTCAAGAGCATCGTTGGGTGCGCGTCCCATCATTTAGTGCCGAGCGTGACGGTGCGCTCGTTCTTCTCGTGACCTGTGTGCGGTTGTGTGCGGTTGTACAGGGAAGCCGACCTTCTGGTGCTACTTCAGAAGCTCGTCACGTGCAACGGAGCGCCTGTCCAAAACATGCAACGACGCGTGCTGGTAAGCAGACACAGGTTGGAGGGCGGGCGGCGGTGTACTTTGATGACTATTGCATTGTCGAGAGAGCACATCTACCCCTGTCCTGATCTTCATTAATCGAACCCTCTTCTCGTTTCACTCCTCGCGCCCCCCCCCCCGGGACCCCTTCTCAGGTTACTTTGCTGCGAGAGCTTAGTCGAACAGACTTCCACGCCGCCTTCGGGTGGGATGATCTCCGCCCGTCGCTGCAGCCCCCCGCCAGCCGTCCCCAACGTAACCCGCGGGTACAACACCAGCGGGCAGGCTCGGGTGGTCACGACAACAGCGACCTGCCTCGCTACAGCCCCGATGATGGTGACGGCAGCACTCCTCCTCCTCCTCCCGTTACGTCTACGCTACCTCGCTCGCCACCGGCGCCGGTACCGGCCGACGATCACCGAACAAGAGCCGGAGGGGCAGAGCAAACGCCGGCGCTCGGAGAGACTACTCCTGGGAGCTCCGCCACGGCGGGGGCTGGTTGGAGCGGAGACGGTGGTGGCTCGGGCGGTCGCGACTACTCCGGCCAGCGCACCGCTCGCGAAGAAGCGCAATCGACGCACGAGCAGGAGAGCCATTGGCGGCGCTGGGGGCGCGTTGAGGACTCGGCTACAAGCGGGCTTGGCTTCATGTCCGCTCTGCAGCGAGCCCTCATCCTGGAGCAGCAGCAGCGGCAGCAAGAAGCGGAAGAAACGGACGACGGCAGCAGCGGCGACGACGACGGTGAGGATGGTTGGAGAGGGGGCGGGGACCGGGCAAAGAGGGAGGCGGGCGGCGATAGGCACGCGCTGGAGCTCTTGAGCGTTATCGCTGCCTGTTGCGAGGTAAGGGCACAATGCGCGCGGTTGCATGTAGCAGGCTTAATGCGTTGATATCGTGTAGGTTGCTACCCCTGCGTCCCCTTTACTGTTTTCAGCTGGTGTGCTATTTAGTGAGTCCTTCGTCCACGGGGAATGTGCTCGGGTTCTCACGGAGAGCCGTCGGAAGGTGGCAGTGTGTTGCTTCGCTCACAACCAAGTCGATGTTCTCCACAGACATGCGTTGGTATTGCGCCGTCGTCGGTGAGGGCGACCGGAATACGAGAATCACGGAGCAGACCGGTCGTCGGCGCCGGTTTCACCAGACGATAACACAACGCACATGACCACCAGCAAATCGACCTACCCACACCATTATTTCCGACTCAAACGGATAGGGAAAGAACCACTTCACGGAGGTCCAGTGCCGCTCCATGGTCTCCCTTGAAGAGCTCGTGACCCTGGTAACCCGCGGGGCGCCGGGAGGCGCTTTGTCTGGGCGGGGACGCGGAGGCGACGCCGCCACCGCCGCCGGTGGTGCCGTTTCCTCTCCAGAATCGAAAGCGTACGATGGCGGTGGCGGCAGGATCAGCGTTGTCGCGGAGACCAAGATCCCGGGAGAGGTTGGCAGGAGGAACGCGGGTGACGAGACTGGTGAAGAAAAGCGGGCCCAGGAGGAGGATGACGGTGGCGTGGAAGAACAGAAGCAGTCGCTGCCGCAGCGCCAGCAAGACAGCAACGGTGGCAACGGCGACGAGAACGGCCCGTCTGTGACGGCAGCGGTGCCGGGGGCACCGCAGTTGGTGGGAGCAGCACAATCTTCCTCGGCGTCCGAAGAACCGGGGTTGCCGATTCGAGGCGACAGGCTTCCGTCCAACTCGTCTCTTGTAGGCGCTTCGACGAGCTCGTGGTTTCGAGATCGGCCAGAAGAAAGCGGCGCCGGTAGCGGCGGCGGGGCCGGATCGGCGGGCGGAGACGGCGGCGAGCGGCCCCTCCCGGCCGGAGTGAGGTGGGCGTTCATGTGGCTGCTCGACTCCCTGTTCTTCAACGTGAAGGAGCCGGTGGAGGGGCTGGATCGGCACCCGGTCGTGCACGCGTTGCTAGAGAACCTCCTCACGGTGCGTGCGCGAACACCTTGCCGCCTCGTTCCCTCGTGTGGCTCTCGTGCGATAGATTAGTGCACTACTTGCTTCGCCACACAACAGCGTGGAGTATTAGTTCTCTTTTTTAGTCGCAGCGGCCAACGCAATGTTTGACGATGCACTCCCCCCCCCCGTTTTCACGGACTCCCACCCGCGCACGTGACCCCGCTCTCTCTCTTCGTCGTGCAGACGACGCAGTTCTGCGTGAGGGTGCCGGCGAGCAAGCGATGGGAGAACGAAGAGATCGACTTCATCATCTCCACGGCTGTCCCCCTCCTCCACAACTTCTTTGAAGGTGAGTCGACCCCGAGAGTCTGTTTTCTGTTGGGCCTGGTCCTGTCCAGTCGCCTCCGTTCTTGCGTTACAAGTCCGCCATTCCTCGGTAGCAACACCTTTTTGCTTGTTTCGGGGTGCGGATCGACACACAAGATCTTCGTGTTCCCGATGTCAACCGAAAGGAGGCCTGGCAGCCGTGTACTGTACTCCGGAGAAGGAAGTACCGGTGTCGACGCTATCACGCGAAATCGCAGAACTATGAAGATACCTAAGCTCGATATGCCTAAGAGCCAGGAGGTCGGCGATAAACACCAAATGTGTGTGTGTCTTGCATGTCTCCTGTGACATGGTCCATCATCCCGTTCCCGCGACACATGCGGATGGCGTCGGGCGTAACGACGCAGGTTGCTGGCGAGACCCCCTGCCGTTCGTCACGAAGACCGCGGTCATGCTCGTTTCCACGCTTGCCGTCCTCTTCTACGCCCTCGCGGAGGACGTGAGGTCCTTGGCCGAAGACGCCGGCCTAAAGTGGCGCTGGCAGAAGGTCGAGGGTAGCGAAGTGGACGAAGGGGTCTGGGAAGGGGACTGCGACAAGGTGCGTGAAGATTTATTCGGCTGCTCCCTCGCCTGGTAGACGATTTCGTCCTCCGCGAGCGGACTTATTGCTGACCCGCCCTCCAACCTCACAGGCGGCGGGATAACAGGTCTCAGTGTCGGGCGCGGGAGGGGGGGGTGTAACCCCTCAATCGACACCTTCCCTTCGTATGAGGGACGAAGAGTGTACGGAGGTTGCGAAATCCGAGCGAAGGGGTACCATCGACCCCTGTATGAGACATAAAATCCGAGCGAAGGGGTACCATCGACCCCTGTATGAGACATAATCGTTTCAAACATTACTTTCGGACGGACTGCGCTGTTTTGGAAGGCGCGTGCCTGTTGCCGACATGTAAATCGTGGTTGTTGTATGTACCACAACTTAATAGAAGCATGCAGTACGTTCCTTGTTGAAGGTCGTTCTCACCCGTATTGATTCCAAAGCGTCTGCCACAACGCCAGGGCATATGTCCTTGCAGCTTCAATAGGCGGTCCTTCGACTGAGCTCTCCTGTTTGCGTTGCCCCCGCCCCCCCCCGTTCTATTTCCGAAACTGTTGTTCATCGGAAAGTGCTAGTTTCTCAAAGTAATAGTCAGTAAGTACCATAGAAGCGTAGCAACGAAGATACCCCCCTCCCGGTTACAACCAGGTTACCGCTTTTTTTTTTGCCTTTGGTTTTTATTTTGCGGTAACCATGAATGGTGGCCGAGTAGATTATGTTGTGCGGGGTCGAGAACCCTCACTCCGCGCAAAAGGGATAGTCGCACGTTGTGTTAAATTGGTCAAGCACCCTCGTCCCGGCTTTGTAGGGATGCGATGTCAATGGCCTAACGACTACGGCACGCACGACTATGAGTATACCCCCCCTCCCGGTTTGCCGTAGACTTCGAGACTTGGTGGGCATAAATTTTGTCAGGGGTGTAAGAAATCCGTCGTGACCATGTAACTTATCGGTCACACAGACAACCCGGGATGAAAACGTCCCATCTCCGGGTGTTAAACAACGTATTTTCGTATTTGTTGTTTGTTCGTGTGAAACCGCGCTCGAGACATGCAATGCTGGGTATTTTAATGCCGTAGGTGTATGTGTTTGCGCGTCACTGTGCTGCTGCCTTCTCATCTCTTTTGCTTCTCCCACGATTAGTATTTGGTATTCCTCTACAGCTCTGCAGATGACAAAAAAAAAGCGATTGGAAACTGGAAACAAACAATGGCTCGTGATTCATTTTGGTTCATCAATAATGAAAAATGTGTGTGTGTTGGCGGCGCATACGAGGGGAGCCCAGAGGTAAGAAGAAAACCCGGAAAATCCGTGTAACCTACCCGCAAACCTTGTGACCGGAAATAACCGGTACAAGGTTTTTTACATAATAGTGGTTTTTCTGCTGAAACTACGAGCTAAAGATAACAGTATCCTCGGAGCAGAATGACATACGGTGAGTGGATGTGATTTCTAGACACCAAATATGGTCACCGGGGGTGTTCTTTTATGAATCCCAATATGGTGGTCTTTTTTTGTGAATGAGTAAATATGGGCCGTGTGCATGAGCACGGGCTCTTTCAAGAGCATGCCAAACATGAGTGGACCGAGGCTGGAAATATCATAGCCCGCGTCTCACGCATACAAGATTGGCCGTCATGGCGTACTGACCTTGTGCCGTTCTTGCCGCCCCCGGTGAGCGCCGCTCGAAAAATAAGGTTGCTGCTTCAGAAAACGCCAAGATCCCAACTACCTCACTCTCTACCCCCTTTTCCGCGAATAATATTACTTTTTGGACTCGACCACGCCTGGCTTTGTTTCCTTCAAGCCCGAAGTATGGACCACGCTGCGCGCGACCGTTCACTCATCTCGCGGCGCTCAACAATGATACGAAGTATTAGATTCCCTCGCCTCGAACCCCCTCGTCGTATTTTATTCATCCACCGACGAATCAGGAGACGAAGTCGAGGCTGGAATGGCGCAAGCGAAAGCTGCGGTCGCTCCGCGACCTGGTGTTCGAGCTGTACCTGTCGGGGGACCGGCGAAAGCGAGACCTCTTCTCGCTGTTCTACGCGGAGAAGCGCCGTCTAGAGGTGGACACCACCGGCGGCAGCGACGGCGGGAGTCGCGGCGGGAGCGGGGACGTGGGAGGCGATAGTGACGCCACCGGCGATGGCAACGGTGCCCGCGGCAGAGGCGGTGGCCGTGGCAAAAGCGAGGATCGCTTTAACGACCTGATGGTCGTGATACAAAATTTGGCCAGGATTGCGGAGGACTCGGAAACGTCCGGGAGTGATTCGGCGCTGGGGGACAGCGAAGCCGACCACCACCACCAGCAGCAGATGGAGGGCGGCGGGACGGCGGGAAGGCCACGCGGCGGCTCGAGGGACATGTCAGAAGCGCTGGCGAGAGCGTACTGGAGCACCTCCGGTGACGGCGCCACAGTCAGGGGAAGCCGGACCTTCTCGTGGACGGCCAACGTGCGGTCTGTCCGGATGACCTCCAGCGGCGGCAGCAGAGGCTTCTTCCGGGACCAGGGGCACGCCGGGGAGGACACCTGGCAGTCTCTTCGGGCGTCCGCGCCGGACCTGCATCCGCGCCTGCCAAGTCAGTGGACGACGAGCAACAGAATCAGCGAAGTCGACCCGTCGCCGTCGCCGCAGAAAGCTGTCGGCCCCGGCGGCAGCAGCAGCGGCAGGATCGACAGCATTCAGGGTGGCGGCGAGGGTACCAACGACAGCCTTCGAAGTCGCGGCGCCAGTGGGAGGCGCCTGTTGCGGAACGCCAGCGGAAGAAGTGCCGGAGGCGGCGGTGGCGGCGGCGGCAACAGCAACAGCAACAGCAACAGCAACAACGGCAGCATCAGCGGCAGCATCCACCACAGCCGCTCCTTCAGCACGGGCAGCGACCGCGACCTCGGGAACCACCATCGAACCAGCAGCAGCGACCTCGCCCCGGAACTGACGACGGCGTCGTCGGAGGGAGCGGCCGCGACGGCTGCAGCAAGCGTCTTTCTGAACGCCGCAGGTCGGTCCAACAAGTCCATGCTTTCCTTCCGTCGTGAGGGTTTTGAAGGGGGTCCAGGCGGAGGCCCAGGCGGCGGGGGGAGAAGAGGAGGCTCGTCGACATTCCCGTCGTTCAGAGTCGGAGGGGGGGGCGCTGACCCGGCCGGCGATCGGCGGGGCGGAGCGCCAAGGCTGCAACTCAGCGAGCACGGGGTGAGAGTGCTACTTGCAAATGGTTATTTCCATTCTTGCGAACGTGCCGCTGCGTTTGTACGTTTTGCTTCTCCACCTCGAATCGAGCCCTTTTCCCTCCAAGCTGAAGATATATATTTTTTGCTTGGTACTTGCGGTTTTAGCTTGATACTTTCGCCAACACAAGACACGTACTAGGTTGCATTGTTTCTTGTGCGAGAAGTTACAAACGCGATGCATCTAGCACACCGACGGTTGACCCGTTGCTGCTTTTCCCACCGCCGCCTATACCTCATTCGTCCTCACTGGGAGGAACGCCGACTCACGGAGGGGGAGAAATTGTCATGCGCAGACCCTTTTGCTTCGCCAGAGGTGGCCAGACAGATGTCGGGGTCATGAGTTTTTGCACACACACAATGTGTGCGGTGCCAACCCCCAGCTTGACTATTATCTTGGATTTGTTGTCATTGGCGAGCAGGTCCTCCCTCTTCTTGAGGCGAGCGTGACGGGGAGCGGTGAGCTCGAGAAGCTTGTCTCGGACCTCCAGCAGGTGACTTGCTTGTTGTCATTGCTCGGTGATATGTCCGTGTTGTTCCACGTGCGTACGACCGTCCCGCCTGCGGGGGCATGCGTTGTTGAGGGCGGGACTTAGAACCGACACCGGGAGATGGCTGATTGCCGCACAACACCAGCAAAAGCGACAACGACAGCAGCAGCAGCAGCAGCAGCAGATCAAAAGATAGTATTCACGTTCGTGTGTTTGTGTCTCGTCCGGTAGTTCGGTGATTGGACAGGGAGAGTCTCATGTTTCCTGCTCTTTCTTTCTTTTTCATTCCCCTTTCCCCCACTTCCCCTTCCCAAACAATATCGAAAATATTGCCACCTGACGGACACTTTCATTACACTCTACCGACAGAGTTCACGGGACGATCATGTGCGAGCGCTGATTCGCTACGTCTGCTCACCAGCCCTTGGATCGGACGGCAGAAGCAGCAGCAACAGCAGCAGCATCGGTGGTGGTGGCGGCGGCAGCGGTGGCAGCAGCAACAGCAGTCATCATCAGCCGTCATCCTCAAGCCATAAGCAGTCTCCTCCACCTTCCTCGTCCTCCGCCTTTGCCGAGATAGCTCTCAAGAGGTGCGTGTGCTCCTTCGTGTGTGATTATTTCTTAATATTTTCTTTGAAATACCAAAGCAAGCGGCAAGGTCCGTCATCACGGTTACACCAATCAACTATCCCTCCGATCTCCAGGGGGTGTTGCCGTTCTCCGGAACCGTAACTGGGCGCAGTTGCTCCGGCCGGGTACGGCAAGGACTTGGTTGGGAGAAATCTCCGAGATGACGATTATCGCAGCGTCAATAAGCCAGGGGCATTGCCCTTGCTTCGCGCACCCACGCTCGCCGAGATAAGATCGTCTTTCCCCTCACCAAGCACTATCTAAAGTCACTAACCAAGCAATCGAACACCAACGATTCAGGTTCGGTCTCCACATTCTGCGGGCCGTGATCGAGACTGCCCCTCCTGTGGGGGACGGGTCGGAAGGTATTTGGTTTGTTGTATACGTTGGCTTGCATTTCCCTCCCTATTGGTTTCGGTTGCTGTCTTGTTGGTGTTGTGTGCATGTTAGATCCCGGTCCGGGCCCAGCTCAGCATCTGACGATCCGACTGATGGGCACTCCTTCCGTGGTCTAAGACCTGATGAAATTTTTATTTTGTGTTGCCGCTCGCATTTCCCTCCCTATTAGTTCCTGTTGTTGATGATGATGTCATTGTTGTTGTTGTTGTTGTTATTGTTGTTGCTGCTGCTGCTGCTGCCTGCTGCTCTTGTTGTTATTGTTGATGTCGTCGTTGTCCCCATATTAAGACTCGTTCCGGTCTCTACTCAATACCCTTCAACATCCGCCGGTCCGACTGACGTGCGTGCACTCCTTCCGGGTCGAAAGGCCTACCGGGGATGTGGCAGCCCGGGGGCGGGGCCGACGGCGGCGGTGGCGTGAGCACGAACGAGAGCACGCGGGGAAGAAAGGTGGACGAGGATGCGATACGGGACAACCAGGTACGTCTAGAGTAATCCCCCCCCCCCTTGCCTTCCCATCCCTTCTCGAACATTCTTGGTGACAATCCTTAGAAGGGCGTCCGGTGCAGCACCACTACCCTGTCCTTCAATCGCACCCACTACGTCGCGCTTCCCCACACCATAAAAATGAAATCAGGAGAAGGCCGGGAGACGGCTGCAGCAGGAGCGTATAGCGGGTCTCGGCGGGGGAAGCACGATCCTCTTGTTTGTCGGCGGCCTCAGCTCGTCGTCCACGCGAGACACGGCAGGGGATGCCTTCCTGCTGGCGGTGGAAATGTTGAAGGGGGGTAATAAACAGGTCCAGGTAGGTGTTGTTTTGCTTTTTTTTATGTGCATGTGTTGCTTGGAAGAGCGTTGGCCATCCCAAAAGGGTCGGCTGACAAGTGAACAGGCTTTTACTCTCATCGGCAGTTAATATGTTATGTTCGTGTGCTTCTTGTACGCGCATTGGCCGCCCCAATAACTGTGATCGGGGTCTCAGCGCCAGAGTCTTTGCAGTGCGAGGAAGGGTGCAACGTGCCTCCCCCGGTCCCTTGGAAGGTGACGGGTGAAGCGGACGGCTAGAGCACAGGAGGGCACGTGTAAGACATGACCATCGCGCCACAAACGGCTACTCAATATAGTCGAATATAGCCTTCACCAGGGTAACGAGCATGTGTGCCACACTCTCCGTTCCCGTGGAGATGACGATAATGGTTGTCGATCATCTCAATACCAGGAGCATTTCTACGCCGTGCTGCGGGAGTCTCGGCAAGACGAGTACTTCTTCGAGGCTGTTACCAACTTCATCCGCGCCTCGGTCACACGCCTCGCCGACTGCCGCCGCCGGCGCCTGGTCCTGAAACGCCGGGGCGCCGTCGAGAAGAAGGTGGCCCAGATGGCGGCCAGTAGCGTGCGCTCCGTCGACTTGCCGAGGACGGGGAGGCGGCAAGGCGGCAAAGGGAAGCAGCAGCAGCAGCTGCAACAGCAACTGCAGCGGTTGTTGCAGCAGGGCCGGTGGAAGCAGGGCCGGCAGTTGCGGCAGACATCCGGCGGCGGCGAACTCGGAACAGAAATCGGCGATAGAAGCCGACTTCGCCGCAGCCACAGCGTCAGCGGCCGTAGGGGAGGCGGAAATCCGGCGATGGACAACGGCTTGTCGTCCTCCTCTCCCGATGAGGATGATGACGACGACCCTCTCGAATTGTCTGAGGCCGCAAGCCTCCCGGCGCCCAGCCTGCAGATGGCCTTTCTCAGAAGCGGCCAGGCGGAAGGCGAGAAGACCCGCAGGGGGCGCGGCGAGCGCCGTTCTTCGTGGGGTTCGACGAGGTCATTGCCTCCACCATCTTCCCCGTCGTCGTCGTTTTCGTCCCGACGTAGAACGTCGGCCGTGCAGGGGGCGGCGGCGTCGAAGGCTGCCGCAGCAAGGGCCCCGACTGGATCGGTGAGTGAGAGGTTTTTCGATAATTGTTTGCTTTTTTCCGAGATTGGTAGGCGGCATCTCCCGCAGCGTGCACGGAACACACGGCAGCTCAATGGTGCACATGTTCATGATTGTGCAATTCCGTCGGCGAGTAGAGGCAGCGCCGGTACCGGGACGGTGCGGCGTGGTGCTGTGTGCAACCAGACGTTCTGGGCGCAAGCAGTACAACGCACCATGTTTTCGCAGCTCTGGGTAGAATGGCAATAACGACGATTGCGCGTGACTGTAGCTGGCTGCCTCAAAAGAGAACCTTGCACGCACGGGTGGATAATATCCCCCCCTTGCACAACACGCCGACCATGACACAGAGAAACGGTAGTTGGCAGTAGCATCACGAGACAGTTGCGTTACGTATGTTTTCCCGTTCAGCTCCTGGCCCTTCCTACCCACTGGTTCTCTGCCTCTCGCTCGACCCTGGTTCTCTGCCTCTCGCTCGACCGCTGCTGCAACGTAACATCACGCGTTTGTCTCATTGTGGTGAAAACACCTCATCTCTCTGTGCTAGACGAAAACGACATGAAGTACATCGCTAACGGTCGTGTCGAGCGCTCGAAATTGCCTCTCAAACACCACAATGTTGGCGTAAAAAAAACACAAATTTATTGCAGACGCGGAGGCAGGCCAAGGCGACCATCGCCAACATGTCCATCACGGTGGTCGAGCCGGGCGCGGTAGGCAGCGGCGAAAGTGGCGCGTACGGCGGGCCAGGGGCGGACGGAGAAGACCAGGCGCCGCCGGCCGCGCTTCCCGCAGCCGGCATGGCTGCGGGAGAGGGAGAGGTACGATCCGAAATAGCAGCGGTGATAATATTTTGTAGCAAAGTTTGCAATTGTTTGTAGCCGTCTTCGTACGAAAGAGGCGTTCAGACCGTCGCCGCGTGCGTCCTACTATTCCCAACCAGCAAGTACGAGCTTCCGCCATACCATAGTGGCAGTATTTTGTAATAGCAGTTCAGTTTTCCGGGGACCCGGGCGGGGTCATGATTTGGGAACCATTGTCAAACAACTCCGGCATTCTCTTGTTTTTTTGTCATATGCAATCGTCTTACTACTTGCTCGAAAGAAGCGTTCCGACCTTGGCCGAGTCCGTCCAAAGTTTCGAACGAATCCCAAACAAACAAATTACGAGCTTCTACGTAGCAGGCTTTTAAAGGAAACTGCGTAACCCCCCAGCTGGCGAAGGACTTTTACTTTTATCCCCCCACGACGTAGTGGCGTAGGAGAGAGCCATGCACGATCTGTGCCCCCCCCCGCTTGTAGGGGAGGTAACCGTGATCGCGTGTATTGTCGCCAGGGGCTCGTGTAAGATCGCCTTCGATTGCGCTCACAGCCCGTAGGACTGACCTCCCGCCCGTAGGACTGACACGCATTCGAGAGGGAACATGTGGCAGGGACGTTGAATATGTATGTGCCATCAGTACGTGGTGTTGCTGAGACGTTTTTATTTTAGCGTTAGTGCGTCGGTGCTGTCGTGCTGGCGTATGAGATTTTGCTCTTGTTCCTGTATCCTCCTTTTCGGATGCTTGCGTGTTGGCCTCCGGGGACCCGGGCGGGGTCATGATTTGGGAACCGTTGTCAAACAACTCCGGCATTCTCCTGAGCTTACACGCCCCCCCCCCCGGTATCAAGGGTATGTTGGCGTTTCACTTGGAACGGGGACGTCTGGGCAGAACAGAAAAACGCTTGGACTCTTATGCAACAGACGTCACTCTGTCCAACAGACAGCAAGCAGTTAGGTGTGGGGTGCGTGCTTCTAAATATGGATCAAATGTGATGTCACGTTTCGAGCAGGAGGAAGTGGCGAGCCTGTCGGCCCTGATGGAGTTCTTGCGGCTGCTCTGCGAGAACCACTACCTCGACATGCAGGACTACATGAGGAGACAGCCGGACAACCTACGCACCTACAACATGGTAGAATACAACTATGTTGTGTGTAAAACAATGTGTTGACCCCGTTTACTGTTGGCTTTGCATGGCGGGACATGTGTCCTTTCAAAGAGAATAGTCGGGTATGATGAGTGAGAGGCCCTTGTTGTTTGTCCAGCCCGCCGGAGCCCAAAGAAGGCAACGATGTGCCCGTGGCGAGTGAACAATGTGGGGAGGTCAAGGCGTTCAAACGGACAGCGCAAGGCACGCGCACGTGATTCTCGCCCTCGAAGAATGCGCTCGAACACCGCGTACTGTAGTCACTCCGAACCCTTTTCCTACTCCTCATGGTGCTGCCTGCTGATGCTGTCTCGACGAGACACACTTGGTTCTTCACGCGGCCCAACTGGGCGCAAGGTGACGCTCAGCCTTACATTCACTAACTCTACCTCTGCCTCCGTCGCCAAAGTTATCCTCACCAGGTGTTCGGTGTGTCCTCGTGATTTTGTCGCTGCCGCTTGTCACACCGTACTCCCGTCGCCAAAATTTAACCCGGTGATGACCGCAATTCTAGCCTGACCCTGCTCTACGCACATACCGCGCCCCTTTATTCCTGTCCCTGCTTTCGTCCGCGCTATCCCTTGCACCGCACCTTCGCTGCGAGGTATACCTCGCCCCGCCCCGTCCTTTCGCCTGTTCCAAAGCCCCCTGACTCAGTTTCGCAAACCCCTGGCCCTTTGTTCGTCGCCGACACATTCCTGCGCCAGGTGACGGAGGTGTGTGCGCTGCTGCAGGGGCTCGAGTGGGTAACGCTGGACGACGTGCGGCACTGGGGCATCGACGCCAGGACCATCGACCTCGCATTTACGGTACACAACACGACTATTCTTCGACTTTGTCTCACTGCATTTTCACGTACAAGGCTCATTCTTCTCTGGTTTTCGTTGTTATCGTCGCGTTTGTGGTGGTTTTTCTGGGTCCTTTGCTTTTTCTCTTCGGTTTTTCGTAGGTGGGTGCAACATTTCATTTCGGGGGTAGATGTCCTGTGACCAAAGGAGGCGTTCGCTTCGGTTGGAGGGTACGGGAGTTAGGAGGCACGAAGCACGGTTTGTATTGTGAAGACAATAATAACAACAAATTCTACAGGTTTTTCAACAACACAACAACAACAACAACAACAACAACAACAAGAGCACAACGCGTGCTTATTTCTTGCGCCTGCGTTGTTCGTGGGAAAAGACCGTTAATTACAAGTTTTACAAGCAGCAACAACAACAAGAGCACATCTCAAGGTTGTTTTATGGCACCGGTGCTCATCGCGGGAGATGAAACATATACGTAGGACCGGACTCGAATTGTCCCCCGAGGATGTCCGCACTGTTTCGGATTCACGGAGGAATGGCGAATACCACGTTGCCGCGTGATACATGTAGTGTTAAGTCTCTTCTTCTCCATCTGTGCCGTCTAGAAGAAAAACCTCAATCCGGCTTGGGGAGGATACCAGCGGGGACAGGCGGTAGTAGTTCTTACGATCAGGATTCACAGAATGGGCCGTCATGGTGAAGGCCACCTCCCTTATTTGTAGCACCCCAAACACGAATCGAGTACGCATTCCACAACTGCCACCACGGTAAGATGTACCAGTGGTAGACGTGCCCCTCAATCCTGGTTGGCACCACAACCCCGCCCAACCCCTACCGCCACCATTTCGGGGATACGAGTTCAGATTCATCTTCATCCGTCCCCTGTGCGACCGACAGGTTTTATGGCCTGAGGCTATCCCCTCGTGCACCATACCGCCTCCTTAGCTTTCATCACCACGCCCCCGTCTCGGCATTGTAGGGATGCGAGGGTTGTGGTCCACCGACTACGGCATGTGTTGATATGAGGACACCCTTCTTCCCCCCTGCTGCACGCTAACCTGCGATTCGTTTTGCCGCCAAACTTTCGTTCGAAACGACTTGAATTTCAACCCCCATTGAAGGTGGTGAGGACCTTGGTGGAATTCGCTCAGGGCAACGAGGGGAACAAGCGAGCGATCGCAACTCCTAGCCTGACAGGCAGCATCAACGACCTCTTCCGGAAGAGGTGACGGCTGGCGAGGCGGGAATTGTTGGTGATGTTGGGGGTGAAGTGATCAGCAACGCGGTTGGCGTTTCACGTATTTGTTAGGGCTCAGGTATGGTGTGGTTGTCGCTTTTGACAATACAGTAGCAGCAGCAGCAGCAACAGCAGCAGCAGCAACAGCAGCAGCAGCGAAACGTGATCATGCAACACCGACACGTGCTCGTCACCAGATAGCCCAGACACAGGAAAGGAGCCCCACACCAACAGCTAACTAGTACCAGGTAGGGTATAACAACCTTGGTTTCGAGTGAGATAGACACAAACGGCCAATGATGCCAAGATATCCAGTACGAGTAAAACAACAACCAATCACCCCACCCTGCGAAACAATGAGCTGATGATTTGTACCAGTATTTTTTTTTTTAAATCAGAATACGATCGTTTGGGTCGAGCACTACGGCCGTGTATCATGCTCCTAAGCACGCCCTCTTCCACCCCCTGCCCGCACCACTCGTGCCATATTGTTGTTGTGGTCGTTGTTGTTGTTGTTCGAAGGTTCGATGGCCGCGACCACGGTGAATCGGTACTGGCGGCCCACCAGAGGGGGGAGTGCAGGACGTCCCCGGCCCGCTTGAAGCACCAGGCGTTCGTGCTGTTGTACTCTCTGATCGAGGGGTGCCACGAGGCAAGTGAACTACACGATTACGAACCCGTTTTAGCAGTGCACGGCTGTCACGTTTCTAGCTACCCATGGCAAAGGGGGCGAGCGGTGGTAAGCGCGCGGGGGGGGGGGGTTCTTGCAGTGTCTGGAGGGAAACATTTTGAGGTCTTCCGTAGCTGCAAGTACTTTTGAGAGGTTCTGGCCGCGCCTCGGCCGGACAGGGCGCTGTGCTTGTGTCCGTGGCAGGAGGTTCTTTGACGTGACTGGACACAAAAGTTGCGTTCCAATTTCCGCTGAGGGTGAGGTCTAGAAGGAAAGGGGTGGTTTGGAGTGATTCAGACGTCGGGGTCAGACTGCCGTCCCGATGATTATTTGATTGTTGGGGCTAGTGATGGTTGGCTACTGGAAAACGCCATGGTACGTGGTTGGGCGGAGGCAGAATTTCTTTGGAGAAAAAGCAAAACAGGGTACATCCCGTTGGTTTACAATAAAAAGTGCGGTTCACATTTTTTATTGCGAAGCGCTGGGTCTGGCATCGGGTAGACACCTCTGCGTCGCCTTCTAGCGCCTTTGTCCCACGCACGAGACCCTTGGGCGGCACACAGTACTTTCAATGTATAGGGCCCCGGATTGGCACTTCCATCAGCCTGGATAGCACTCTTTTTTGGCGTTTAGGGCTCCAGTTGGTTTCGCACCAGCTTCTACCAAAAGAAAGGCACAACCAGCAAATATTCCGCGTACGGACAAATGGTCCAATCTCCGGCCCCAATCTTCTTATCCCATTTCAAGCCTCCCTTCTCTCGCCTGCTAGTTCCGGTTGTTGTTGTAGTTGAGGTTGTGGTGTGCTGCTGCTGTTGTTGCTGCTGTTCTTGTTGTTGTCGCCTGCTGCCCAGCGTCAACACCAGCTCTTACCTCCAGATGCGCTTCTTTCGGAACGTCCCGTCGTTTGCTTTATTGCTCTCTCTCTCTTGTCACCAGCCGTCTGTGTTCTTCACCCTGCTGCACACCCTGGACTTCGAGGCCATCCTTGGGGTGCTGCAGGACGCTCGAGAAGCCTTTGCGGTCGCGTCGCGGGACTACAGGTGTCTATTGGCCGCCTGTCTCGTGTCATGCTCACGGCGCTTGTCGCGTGCCTTCCTCTTGACGGATCTGACGCTTTTGGGATTCAGTATGCTACACACGAGTGAAGTCGTTAGTGCCTCTACTGCGGGTACTATTATATTTCTTCCGCGGGTTGCGCTACCATGCGATGTAATTCCCTCCTTCCTGTCTGTTTCCCTTTTCCATGGACGATATCATACACCCTTTGTTTTGTTTGCGTCTTTTCTTACCGCTTTGCTGTGATTGGCCAATCCACGCAGGATGAAGGAGAGAACCTACTTGAAGCTCAGGAGGGCAAGGTGGCGGTCGGGAGTGCTGCTGGTGTTCAAGGGCTGGAAACGCAAGCTGAAAGCGGCGACGGAGGTGTGTACTAATGCTGTCAACCTACGTTCCTTGACACCACCACCCACGGTTATCTACATGAAACGGTGGCTACACCATCGCTTCCTTGTGGGATTTGTTTTTCAGAAAGACAGCCGTAAATGGCCGTGGATTTCAAGCCCATATCCCCGCGCCTCTCGTGTTGAAACCTTTTCCGCCCCTCTGTGCGCTGAGCTTCATCGCCGCTGCTGTTTTGCGCTTGCTGATTCTTACTTCTCTTCTCTCCCTCTCTCCTTTTCCCTGACAACTACCATGCCTTTGGTCTTGGCTTTATTTTTTTCCCAACAGGAACACAAACGTTCTGAAGAGCAGTGGGAGTCGGCCAGGCGGGGCTGCAGCACTCCGGTCCTGTTCCTAAGGGCTCTCTTTGACGGGGGCAGGGCAGACAACCCTGAGAAATGCGCCGAGGAAGAAGCCAGGCGAGCTACCCCCGCTTCTTGGCTACTTTCACGCCCGTTTTTCTTTCTTTATCTCATGTGCTACGGTCGCCAACAGCAGTCTCTACCTTTCTTGGCTGAAGAGCTCTGATCCGATGTCGCACAGAATATTTCCCTCTCTGGTGCATTTGCCTTCCACATTGTGCGGTTTCCACATGGCGGAAAAGAGCGCTTGAGTTTAACAGGGTTTGTGCTCGAGCATAAATGTAGGTCAACTTCCAATGTCGTCGCACATGATGTTCGAACAACAGGTGGTAGCAAACACGTGACGTTCTTTGAAATGCCCAGTTGCTACCAACAGTGGACATGGTTGATCCATCGCCCCATGGATTCATTTGCTTGCTAAGTTTTTCTGCAAATTGAGTCAGCACTACTTGACATAGGTGCAGTTCCCGTTCGCGTACGCACGAACGACACATCTCGTATTCTAAGTTCATGTTTCTTCCGTTGAAACTTTGAAGTCTCTGTTCCCAGCAACCGAGCTCTCAAGTGAGTTTATGCTGTTTTTTTTTTTTTATAGGTTCGAGTCCTTCCTGGACGAGTGGCAAGGCGCTGTCCGCAGCATCGAGATCAAGCGGGAAGGTCGTCTGGAGAAGATGTACTTCGTGGTGCCGGAGTGGTGCAGGGCTCACTGGAAGAAAACCCCCGTGATCGAGATGAGGTGGGTATGTGCCTGTCGGTATGCGTGTTCGTGTGTTTCTGTGTGCTTTCATGTGAATGTATGTGTTCTTGGTGGAATGCGTGTTGTTGTCTCCCCTCCCCCACCTACCCACCCCCTCCCGCCGTCTCCCGTCCACCAACCCTCCACCCGCCGTTTCTCGACGGACTTTCTCTGCCCTTCCCTCCGTATGGGTCTCTTGCTTGGTGTTTGTTTGCGCTGTTGCAACGATTGCGATCTCCTTCGATCATCTCCGATGCTTCGTTCAGGGAGCTCATGAAGAAGCGCTGCGCTCGCGCGACGTCATCTCCGGGCTGGAAGCTCCTCAAGTTTTACCAGCAGGGAGAGGGCATGCTGAGCCAGATGGCCTACCTGCACACGTGAGGCTGCTGGGTCCACGTGTAGGTTACAGCATTACAGTGGGCCATGAGAATATCAAGTGTTTCCCGAAAAATGTTGTGTGTGTGCGTGTGATGGTGTGTGCGAGGCTCTCAACATGTTGAACACGTGACATGTGTCTCAAACACATGCACACGCCTCCATGTCGCCGATTTGTCTTTTTTGCCTCTTTTTTTCTCGGTTCCATGCTTCCCCGTCCTTCCCTTTTCTCTGCCTGTTTCATTGCTCCCGCCCCTCTCGTGTGAGCTTCCGGTTTTCGTATTTTTATTATTTCCGTCTGTCAACCCCGACCAACGCACCCGCAATTACACCGATCAGGCTCCAAGCCTCCTCGCTGCACGTCGTGACGGGGAAAGAGGAGATGTGGAGCGCCCTGACGTTCCTGCTGGCGCTGGCGATCAACCTCTCCGACATCGCCGCCTCGGGGGAGAGCGAAAAGGAAGGGGATCGCGTCTACTTGTAAGTTAGGGCGCGAGACAGAGGGAGAGGGGTAGACGCACACAGAGGGAAACAGACACACACATTGATGGAGAGAGACATCAAGGAACGAGAGGCGAAACAAACTAACCCCGTATCTCCTGTAATATGTCACCCCCGCAATATCGGTACTAGAATGTCATTACATTCGTGTCCATTCAAGGGGATCAGGGAAACCACAACACGCTAGAGAGAGAAAGAGAGAGAGTAGTAAACGCGGCAAAGTCATGATCGTTTAACCTCCTACGCGTGGTATTCCTGCACGTCACCAAGATGTACTTTGGCCCATTCCATGCGGCCGTTCCTGCAATTTGAGCGAGGTTTTGGGATTGCTGCCACGACAGAGTACGCCATGCGGCACACAATTTCGTTTTGTGTAGGTGCGTTTTCGCATCCCATCTCTTTCGGACTTCACTATACTCCGTTCGGCATCGTATTGGACGCATCAGGCGGGATCATTCAGGAGGAAGGCCGCTTATGACGTACCAGGATACAGATATATGTATTCGTTCTACGTTTAATCCTGCCGCGCTTGCCTTTCTTTTCTTGCGGGAAGACTTGCCTTCTCGCGTGGCAGCAGGTGTCCCTGCATGCCTATATCTTCTGGGTTCTGGCTCGCTCTCCTCAGTATCGTCCACTGTGGACGTGACCCTCAGACCGCATTGAGAATGTTTTACGTTTGTGTTTCTCCTGTGGTGATTGGTTGACCACGCATACACCACATTGTTTTCCTTGTCCCATTCTCCAAAAAGGGGGCGCGCGTTGCCTCACTCTGTGCGGATTGCCTGCAACATGTCGATCGACCACTGTTCCCGCTCTTTTGGGAGCGCTCACATTCCAGGGGTACAGATGTCTTCCACCCTTTCGGCACTCTGCCCTTTATTCTTCGCCCAAGTTTTTGTTTTTTCTCGATATTCTTTTCCCACCACAGCCGACAATCCGACGGTCTTGTTCGCTTTTCTCGTTTCCAACACCGAACGCATTGTGCTCAGCAGCCAGAAGCGTTCCTTCGACACCCTCTCTCAAACATTCCTACCACTTTTGTGCCCTCCGCTCATCCATCCGTCTCTGTGTTCCGCCCGCCTTCCCCCCGCGTGTTGTCTCCGTACAATGGCCTCGGCGTGATACGTATCGAAACGTGTCTGCTACCCGCCGATGTATGGTACGTGACACACGCCTCAATATTCGCCCAATACACACAGGGCGGGCACGGTGTTAGGGGCCGCGCACGTGGTGATCTCGTGCCTTCGCCTGGTAGCCTTCATGTACAACCGCCAGCAGAAGTGGCTCTACGAGCATAACCTCCCGGACCTCGCGATGCTCCGGCGCGTGCTAAGACTGGGCCCCCAGCGAGTCGGCGAGGACGTCTCGCCCCGAGGTTCGTCGGTGCTGCTTGCTTTCTGTTGTTGTTGTGGTGGTGGGTGGTGTGGTTGTCGTTGCCGGCTGATCCCGGGTTTCCCGCCGCTTACTGAGGGCTGGGACTCTGCAGCATGAGGTGGCGAATCATCGTGTCGCGAGGTGCCAGAAGGGGGGGCTGAGTGTATCGACGATCGCAGCAACAGATCAAGTCTAGAACATCGTCTTGACTCCAGGTCAATTAATTCCCCCCGCTCCCGTCGTTCCCCCCGGTTTCCCAGGATGTTAGTCGCCCACTCCGTTTCTGCAACATCTCTCACTTCGCTCCCCGCCGTAGAATCGCGCAAGTGCTTGTATGCTGCTGTGCTCGCTGCTGCCCCGCCCGCCTTGGTGGGGTATGGGGTCAGCGGGAAATACAAAGAGGCATCAACAAGAGTAGCCCCAGGGAGCTACTGTAGTTCAGTCTGCCCGTTTTCCCGTCGAATCCATCCCGCACGACTACTGCTGAAGTCTGAGAAGAGGCGCTCTCTCCATTCGTCGATTGTGCACCTCGACCGGCAAGTTGAGGGACATGGGTGTCCCACTTCTAGATGTTTTTCCTGAGGGGGTGATCTGGCCATCTTGTCCTAGTTGTACGAAAGAACGTAGAGTTAATTATGTCTGCTGTTGCAGCAACAGTTACCTTCTCCCCGTTCCTCTCCCCCCCTTCCGGCCGCACGTCTCAGGCCAAGCCGCCCGCGGCGACAAGCAGCAGATCTCGACCAGCTCCGCGGGGGTGAATACAGCGGCGACGCCGCTGGTGCTGTCGCCGTCTCCGTCCCAGGAGGTGACCGACCCGGTCGGCGTGGCGGCCTCCCTCAGCCGAAGCGGCGGAGGCTTCGCGGATAGCAGGGGGGTTGCGGGGGGCGGAGAAGGCACGAACGCCCTCGGGCTTCGGCGTGGCGTACAGGACCGGATATTGAGGCTCGCCAAGGAGTACAGCCAGGAATCCTACGACTCCAACGGCAGCTGGGGAGGGGGGGGGTGGGGGAGCGGCGGGGGGGGCATGTCTTCGTACGATAGCAGCAGCAGCGACAGTGACAGCGAGAACAGGGAGGAGGCGGAGATGCGCGCGTGGGGGGGCGGTGGAGGGGGCGGGGGTCGAGGCGTGGGCGGTCGCGGGAAGGAGGTGGGTGCAAGAGGCAATCATGAATAGTACGCATCTTATTTCTCTACTTTGCCATGGGAACAACCCTTCCTCCACGACGACGGCTTGCGCTTTGTTGGGAGGAAACGAGAGGGGAGTGAGCTTTGCTTTGCTGCTTTGCTGCTGTGCCCACTTCTTGACTATTTCTAGGCGGGGGAGAACGTTCTCTGTGCCCGTCATATCGCGCAAGACCTTTGTTCGTGTCACGTTCACCTGCGACAATGACAACCAAAGCAACAACCAAAACAACAACGCAAAAGACATTAAAAACAACAACAACGACACAACCCGAAAACATGAAGAACAACTACACCAAATCACGTCGACATTGTGGCCAGGTGGGCCGTGTGGACCGCTTGACCCGGATGGCGGTCATGCTCAGCTCGTCAAAGTGGAACGTGCTGTACGTCCTCGTGTCCCTTGTTGGGTTCGTCCTGTCCCTGCGGTTTGAGTTCAAGGGCCGGAGCGCCTGCTACGCCTTCTGCCTGCTGGACGTGTCCGTGCGCTATAGGGCCATGCACAGGTGGGCGTGCAGCGCCTTTAGGTGCCTCTCCGGTGTCGCCTTTGTGTTTCTTGGGATCCGGCCTCGCTACATGCGCGCGCGTTCCCGCGAAAATTCTGTCTTGTATTATTTTTGCTCTTCTCGGAAGAGGAACGTTTTGGTTGTGCCGCATCTGGTTCTGGGTTTACCGCGCCATACCTACCGCACCGTTTCTTTTTGTAAGGCATTGACCTCTCCCCCCGCGTCGCGGTCCCTTCCCTGTCCTCCATCCCCACCCCTCCTCCCGCCGCTCACTCACACCTCTTCCCCCGCTGTCTTGCTTGTGTATCCAGGGTTCTCCGAGCGGTGTCCCAGAACTCGGCGATGCTTTGGCAGACGGCGATGCTGGTGGTGGTGGTGCTGTTCATCTTCGCGGCCGTGGGGACGGCCTGGTTCGAGGACGACTTCGCTCTCGCGAGTGCCGTCGAGGCGGTGGGGGACGACGACAGTGCGGAAGGCTTCAGCGGGTGTAGCACTCTTGGCGAGGTGCGTTTCGCGTTTTCGGCCGTTTTGTTTTGCAGACCCGGCCCGCACGTAAAATAACGTATTTAGTACCCAAGAACTTCAGCCTCAAAATTTCCAAAGTACAAGGACTTAACCTTAAGAACAGGTGCTCAGTGAGGAAGCCTACAGTACACTAAAACTTGTATCGTGGGCATGGGGATACCCCTTAGTAAGAAACCGATCCTCGACTAAAGTAAGAGATCCTTCAGTGCGGGCCCCCGAACTGTTGGTCGTGTGGTTGTGTGTTGCTGCACGTGTGCACATGCGTGGGAGCGTGCTTGCGTGCCTTCCCCCCTCCTGCTGCTGCGCCGAAGGCCGCCCGCCTCGCAAAAAGGGGCATTGGTGGAGTACAAGGCCTCCTGCAGGCATGCGACTTTGCCGACCAAGCAACATGAACACATCACAAGCTGTGCCTTTGCGGTCGGTGCACGACCCATTCCCCCGGCTACAGAAACCCCCGACGTGGTACACCCAGGTTCTATAGTGTTTAGAGATGCGAGGGGCAATGCCAACGGATATCCACGATACTAGCCGACCTTGATTGACCCCCATTCTGTCCCCGTAGAAGAACGCCCCTTCCATCTACGATTCGATGCAGTGTGTTCCACGTTTCAACCCTTTTTTGTTCAAATGGATTTGCTCTGGTTATGGGACGAGATCGCAGCAGGAGTTTTTACCCTGGTGTGTGTGTGTGTGTGTATATTTTCTTCGATATTGGCTACAGTGTCTCTTCCTCCTAAGCCGCGCTTCGCTTCATTGCGCAGTTTCGACTCGCTGCCGATTCGCTGCCGAAGGTGCCGAGTCTTCCTTGTTCGTTTCCTTTTCTTTTTTTTTGGTGTTTTGATTTTACCCGTTGCTCTTGTTGTGCCGTGACTTTGTTTGGCACCTGCCAGTGTTCCATCACGCTGTTCCAGTACGCCCTGCGAGGAGACCTGGGGACGTACCTTTTGCTCATGACCGACCAAGACGAGCCCGGGGTAAGAAGAGTGGACCGGGTTGCACCTTGGAGTGTTCGTTCGCCGAGAAGCCCTCCGTGACGCCTTTTCGGGGTGTTCACCGTACTGCCCAAACACGCTCGGACAGGAACGAACTGCATCACGCTCTCGGCCTGGTCTTGTTGCTTTGGTCGCGTGAAAACTTATCCGTTCCCTCTGGTTGACAACCAAACCGGTCTCTGCGTCCGCCGAAATGCGATATGCGTCGGGGTGTCCACCGTCTTGGCCGACACGCTCGGACTGGGACGACCTGCACCACGCTCTCGTCCTCGTCTCAGCAAGAGTGTTTTTGTTGCGGTCACGTGAAAACATGACGGTGCCCGCTGCTTGGTAACCCAGCCACTTCGCACACGGTATCTACGTACGCCAAAATTTGATATGTGCGCTCTGGTCTCGTGTTGTTTTTGCTTTCTCCAGCAAGCACGTCGTGAAAAATAACATCTGGCAAGTGCAGCCGCCGTTTGTCACCCTTTCCCTGAATGGCGAATTGACCTTCTTGTCTCACGAAAGATCGTGTTTCCACTGCCTTTTTCTTCCCGTGCGTTCTCTATGAGTAGCTCCCCCCTCCCGTATCTTCTCTTCGCAGCTAAGCTGAGCTAGGCGTTCGGAGAAACTCCGCATGACCGCCTGGTCCCCCGCTACGGATTTGTAGGGATGCGAGGTCACTGGTCTAACGACTAATGGCATGCACGGCTATGAGTACACGCCCTTTCCACCCCCTTCCCGATAACCTGCACGCTATGTGCCCCGCATTATTTCCTGGTATATTGCCAACACCCAAATGAACTTTGCTGGCCTGGTCAAACACAGCATCGCATCCGGCGCTTCTTGTACGACGTGGCGTACTGGGTGTTGGTGCCTCTGCTGCTGCTGAACATGGTCTCCGGCGTCATCTTGGACAGGTGAACTATTTATCTTTCCCTATTTCTCGTTCCAACCTGTGTGCGTTTTCGCGAGAGATATGGCAGTTTGGATCAACAAACTAATAGACAACTGAAAGCTAGTCCGCATTCCGTGTGTGTGTGTGTGTGAGAGAGAGAGAGAGAGAGAGAGAGAGAAAACGAGAGAGAGAAGAACAGCTACGACTTGCACTTTGGTTTGTAAGCCGAGATTTTCTTCGGAGATTTCAGATTTTTCTGCAGGGACCGGAATGCAAAACAGGGAGGCATGCTTTGTTTCGTTAACACGAACAGGAGGCAATCCCCAGCGTGTCGTTTCAGTCAGCCAGCCCGCGCGATCCTTCCAGCATTCGTTTGGTTGCGTTGTGGTGGAGTCGGTTTTTGCACCCGCCCAGAAATTCGACGGAAAGGGTGCGCTTCTTTTCTCTCCCTCCATATCCGAAGTGTTGGTACCTGTTTCACGTCCCTCCTGTCATTGCAACACAAAGCTGCTGCAGCGGCCCTTTTGTTTGCTGCTGGGATCGAACCGTTCCATGGCGGCAGACAAGCTACCGAACAGTGTGACTTCCTGCCTCTGCCTCGATGTGGTTTGTGCTGTTACTGGGTGGGGTTCTAACTTAGTCTGCCTCCTAAACACCGCCACCACCAGGAATCGAGTACCACTTGCCGCCCCCCACCCCCCGTTCATGTACGTACAAGAGATCACGCACGAGTGGACGACTTTCCATTTCGCAAAGCGGTTCATGGTTACTAGAAGCGAACACGTGACGGCGGCTTCGCGTTAGGAGACCCTCATTGGCGATACCCAGCGATCCGGCCTTGTCGGGGTGCTACGTTAAGACCCAGCGGTTAACGGCTGCGGTGTGCATCACACCACGAGTACACGTGCCTACCTCCCCTCCTTGTGTCCTTGGATGGGCAGGCGATCGCCCTATCGTTGTAGATTGTTTGTCGCGCGTATCCCTTGGCACGATATTGCGGCGTAAACCCCCAAAGCGATAAATGCTCCACAGACAACCCATTCTTATGTAGCGACCCCCCGTGTCTTCTTTCACCATGAGCAATAGTGGTCGGTGTATATTCGCCATCCGATGAAAAATGAGCAACCTTTTAGCCAAAGTACACATGAAGCATTCGATCTTGATTCAGATATTCGCAAACCACTACATGCGTATGCCGAATGAATTTTTCTCAAGTACCTTTCTCCTGCCCGTCTTGTCGGTGTTGATGTGACTCATCGCCAGTTTTGCGCAGCTGAGAGACGAGGAAGCGGCGCTGAAGGACGAGCTCAAGAGCCGATGCGTGGTGTGCGGCATCTCTCGGAACGAGTTCGACCGGGGGGGTAACGTGTTCTACGACCACGTCACGCACGACCACTGCATGTGAGCGATGACACGCCATGAAGAACTAGACAACGTGATGGAGGGGGGGGGGGGCGGAGGAGACGCACTCGGCGTACGCAAGGCAGGACCAAGCGCCACACTTCGGAAACTGTATGCGAGTGACGCGCAAAGAAAACTAGAGAAAATGTCATGGGCGGGAGGGGGATGTGGAGAAGGCGCACTCAACATAGGCAAGGCAGGACCAAGTGCCACGTGTTTGAGAAGCTGCGGAGGAGGGAAATGGGAAAATACTGAGTGGAGGAATGTCGGGGTCAAATAGTATTCGGTCTCGTCGCATGCCTGCCGGCAGGGTTGTTTCATGCGGAGGGACACTCAGCTAATTTGTACGTTCCTATACGCACTCGACTAAAAGTACATTCCTATAGGTTCCGTAAAGAAACAACGGCATTGGCCGCCCGGCCGTCACCGCCGCCACGCCCACCTCACTCTTTCCCCTTCTCTCGCTCAATCGCCGCTAACCACGACCCGAACATGTTGTCACCAAAACGACCGACCGACGCGTGTATTTTCACTGGCGAAAAAAAGGTGGAACTACGTCCTGGTGCGGGCGTACCTCCACTTCAAGCCCGAGCTCGAGCACACGGGCCAGGAGTCCTACGTCCACAAGCTGCAGCGGGGGGGACCAGATGGCGTCCCGGACGTGCGCTACTTCCCGGTCGGCGAGGCGGGAGTGCTTGAGAACGCCTCCTCCAGAGGGGGGAGGAGGAGGGGGGAGGGGGCGCTAGGGGGAGCGGAGGCGGCGCGAGGCGGGACGAGGGTGTGGTAGACTGGTGAACTGGCGCGGCTCCTTCCGGTTGGGTGGCTGTTTTGGTTTTGTCACTTTTTTTCGGTCAGCCTGTTGGCTCGATCCCGCCGTTTTGGGTGTTGTTTGGTGGCTTGTTTTGTTTGGGGGGGGAGGGGCGTTTCATGCGTCAGCCATGATGTTTTCGTGCTTTCTTGCCGGAACTAGAACAAAACACGTGTTTGGTTTGCATTGAGATGTGCCCGGCTGGCTGTGTCAAGGGGAGAAGTAAGGGGGTTGGGAGATATACCGTGAGAGAGGTACAAGAGGGTTAATGAAGGAGATACGAACAGAGAGGGGGGGGCAAAGACAGAGGCAGACAGACAAGAGGCAAGAGACACTGCTTCCTACTGGTGACCAACCCTTAAATGTCTCCGTTCGTTGTAGAAAGTATAACTCTGTTTAAGTAGAATTTCCTCTTCGAACTGAACATGGGAGAAGGAAGGGTTGCAGGTGACCTAGGTATTGGTTGATGTAAATGAAATACAAGGAGACGCGACGGTGTTGTCCTCGTGCTTTGCTTCAAGATATGATTGTGAGAGCTCGTGTTCACACGCGCGGGGCGCACCAGAAACAAGTGAGGTGTTGGATGCGCCAGCCATGGATGTTGTTCCCTCTGGAACATGTTTTACTCTGTCTGGTAGATGCCAGGTCGCCCCTCGCGATGGACGAAGATTACGTTCTTTGCTGTGTTTGTTATTTCCTTGCGGGGGGCGGCGCTGGCCGAATGGATGTCTACTATTCATTCCTTGGCTTTTCTTTTTTTTTTCTTTCACTGCATGTGTACTAGGAAAGGAAGCTGAAGAATGAGTTTTTGTGAGGGCGGCGCTGCCCACGTGTGCACTATGTTTTTACACACGCTTCGATTATCGGAAAGCGCATTTACAGGTTAACGTAGTGCCTTGGAGGCACGCGGGATTTTTTCACCCCGCCCCGTCCGTGACCGAACGGTACCTTCTTCAGTTAGATGCGAAGTACGTTCGAATAGGTTTGCGATCGGTCCATGTCGAATTTGTCTCGAAGAATGCTCGAGATTGCCTGGTGAATGTGGTGTCTGTCAGGTGAGGTGGGGACATGTGTGCCCTATCTCTGAAACAAGTTTTGTATTGGTGTTGGTAGCCTTCCGTTTTCGTCGGTTTGGGGTTGTTTGTGGATAGTTTTGTGACCTCGTCCGTTGATACCCTCTTGTGTCTTGTATATTCAGTCGTGCTGTTGTTGACACCGAGGCATAAGTGACTGATGTATAGATTTTTGGCTTAATCGGTGGAAATGTTTCGTTTCAGCGACTATGCGAAGAAGGAGGCGCACACCGCGTTCACTGTCGATACCCCCCCCAAGGTCTTTATTGAGAAGGCTCCGTCCTGCTGCAATCCATAGATCCACAATTTATGGTGCTCATCAAACAGTTCTTGAAGTGCTGAGCGGACAGTAATGAGCAAGTAAACCCCTACTATCCATAATCCCGCGGGGGTTCTTCGGTCATGCATGGGACTTGACAATCAGTGCGACGAAAAAGCCACATGGCCATAAAACGGGGCGAAATATGCAATTTGTGTGTGTCTGACCCATTTACTGAGGCCTGGTGAATTTTTCTGGCACCAGTCTACTCTTACTTGCGTTGTATATTCTGACGTATTGGTCGAGACAACGCGGGCGCAACGATACACGTCCCACCTGTAAGAACGTTCAAACACCCTGTCACTCTCACCTTGTCTTCGCTCTCTGTTCACGAACGTGAAGACTGACGGAGGCCTGAGCTGTGTGCCTGTGTCTTATCTGTAATCTCTCTCTCTCTCTCTCTCTCTCTCTCTCTCTCTCTCTCTCTCTCTCTCTCTCTCTCGGCCGGAGCTGATGTCTCGAGACCAGTTCTTGGCTGAGTTGGAGCTCAGGTTAACGTACAAACGGTCGCAAACGCTCGAATATCATCACTGTACGTGATACAAACTACAACAAGTATGAGCATGATGCGTTCACGGTGGACAGTGTTCATAAGGTTCTTTATCTTCCTTCACGGGGGGGGGTGGTTCCGACTTAATACCGCGGGGTGCGTGTTAGACAGAGGTCTTAGGCGCGAGACCTCCTCCTCGAAGGATCGTAACTGTTGCCTCTTCCTCGAAGCTTGCAGCTTAACCACCGGCGTTTCGACACCCTTTAGGACAGACGAGGGAGTATCTGACCGCTCTGGATCCCCGTTCACATGTCCCGCCTGTAACCTTACTATCGTGACCAGTACGGAATAGTATCAGATACATGTACTGCTCGGATTCAGCTACGGTACATCCTCGTACTCGTACACACAGCAGAACAAGCTGCCATAACACACCTATACCTACCTTTCTTCTTCCGGTACTTTCTTTTTTCATCACTTTAAATTCACACCTCGCAGCATTGCTGCCGAGTACTGCTTCAGGTCGTGGCCTAGTTTTGTGGCGAGTCGTGGGAAGGTTTCAATCATCCCTTTCCCTTGTTGTCTACCGTGAAGTAGTCTAATCGGTTTCCACCGGAAATTGCAAGAAGAACACGATCTTTAGAAAACAAGACCACCGGGGCGATCGGCAGGCAACGGAATACGCAAATCGTGCATCTCTTTAACACAAGTAATGCAAACACCCAATCTTGGGAGACTGCAGTATTGCATACAAGCGTTGGCTGTGTAACAGCTGAACAGCAGTTGTACACTCTGTTTTTCCAAGTACCAACTCTCGGTTCCAGTTCGGGACGACGACCTCACGGACTGACTGTCTGTCATGATAAATGACTGGTTGACGTTACCGGAAACGCGCGGATCCAGCTTTGCGCCCAGCTGTATAGCTCGGCGTGTACAGATCGAAGGGAAACGTATGTCAGGTTGCAATGTGGAACAGATATGTAACAAGCCAAACAAGCGTATAATTCATGGAATCGATTCGGGAGAGCGGGATGCATATTATTTATCGAACCCAACCGAGACGATATTGTTGGCATTTTGGGTTCAGAGCAGCCCGCTCCAAGCAAGCTGCGTATGGGAGGTGCATCGTGTGCTACTGGTGAGATATTTCGTGCACACCCTTGAGCGGGTTGTAGCTCTCTCGGTGCGCTACACCAGTTGACACACCATGCGCAGTTGGTTGTAGGATCCGGGGGTTCAACATAATAGAGAGGATCCTGTAGCACGCATACCCCACTTTGCAAACCTGGTTCCCGTCGTGGGCCCCCCCTTTTTTTTTTTCGGCACTCCGCCGGAGAGAGAGGGAGAGAGGGAGGGAGAGAGAGAGGGAGAGAGAGAGGGAGGGAGAGGGAGACGGAGAGAGAGAGAGGGAGAGGAAAAAGAGCGTCACATGCACGCGTGCGGAGAGGGGCGGCGACGAATCCTTGAGAAGGCTCGACTTCGCCCGCCTCTCGCGGTCGGTCCTGTGGTACTCGGCAGCTTGTTCGCTGGGAAGCACTGAGAGAGAGACGGACAGAGGGAGAGAGAGAGGGAGAGAGAGGGAGAGAGAGCGGAGAGCTGCTGTGACGAAGGCTTTGATTGAGGTGTCTGCTTCGGGTGAGGTGCGGTGCGACTTGCCGCTTGCGACCCGAGCACCATGGGGAAGAAGTGCACGTATCCCGCCGGGTGTCCCAAGCAGGCGTTGTTTGGCGTGCCTGGAAGCAAGAAGCGTGAGGTGAGAGAATAAAAACGCCCGGCAGACTTGGCCGCGACTGATGCGGTGCGAGTGCAAGAGCTTGTGCCGCGGGAGATATCGTTGGGGTGCGATGCATATGCGTATGCATACGTCCAGCACATTTTTGGGCCGTTATGATACAGCAGAGTTCATGCGGAGAACTCCTCTTGAAAAGCATTTTCAACGAGATCTTTGATAGGCCATGTACGCAGCGATCCCTACTTGCCTTTGATGAGTTTCTGCTGTTGAACGGTTGCTCTTGCAATCGGAGTGCACGACGGTTCTGGTAGATACAACACCAGCTGCTTTTTTTTCGAGACAGCAGCAGCATGACCCGACACCCCGACACGTACTTCGAACCAGCTTCGAACATGCATCGGCAACTCTCTTGACTGGAACAAGTACACCCTAAATCGACAATGTAAGTTCCATCTTCATCACAAGTGCCTCCTGTGCCCGCCTCTAATAAACGGTGTCGTTTGTGTGTTTGTGTGCGCAGGGGAGGGGGGAAACACGGCGGATACACATATGCTACAGATTACACATTTATTTGACCGAAAAGGATCTCGCACTCCCGTTGTTGTACACATTTTTTTTTTTTCTTAATATGACACAACGAATCCATCTCTATCATAGGAGTCTGAGACAGATTAGCAATGAATTCATAGCGTCAGAAAGTACCTGTGTCTACGGTTTCCCAGACAGCATATAGGGACATCTCCCCTGCGGGTAACAGGCTCAACAAGACAGTTTGGTAGCTGTCTTGTTTGTCTCATATATGTTATGTTGGGAAGGTGCAGAAGAAATGTTTTAGGTACTGGTCGGGCGTTTTGTGTGTGGCACCCTTGTTGTAGTCGTAGGGCATGTAATCTCCCTCAGTTTTCAAACGTATTTTCAATGTGGTACGCGTATGTACCGGGTATGTATATTAATATGTGCGGACACATCTCGGATCATGTGCGGACACACGGGAGTGGTCTCACCATTTTCTTACCTCTTTGTGTAATTTCGTGTCTTTCTACGCGTAAATTATGTGCACATCGCATGATGACAGCAGTATTTTCGTATTTTCTGCCCTCGTGCGTCCGGGGCATCATCGTCTGCATTCCCAACCCCGCCCAGCATGTTTGCCCGCGGAGTATTATTTCGTTGTTGCACTGCTATATGGACCAGCAGAACAAGAAGTGGCGACAAGATTCGAGACCAGCCCGCCCGATTGCATTTGCGGTGGTCTTCCTTGAAAGCATCTCCTCTTGATTGTAGTCAAGATAGACGATTTTCAGTCGTGGTCATAAGCTCAACTCAAGTACGGCAGTCGACGGGAGTACATAACTGACTTTGCTGTGTATACAGCTTGTACTAAATACCTGACAGCTTTATGCATACCACGATTTTCTGGGCACCCGCCAGTGGGTGCAGACCTCTTCAAAAGTCGAAGACATGTTTGTTTTCAGTTTTTTTTGGGCACAGCGTTCTACTGCACTTAATTAGAATAACTTCCAAGAGTAAGAGACCACCGCGCTTTCGGGGCCCCCGACCAAGAAGCCTCGATTTTATCTTGTGAGAATGGTTTCAGCCATCCTCATTTCCTCAAGTCACGAATACATCTCAGCGTAGTCACCGCACTCTGTTTGTTTTGTTAGGTACGAGGTGCGAAGAGTACCCACCTTGGCGGGATTCGCTAAAAAAAAAAGCTAGCCACAGCCATTTAGACTGTCTTCAAGTTTTCAACCTGCGCGATGTGTAGGCTCTCTTTGGTGCTCTTACACGCAAGATTAGGGTTACTCGGAAAAGTCGAGGTGGTCTGGGTAGATGCCCGTACAAAGTTCTCGTCGCAAGCAACCGCGATGACAAAGGGCGTGGTTTGGCCGTACGTGCAAGCAGCATCTGCCAATCACCTAGGTTCCTTTTCGACATTTTTTGTTTTTACACTGCAGAAAACGAGAGAGACAGATGTGCAGAAAAACGAGATAAAGTGTACCTCTGTAAGACGCGACAGTTGTCTCCACCTATAGGCGATGCGGGCAGCCCGCTACAGCGTGGTGGCCACAGTCAGAGTCATAGAAGTGTTGATGGGTGGTCACGCCGCGGCCGGTATAGGGCAGGTAGCTTTGTAGACCTTGAAATGATCAGTCGTCTAGCTGCCTCAACTACTCTATTTTCAGTATATTCTAATGATAAGTGAAAATGATCAGTGAGAGGGCTTGTGGGCCCAGCTGGTGTTTGTAGGTCTCTGTACTTCTCTGTCTCCCCCTCACGTGAGCCCTGCCGTCTCACAAGACCTCCTGTTTTTTCCTCCCACAATCACACAAGCACACCAGCACACATACGTACGTAGCGGCTTCCTAGGTTCGGGCGAGCGGGTATATGTGGAGCTATCATATGTATGTACATGTCGTATATGCCATTTTTTTTTGCTCGTCTATACACTACTGTTGGGTAGTGTGGCAGCTGACACGATGACTGCTGGAACTTGGGAAGGTACGATTGAAAATGATTGATGCAGCATACCACGATGTCCTTGGCTTCGGCTGGGCTTGAAATACCCCCCTTTTTTGCAACCCTCCGCTCCTTGGATCAGTGACTGCCTAGGTTTGGGCGAGGGTCGTGCGTGGTGCTGTGATGCTGCGGTGTGTGTGTGTGTGTGTGGCGTGTGTGTGAAATAATATATGGAGAGATCAATTTTTGGCTTTCGCATTTGGCGCATTGCGCTTTTTTCGAATTTTGGCCCGCTTCCCGAGACCTTAAGTTTTACCCGCTGGTACTGACGCCTTTTCAGTGGTCAGCCGGTTAACGCGGTCGATGCAAAGATTAAGGACACACCTATGAACTTCCCCAACACCCGGCGTGGAGGGCTACAGAGGGTGGCAACTCCACGGCTTGCCACCGCACCCGCATTTGCAAATGATCAATGATCCTTCAGCGCCTGAAGGCCTACAAGGGTTAATATACACGCAACATGCAACGTTTATTGCATCCACGTACGTGTCTGGCTCCCAATGGTATAGAACCGGCGCTGAGGGGAGGGGTTGGCGTTCAGGTGTACACAATCCGTCGTTGAAGTCCACATCTTGAGTTGAATAGAGGACTTTTTCATCGAGTGTAATCGAAGTATTTTTACTGGGGGGTATGTAAGAGAACAACAAGGATCGAAAAAAGGCTTTACAATGCCTTCGGTCTTAAACGTGTACGAAGCCGCAACAAGTGTAACGCGCCCTATGCAGACTTCGTCACTCCTAGCGCCTACGAAAGAGCAGCAGCCCCAGGGCACCGGCTGCGCATGTATGTGATCTTTCCTGCAACCCAATTCAACAAATGGCACGCTGCCCCTGCTGCACGACGCGTTTCTGCAGTTCTGCGCCCTGCACGCGATCCAAGGCATGGTGGACATCCACAGCAAAAGGTGCGGCGAGCCAGACTGCAGCAAGTGGCCGTCGTACGGCTTGATAGGCAGCAAGAAGGCGTTGTTCTGTGCCCCGCACGCCAGGGAAGGGATGGTTCCGGTCAACGGCAAGAGGTGCGGCTACCCGGGCTGCGCCAAACAGCCATCCTTCGGCGTGGTCGGCAGCAAGAAGCGGGAGTTTTGTGCTCTGCACGCTACCGGCGACATGGTCGACGTCCACACGAGGAGGTGCGGCCGCCCGGGGTGCTCCAAGCATCCCTCCTTCGGCGTGGCCGGCGGCAAGAAGGCGGACTTCTGTTCCCTGCACGCTATCGATGGCATGATCAACGTCATCAGCAAGAGCTGCGCCTTCGCCGGCTGCTACAAGCAGGCGTCCTACGGCATCGACGGCAGCAAGAAGCGGGAGTTCTGCGCGCGGCACGCTGCGGACGGCATGGTCAACGTCATCAGCAAGCGGTGCGCTCACCCCGGGTGTACCAAGTGGCCGTCCTACGGCGTGACTGGCGGCATAAAGCGAGAGTTCTGTGCCCCGCATGCTGAGCAGAGAGCACCGGGTACTTTCTTCGGCCAGCAGAAGCAGCAAAAGCAGCAGAAGCAGCAGAAACAAAAGAAACAGCAGCAGCAGCAGCAGCAGCAGCAGCAGCAGCAGCAGCAACAACAGCAACAGCAGCCGCAACAGCAGCAGCCACTGCAGGATCAGCATTTCGGTCCTCGCGGCGGTACTCTCAGCAGCTATGCCTATAATCCGGCACCTCAGGTAGGGGTGGCAAGCGCTGGTATCAACTACACCTACAATGCAGCACCACAAGCAGCGGCCAACACGGGCAACAACTACGACTACAATGCGATACAGCAGCCGGGAGTGGGTGGTGGCAGCACCACCGCCAACAACAACAACAACACCTACGCGTACAATCCAGCTTTGCAGCAGGGAACGGGAGGTGTCAGCAGCACCACCACCACCAGCTATGCCTATAGCCCCCTCTCACAGCACGGGGTTCTACAGCACGGGGCAACACAACAGCAGCAGCAGCAGCAGCAGCAACAACAACAACAACAACAACAACAACAACAACAACAACAACAACAACATCAACTACAACAACAGCAGCAGCAGCAGCAGCAGCAGCAGCAGGGCGTCGCACAGCAGGGAGCGGGAGGCGGAGGTGGCAGCCTGAAGCGAGAGCTACAGCGCGTCGGACCCATTGGCCTGGAGCAGGAGCTGCTCTACCCCTGGCCCCCTGTCACGGGACAGCACCAGGCCGTCGGCGCCGGGGGGATCACGGGAGGGGGGGTAGGAGCGCCAGGGATAGGAGGGGTAGCAGACTTGCACGGCTCGCGCGAGGATACGGAAGTGGTGCACTCCCTGACCGGGCTCCGGAAGAAGAGGAGGGGCTTCAACGGCGTCGCTATCCCTGTCGGTAGTGGTTTGGCTGGCTTGCCCACTCCCCCCACCACTCCCTCGGGGAGCTCTACCGGCTACATGTAGCTGCCTGCGCCCTGTGAAGGTGTGAAAGAGGGTGAGAACTTGAATCACGCCGGAGTTTTGTGTATCTCTGGAGCACTCAGGTGTTGTGTGTGCGTGCGTTCGTGTTTCTTCGTAGTGTCGCGATGACACTCTCTCCTCTCTCTCTCTCTCTCTCTCTCTCTCTCTCTCTGGCCATCGCCGTGGGTAACGTTGCGAGTGTCACGTAGTTTGGTGAGATTTTGAAGTCGGGATAAGGAGAGAGGGGGTTGGAAAACCTATCGCATCGTCTCTCACAACGCGAGGCGATTCCTCACTCCCGCAACGGTTGGAACTTGCTTGAACATATTTGCGGTACTCAATCGAGTCGTCTCCGATGGGAGGCTTGCCGTTCAGCCCCCATCTACCATCCGTGGCACGGGAATATTGTTGGTTTTCCATCGTTCAGACAGAATGAGGTTTCCTTTGTTTTTTGTGCGTTATTCGGCAAAGAATCTTGCCAGAAACTGCAACACCTGGAACTGTATTTTGCCCGGAACACTCGCCCCGCGTCCGAGTGAAAGCACATGAGGTATTCGCCGATGTATCACGTTTACCGTCGAAACTGTTTGTTCGCATTACATCCAGAGTGTTCTCCAGCATGGCATCGTGGCATTCAATGTGAAAGCGCTTGTCACGCATCTTGTTTTGGCCCTTTCACCGAAATGCTATTGGCACCACAATGTCACCGGTATTGTTGGTTGCGGCCTCTGCTTCACAGATATTTGTCGCCCGCTTCACGCCCACCGTTTTGTCCGCCTTGCGCTGCTTGCCGTCCGGACCACAGGCGCACCTAGAGCAACAAGGTCCTGCATCTCCGGTAGTACGGCCGTGAGTGTGCTCTCCATACGGTGTACGTATGCAGGAGGGAGGCCGTGAACGGTCGCGTACCGGAATGGGACAAACTCCCTTGTGTACACAAAGGCGTGGTTGTCGGTGTTGGGTGTGGCGCTAGGTGTTGTCTTTCTGTCATTAGTGCGTCTCCATTTTCTTTTTTTGTTTTGTTGCACACGATGCGGTGGACGGTAACAAAGTGTAGAGAATATGGAACCGTCAAACGGTGGGGCACTAGCCTTTGTCTTGCCCACGTTGGGATTGCGGTTCAGCATTTTTTTTGCGTGTGCAGCACAGCGTGCGGGACAAGTTAAGTTCTTGAGTTGTAGCTGTCGGATGTGGTCTTGTTGCAAGTTAGTAGGGCAATGGTGCAAGCAGATGCGGTATTGCTCGTCGTAGTTCGCGGCGAATGGGTGAAGTGGGTGTGCTGTCGATAGAAACATACGCGACTTGTGTTGAAATAGAAGTGCATTTGATTGCTTTTTGAGTATTCTACCTTTTTTTTTTTCTCCCGTTCATGTCTTGAGTGGTTTCAATGTGCTGTCGTGGTAGCTTGCGTGTTGGGTCAGTCTTCATGCTTCGTCTCGATGGCTGGGCCGGGTGATGGGTATGACGGCAGAATAATGGTGCTGCCTTGCTTGTGAGACACGTTTGAAAGAACACTTTAGATATTTTTGGCCTTCACCGGATTGCGTAGCCCGAGCACCGCATGGGCACCGGGCCGGCGGTGTGCAGGACTTGGGCGTCCCGGCGCAGTGTTCAAGGTTAAGGGCTATGTTTTGGCTCTGGGAGAGACTTGTAAGATTGTAGATACCTCGATTCGGTGGTGATATGGATACAGCAGTAGAGGCGAAAGAAAAAGGTAACAACACGGCAACACTTACATAATCCGACTACTTTTTTTCCACACTTGAATTTTTGGACGTGGTGCGCTTGGTTTTTGCGACAGAGTGCTCCATTTCCTTTCCGTGTGCAAGAGGCTCATTCCGTTGGTAGGGAAAAGAGATTAACGCGCGTTCAAGCGGAATGCTAGCGAGGGCAGAGAAGAAAAGCGTCACAATTATGTGGCTCCACTTGTCGTTTTGGTCTGACTAAAACGACAGCAGTAGGGGCGAGAACCCATCGTTTTTTACTGCTGCGTAGCGGGTACATGCGTGTGTTTTTGTCATTGGCATCGACCGCGCTAACCGGCTGACCACTGAAAAAGACGTCAGGGTCAACACTGTGTGTTTGTGTTCGTCCCATCTATTCTGGCGCCGGTTCACAGGCCTTTCGGCGTAGTATATTCCTGACGTATCAGCCGGGGTCATCACAAAGAGGAAGGTCACACAGCAGTAGTACTAATCTTGAACCGCAGAGGGATTCCGCTACATGGATGTTGAAACCTTCACTCCCAAAGGCAACAAACAGTTGTTGCAGCAAGCTTGTATCTGTTTGGTGCTCGAGGTACCCTGTTTAGTTTACAGAAACTGACCCAACCACAACAACTTGCAAGCTACCCCAAGTGCCATACATAGTATTCGTCGCAGTCTACCCGTGTGCGTGTGTGTACTGTGGCAGAGAAAACGAACACTACTTTCTCGCCATCAGAGGGAAACGCGCCGGCGATCATGACGCTCATTGCATGCTTGTGCGGTTTTTGCTGTGAGCAAGATGATGGGGGCGGCAATGAAAACCACGCGCGGCTAGAGTACGGTGGTAGCATATGATCTTCTACGTATGCGGCTTCGGCACTTCTTCTCCTGTCCGCGGTGGGAGTGGCAAGGGAGAGGGTATCAAAACAACCAAAACGATCAAACCCATATATTGTAGCCGAAAGGATTTATTTTTGGTTGTGTCGTTTTTCATTTTTTTTTTTTCTGAATTCTCTAAATAAATAAGGTTCTATGAACACACCATATACAATATTCATGTATATATTAGTTGTGTATATTATAATTAATTATTTTGCAGTTTTTTTTTTTCAGGTTTGGGTTTTTCAGGTATTTATTTTTCAGGGTTGGGGAGTCCATACCCACATATCCACATGCAAGAGCTGATACAATATGCATAGATGATATACATAAGACAGAATGACAAGACTTTTCGAATCATGCGGTGGTCGGGCTAACCAGCAAACCACACCGGCGTGGGTACCCCTTCCTGTGTGACCCCGGACGGTGCGTCTAGCTAGTTGTAGTGTAAGTGCATATACGCGCCAAACGTGTAGTGTGCACCGAAGAGGAGTAAGCAGCGGGCGCCAGAGATGGGACGAAAATAACAAAAACCTTGAGATGGATTCATTCGTTGTGTAAATAAATAAAAAGAAACAAAAAAAAACTGCTTCGAAATCTCGGGTCAGCCCGCTAGACCATATATTTTGGGGAATGGAGAGAGAAAGGACAGCAAAACCTCGTGTAATCTATCTTCGTCCCATCCCTTGCAAATGATATGCTGTGTATACATCTACAGCAGTGCAGCAGCAAATATCTACATGTACACATGTACGCATCTACACATCTACACATCAACAAGTACGTAGCATACGTAGAATGTGCGGCACAACATATACCGCTTCGGTCGTGTGTGGGGGGACGATAGACCGCAAACATTCCTACCACCCGAACTGTCTGCCCTCTGTATCGCCACAGACCAAGCGTCAAGCGTTTCCTGTCTCTTTGCTCTGTGCCTGCTGTGTCTCGCACACGTATCTCCCGGTACAACACCACCCCACCCTGCACCATGCGCGCAGTTTCTTCCCTTGTCTCTCTCTCGGCCCTGGCCACCTCCTCGGCGTTCGTCGCTCCAGGCAAGGCGATGCACGAGACTGAGTAACTCCGGTGCATGAAACCATGCGCACACACATGCTACTTGTGCTTGTGCAGTGATTCACGATACAAAAAGCAGCGTGCCTTGTAGGCCGTGTTCCAACCTCTTGCCAGGCATTGCTGGAGTGCATGCTGATCTCTACGCAACCTGGTGTCGTCGCCTGGTCCCTTTTTTCCCACGTGTTCTTATCTCGGTGTTGCGATGATTTGGTCATGTCGCATCTTGCCACTTGTTCACGTGTAAGTGACTCTTTCGTTCCTGCAGGCGGCAACGCCATCCGCGCAAGCACCGGCAAGACCAACGCTGCCATGGCCCTGAGGTGCCTTTCTCGAGCGCGGCTGACTTCTTCCGTTCGGCCACAAGCAGCACTACGGCGACCCACGGTAAGAAGTCCGGTGTCCCTGTGGCCATGGTTGTAGGTTCGACGACAGCACGCAGTTTCGCCACAACTTTCGCCAGCGGGTGCAGGGACAGCGGTAGGCACACCCGTCCACTCTGCAGGGCTTACCCAGGATTGTCGTCTGGCACGGTTGGGCTGCCGGTCGACAAGTAGGCACATCGACAAACACATCATGGCGCGGTCATTTTCCCATTTCGACGACCACTTGCGTTTGGCAGATACCAGTCGCGCGGTGCTCCGGACGTTGCAGTACTGTACAGCTGTAACGGGTGTGTCGTGCCGTTTCTCGTGTCATTCGTATTGTCCTGCGAATATCAGCAAGCATCAGCCCGCTGATCAGTACCCACGACTATCATAGCTGGCCCTCATTCTGATTTTCTCGCCTATAGAGTACAAGACGTGCCCATCCTCCGTTGAGGGTTGTGGGGTTTGCATCCTCGGAGGTGTGTTTGCACGTTTGCACCATGGCAGTTTGTTGGGCTCAATCGTTAGTCCACCCGTGTTTCTTTAGGCCGTACTCTTGTCCGCGGACAGCTCAGCCACTCTGCTCGACGTTCCTCAACCCCGACAGTCTCGGGAGGATCACGGCAATATGGCCATGCCGTCGATAGACAAGGCAAACGCTGTTGTGAACTGTAATTGTGCTTCGAATGCGAACGAAGAACCATTCACCTTGTACAATAGTTCAATTGAGCACGGTGCGACCGCGCTAGCAGCTGGACCTCCAGAGTGTTTTGTCAACCAAGTGTCAGGCGAAACGGGCTTCCGTTAGTCGTCCAATCTGCCATTGTTTCTCTTGTATACGTTGACAGTTCTCTGTGCATACTGAATGCGATGCGACCGCTCGAGCAGCCTGAGCTCGCGAATATTTTGTCGGCCGAAAGGGGATTATTCGTCCCACCTGTCGCTTATACTTTTGACCAGCAAAGTATGACGGTGTTACTGTAGACAACATTAGTACCATGACTATGATCATGGTATGTTGGCCATGCAACTCCTGAGGCATAAGCGTTCGGGTGTACCCGAAAGGTATCATCACTACAAGAGGACTAGACGCCACCACCGCTGTTTGACGAGACCCGCCACGTAACATGGATCGTGCGTGACCAACCCCGACTATTTAGAACAATGTTGTATCGCCCCGCCAGGCTGTGAGGACGATGATGATGATGTCCGACGCCGCGGTGACAGAGGAGGAGGCTGCCCCCGCGGCTCCCACGGGAGAGCTGACGGAGCTAGCGCGGCTCGAAATCCGCATCGGAAAGATTGTGGAGGTGAGAGGGTGGCTGCGTGCGGGTTGATTCCTTTTGCCGCCTACAGTATGTTGCCCTACCTTGTCCGGTTGCCACTGCTGATCGTGCTCTGGAGACTTGTGTCAGCGGCTTTCTCTCTCTCTCTCACACACACGCACACGCACACCCACACTTCCTTGTTTCTGTCTCTGGCTGTGTGTCTGTCTCCATGTCCCTCCATGTCCCTCTCGGTTTGTCTGTCTATCTCCCTCTTGCCACTTTCTTTTGGTGGTTTGTTTTTTATCTCGAGATTGTCTTGGTCAATGTCGGTACTGGGAAGGAGAGCTCGCGCTACACCAAGACACGGTACGGTGACATCCGTGTTCTCATACGTTGTAAACTGCGCGGTAAATTGTGCAGGACTTACTGTTTCTCTCTCTCCCTCTCTCCTCTCAAAACATGGTCGGTATACCAGTATCGTGGCACCGCTTTTTGATTACGCGATACCGTACGCACCTGTGGTTTCGGACGCTCGCAACCGCTGCGTTCGCAACCGGCACAAACCGTACAACGCAACGCCAACCGGACTCGTTTTGTGCCCATGCTGTCCGCTGTCTTGGGAGACAAACCACGGGTGAGGTCACATAGCACTTAAAAGGGTGGTGGGGTTCGGTGTCGAAAGTGCGTTTTGAGGTCGGAGTTCTTGCGGAACTATGACCGAAGAGGTGCTTGTTCTTTGTACAGAAAACGCGGCGGGAATCGTGTCGCTTCGCCTACGTGCAGGCCCCCTTTCCCCAAATATGCCTCTTTTTAACACTATGGTGTGAGGGTGTCATTTGCTGTCGTGACGTTGATGCAGACCGCCTGCTCGGCGCCCCTCCCCATCTCCCCCTCTCGCGTCAACCCTCCCTCCTCCTTCCCCGTGTACGTGGCTCGGCCGCAGATCGCCCGGCATCCGGACGCGGACAGCCTGTACGTTGAGAAGGTGGATCTGGGGCAGGGGGAGGAGGAGGGGCCCCGCACGATCGTCTCGGGGCTTGTGAACTTCTGCGAGGAGTCGGACCTCTTGGGGAGAGACGTTGTCGTGCTGTGCAACCTGAAGCCGGTCAACATGAAGGTGGGCGTCGTATTTTTTTCGTCTCCGTTATTGGGGGTGGCTACTGTATGTATGTAGTGATCGTGAGTTGTGGTTTGGCCGTGGGTGTCGTTCTTGTGCCCATCGTTCTTTTGTGAGATTCTGGGCCAACGTGGTTATCCCTTCGTGTTGTACGTGGTGGAGGGTGTTTTTGGGAGAGTCTTGAGTAGCTCCGGTGTAGGGTGGAAGGGGAGGATACAGCGTGGTTGGGTCTGGCTGGGGTTGAGTCTTTGCCTTGTCACCCCGTCTGTTGTGGACGACGGACGCACGCATCAACTGGGTTTCACAGGGGGACGATAACACCCATTTTCTGCTCTCTCTCCGCCTTCGTAGTGCGGCCGAGCTAACTGTTTATCTGGCTGGCTGACCGACAAGAGAAACCGTAGACACAAGACCATGGCCATGTCCAGTCCATCACAACACTCTTGGTCGAGTGGAACGAACAACATGAATTTTCAACCGAAATGCAAACCCCAACACCCAGCACAAAAGAAAAACACACCAATCTTCTCCACTACTTTTAAACCGCCCAACAGGGAGTGACGTCGGCGGGCATGCTGCTCTGCTCGAGCAACGAGGACCACAGCAAGGTGGAGCCCCTCTGCCCCCCGGAGGGCGTGCCTCTGGGAGAGCTGGTGACGTTCGACGGGCACCTGCCATCGCCGGTGGACGCCGGAAACAGGGCCGGGAAGGCGTGGAAGAGAGCCTCCAAGACTCTCGCTGTGGACGACAGCGAGGTGTGTGTGTTTATTCTGTTGGCATCTACCGCGCTATCCGGCTGACCAATAAAAAGACCTTCGATAGTCTGAGTGCGTTTGAAACAAGAAACAGATCTAAAGGCCATGATCTGGGACCCCGTGAGAGGGGGCGTCGTGTGTGTGTGTTTGTGTGTGTTTTCTTTTTGTTAACATCTACCGTGCTATTTAACCGGCTCGCCAATGACAAGAAGTCAGTCTTGTAGCGGGGTAGAAAACACGACCACTTTCTAGTCAGAGGGTAAGGGTTCTGCCGACAGGGGGGACGAAGGAGTTGGACGACAGGGTCCTGCTCCTGATGTACCAATACGATTAGACAGCATTGCTGCTGCATCATGCCGATCTCACATGCTTGTGTGTGTGTGTGTGTGTGTGTGTTTCTGTGGTTGGCATCGACCGCGATAGTTGGCTAAATTTACCGACTGATGACACACCAGGCCCTCAAGCGGAACAAAACTTTGTAGTTGAACGTAAACGTTTGCGTGGGTGCAAACGTTTGCGTGGGTGTGTTGTTGTTGAGGTTTGAGGTGGTTGTTAAGCTGTTAGGGTGTGAGGTAGTGCTGCTTGTTTGGTTTCATGGACGGCGGTAGTTCTGCTCAATAGTTTCTGGCGCTCGTCCTGTTGCTTCCCGACGTCATAAGCATTCTGTTCCTGTCTGTGTTGCAGTTGCCTCTCTCTGTGTGTGTTCGTGGGCTCAGACGTGCGTTAATCGTTTTTGCCCTCCGAACATCGCAGGAGGCGAAGTTCACTGGGGAGAAGCTCCCGGCTACCTTCATGACCTCCAAGGGCCCCATCACGTCTCCTTTGCCAGGCAGCATCTCGTAGAACACTCAACAACTCTTCTCCCAACCAGAATCGCCCCCCCGCTTCGAGTCAGTTTTGTTTTGCGGGGGGCAATTATAGTGGGAATGAGGAGCTAGTAGGCGCTGCACGTGCTTGTTGGTGGCAAAATGTTGTGTCGGCTGCACGTGTTGCGGATGATGGCTTTTTTCTGAAGGGCTAAACGAAACGGCATTTCTGGACAACGTTGTTCTTCAGCGGGGATGTGGTGGGTACAAAACTCGCTCGGGTTGGTGGAGTTGCAGGTAAACTACATTTGGTGTGTTTTTTCTGTATGGTCTTGCCACTGCTATCATCTTTGACCCACGTCCGGTAAACAAAAGAGATTTTTCCCAACAACGACGGTGTGCGAAAACACTCGGGGACAAGTATGCGTACAACATAGCGCGTTAAATCGCACCCGAAAAGGCTGTGTTCAAGATCGACCCCCCCCTTTCGCAGTTTGTTCCCCGCTAATGTAATGCCTGAGTACGGTTGGCCCCCTTGGTGGGCTGAGGGAGGGTACCACAACGCACCTCGTTCACCTAGTCTGCCCCATTCAGCCTCCTGGAAACTGCCCCGCGATGTAGTAATCCTCACACTCATGTATTTCGCGGGGAACAAGCTACAAGCGCCAACGTGTTTGTTTTTGGACGTATTTCTTCCCGCGGGTCAGCTGGACCCACCCGTGCCCGAACAATATTAGAAGGTTCTGAGCAGAGATCGGCTACAACGACAACAACAACTGCTGTAACCAGAAACCGCCGCTCGGATACATGACATTTATAGGTATAGTCGACAACTAACTGCTGTGGGGTTGAGGCGGAACAGTCTTTGATTGTGAACAATAGACAGATCGGGCCTGCGAAAGAACAAGACAAAAGGCAAAGAAAACACGGCTCAGCGGTGGATCCTGCGCTAAACTCTGGTGTATAACAACACACGTGCTCGACGGTGCCGATGAAATAGGAACTTACCTCGACCCGATCTGTGACGTCGTTGCTGCTTTCAACACATTTTGGTACGCCCGTTCTGTATGATGTGTATGTGTGTGCTTCTCGAGTTATCTATCGTTGAGTCCAAGAGCCTCCCCCGAGAGCTTGATTTGTTTGTAGCGGCAAGCACTAAACCACAACACCATCGACCTCACCCCCCGATGCAACGGTCGGTGCACCACTATGCAACCCGGAGACAACGAAACGTTGCGTTGGCCTGGCGGCAAAAATCCGCGGAGAGACTGCAAATTCGCACGAAACGTCCGAAAATCTGCACCCCCCCCCGACCGCGTTCTCGATTGCGCCCCCCCCCATCGCCAGCTAGCTTGCCAGCTCTATCCGGCCCCCACACCGCACACAACACTCTTCACCTCTTCATCCAGCTCTGCCTACAACTGCCTCTCACTTCGATCAGGTCCTGCTAGCATCCCCACCTTCCAAGCTAGCGCCTAGCTCCCACTTGAGCAGCCAGAGGTGAGCCAGTACCGTGTGCATAGCCAAGTAGCAGTGGTGTGTGATCCTTTCATCTCTCTCTTGCAGCCGCTACCTCTGCCGTCATCAGCAGCCGTTGGGTTGCGCAGAATCAGCACTCAGTGCTCGCTGGAAGCTTGCCCTTTGCCACGTCGCACCCAGCTGCTGCCGGGTAGAGCGACGATACACCTGCCTGTGTTGCGCGTAGGCCACGCACAATCCTGCCGGCATATCTGCTGTCTCACACTGATCGTCGTCCCCTCTCTGTGGTGGCGTGTGCCTTCTTTTTTTTCAAAAATATCCGCAGCACAGCGAGCAAGATCAGCAACTCTTCAGCAGACAACATCATGCCGGTGTCCGCGTTGAAGGAGAGCGACTTGCTGAACCGCAAGGGATCCTTCTCGGAGGAGGGCGTCCTGGGCCTGAAGAACATGGCGTTGGTGAGGCGCTTAGGAAGTTGTAGCGCACGCATCGCAGAGGCACACGACGGCAGCCTCAAACGGCTGCCGTCCCTCCTGACTTTTTTTGAAAATTCGAAAAAATTGCAGGCATCGCGAAGCAACGGAAATCAAAGCAGCAGTAGCCGCAGGCTTGGGATCCGCTCGCAGGGCACATAGAGCCATCCTCTCACACGGCATAAGCGGCAGGGCAGTCCCAACGGGCGACTGGCACGATCGGCAGCCACGCGCCACCCTGTCCAACCACTCTTGGCACGGTGCCATTTTTTTCAAAAAATTGACACCTGGCTTGTCTGCTGCTTGCTTTGAATCTTTCTTATAAAAATAAGACGGCGGAGGGAGAGGAGAACGAGTTCAAGGGGTGCTTGGAGGTGTCCGAGATGCGAAGAAAAGAGATGGAGGGCACCCTCAAGCCCGAGCCGCTCCTCGTCGAGAACCCGGGACGCTTCGTGCTCTTCCCTATCCAGGATAACGAGGTTCGTCGGGCAGCACTTGCTTTTGAATCAAGCTTGTCTGTCGTGTGCTTCTTCTACATACAAGCAGATCCAGCCGTTTTTTTCAAATTTTGAAAAAGGTCAAGAGGGCTGCTCTGCGCTTCGATCTTGCTTTGGGCAGTGTGTGAGGGTTGGTGGTGCAGTGTGCGTTGCTGCTGTGCTTGACCACTCCCACGTCGGTGTGTTGGATAGGTTGTCTGTCGGGCGGCTGCGGCGGAGGCGGCATCTGGGTCGAATTATTTCGGTTCTTGTTGGGCTGATGCAGTCTGCGTCACATGCACGCGCACCGGATACGAAAAAAATGTCCAACGGCTGCAATTTGAATCTGTGTCGTCGATCTCCCTCGGCTATGTTGTCAACAAACACGAGCTCTGCTCCTCAAAATAATAAAAAAAACAGCGAACAGCAGCAGCCAAGCACTACCGCGGCGGTCTCTAGGACTTCCTTGTCCCGCCTTTTTTTAAACCACACATGCACTACACACAAATACCCTACCCGTCCGTGAAGATGTCAACATACGACGCGTACACAGCATGTCATGTACATGTACCTTGAGCAAATTTGCGGCGAAGGACGCGAAGAGCGACGGTCATGTTATTGAGGTGAGGTCTCGCTACTACGAAAGCATGCGCGTCCTCGTCCAACAACCCTCTCCTCCTTGGCGATGGCAACAGGTGTGGCAGATGTACAAGAAGGCGGAGGCGTGCTTCTGGACGGCGGAGGAGCTAGACCTTGCGCACGACCACAAGGACTGGGAGGGGCTGACGGACGACGAGAGACACTTCGTCAAGCACGTCCTCGCCTTCTTCGCGGCTAGCGACGGCATCGTTAACGAGGTGAGCTCGCTTGTCTGCCTCCCTGCCTCAAGTGATGTTCTTGGGTATTATCATGATGGCGCTGTCGACGAAGTATTTTGTTGGTTTTTGTCGGAATTTTCCTGACCTGTTTATATATATATATATATGGTGGTAATTGCGAGCCGTGGGTAATCGAGGCCGGTGCGGGGTGTTCCATGTACAGAACGGTATTTGTTTGGGAACCGCCCTTGATGGTTGTCGCTGAGTGTGGCGACAGCAAGCAAAAGAAGAAAATACAAATTTGCTGAATATAGCAGCAGTCTTTCCATGTTCTTGTATCTTTACAACTCCCCGCGAACGCGGCTCACGTCAACATCCCGCAAGACCTCCGCTCTAACGCAGTTTTCTGCCTGCACGTCCTTGTCCTCCCGTCCCCCCCTCCGGCCAAAAACCCACCTCGGATACACCAAATCTCAGAACTTGGCAAGCAACTTCAGCAGCGAGATCCAGCTCTCGGAGGCCCGGTGCTTCTACGGCTTCCAGATCGCCATCGAGAACATCCACAGCGAGGTGTACAGCCTCCTGATCGACACGTACGTCAAGGACGCCGCCGAGAAGACCCACCTCTTCAACGCCATGGAGACGGTCCCCTGCGTGCGACGGAAGGCGCGGTGGGCTCTGAGGTGGTGCGACCCGAAGCTTGCCTCGTACGCGGAGCGGCTGGTGGCGTTCGCGGCGGTGGAGGTGAGGAGAAGGAGGCGACCGGGGATGATAGCGGTTGGTCGGGGAGTCTCTTGGGCGTGATGTTTTTGCTGCTCTTTTTGTTTTGTTGTTGGGCTTTGCTGCCGTGTTTTTGGAGAGAGTAGGCGCGTTGTAGGAACATTTTGGATACCTTTTGTTTATTTGTGGGCTTCAGGTGGGGCCCTGGAACGTGGTGTCTGGTCGTGTGGTTGATGTCGTTATCTGTGTTTTGGTGATGCGAGAACGGTGTTTGCCCTTGTACATCGCTTGTTCTCGTACTGACTCGAGAATTATTCGCGGTTTTGCCGTGTAGTCCAACTTTCGCAGTCGCGACGGTGCATTCGCCGGACCGGCGACAGTTGGTGCAGCAGACTTTGCTTCGGGCTCGCCTCGTCATTCGTCTTTCATTTTTTTGCGCCCCTCGGTGGAACTCTCATGCGCTATACTATACGTCCAGGCTCTCACGCCCTCGTCCTTCGTTGCGGTGTTTCCCTTTTTCTCGCGACAACGCAGGGCATCTTCTTTTCCGGAAGCTTCTGCGCCGTGTTCTGGCTGAAGAAGCGAGGGCTGATGCCCGGGCTGTGCTTCTCGAACGAACTCATCAGCCGAGATGAGGGTCTCCACACCGACTTCGCGTGCCTGCTGTTCAGAAAACTGGTGAACAAGCTGCCCGTCGAGCGGGTGGCGGAGATCATTTGCGACGCGGTGGACATCGAGAAGGTAAGCTCCTTTTTCATCAGAAAATGTTGATATTACACATCGTTTCGTTTGGTGAATTGCCCTGTCTTTCGTGTGATATTTCTGCGGATTGTCTGATGGTGTGAATTTTTGTTTCACTGGTTTGGTTAGTTTTCTGCTCTTATTATTGCTCCTTCGCGAGTGCCCGAAGAAAACTTTTGCAGCCGGGGAGGGTGTTGCTCAATTTGGTGTGTGCACGTCGCCTTCGTGTTGAGGTGCATTATTGTAGGAGTAGACACCGGCTTTTGTGCTGAATCCCCATGTCGTCTTTTGTGCTTTCTTGACCGTTAGAAGGAGAACGTCGCGTTTGCTTTTGTAGCTGTCCCCCCGTTCACTACCCCGCCCCCTGTCGTGTGCGGTGTCGGTTCGTTCGAGCTCGCTACAATACCGCGCCCTTCCGGTGCATTTTTTTTCTTCATCTCCACACCATGTCTGATTGCGACCTTTTTTCCGTGTTGTGTGTTTTTACCTCCCACAGGAGTTCATCACCTCCGCCTTGCCCGTGGAGCTGATCGGCATGAACAGCGCGCTCATGCGACAGTACATCGAGTTCTGCGCCGACCGGCTGCTGATGGAGCTTGGCTGCGAGAAGAAGTACAACTCGACCAACCCGTTCGACTGGATGGAGATGATTTCGCTCCAGGGGAAGACCAACTTCTTCGAGAAGAGAGTCGGGGAGTACAGCAAGTCGGGCGTAGGAGTCGACGCCGCGGATCAGGAGTTCACCCTCGAGGCAGACTTTTAGAGTGGGAAACACGTTTAGTTGTATCGTCTCCTGCTCCGTAGCGTACCATGTGTAGTTTGTTTTCACGTTAGACACGAACGTTTAGTAGTACATCTCTGCAATACTTTCTGTGCCCCCCCATGTCGTTCTTGGGATTCTTTTTTGAAGGCTTGTTTTTGGGTGACGGGGGTGAGTAGAAACCGAGAGATGTGTCCTCCGGCAACACATGAAAATAGAAAACCGAGTCATTCTCCTACTGCTGTAAAGCAGTACCCGGTGGTCTGTTGCGGTAAGTGAGACTCCACAGGAGTCTTGTATTCAACCAACATCTGGCCGCCTTGAGAGATATAGGAAGCATCATCACGGAATACGGTCCAACCCCCAACGGTCCCGCGTTCTTTGGCGCCGTACAGAATGATTGATTACTCTTGTGGTGTGCTTATTCGAAACCAAAACGGGACGTGCGTGAGCTCGGTGTTGGCGGGACCTGTCTCTGCCGGTGTGACCGTGGGGCTGGTTGTTGGCCTAGACTCAATTCTTAAAGCGTTTTCTTCGGAACGAAAGAGGATCTACTCGATATTGCCTCCGTGCCACATGATGACGTTTGTTGGTGATGAAAGTTGGGTTCGATGAGGTTTGGGAGCACGTTGTGATTCAGGTCCCCGAATGTCGTGGTGCAGATGCTCTCATCCACTCTTTTCGTACCGTAGGCGCCCCTTGCGTACAATACCACGCGTACAAGCATTGTTCATTTTATTGTTGCTGCTGTCATGTTGGCCCACGCCCATTTTGTCTTTCGCGGAAGGGTATGTGGCTAGATAGCTAGGCTGACACGTGCGTTGTCTACTATAACGATGTTAACTGTTGCAAGGGCGGTGCGATTGGGCCTGTGTTGGAACGGTGGAGATGGTGGGCGAAAAGCGGAGAAAGACAGGCTGGATGTCTCTCAAATTGTGTACATGTTTCTAATAGTGTCTGTTGGTGGTTCATAGCCTTGGCCGAATGTTTTTCGATGCAGCTAAGCAATGAGTTTTGAGTGGGTTTGGGAAAAGGAGGGAAAGTTATACAGTGTAAAATATGGAAGGTTACAGGATAAATATGAAACCGAGAGTTACAGGATAAATATGAAACTTGATCTCGGATTGAACTGTTGGGTAATTTTGGTGTGGAGCACGCATCCTCTGACACATACGGCAAACAAGGTGTGTACGCTCTCAAAAGACGCTTGTCTGGTGTTGGGTCGACCCGTGAGTGGAGGCAAAGACCCAGATCCAACATCAAACCCAAGAGCAGACATGCAACACGTATGGAGCTCTCGAATTTTGCCTCTGCAACGAAAGGCGTGGACTTGACACCCCGACCGCGTTCGTTCACTTGTTTGTAAGAAGAGCATCTCCAAGCCTCGTGCCTCCAACACTTTACCTGGCTCTCCGCCGCACCACGTCAAGTCGCATGGTCGAAACTGCTCTGGAGACTCGTAGGCAACACACACTACTACATACAGTATCTCATCACCACAAGCCCTGTCCGTAGCTTCTGAGGTTTTGACAAAGTTGCTTTGCGGACAGATGGGTAGACTATGGCTCCCACCTTCATTGGTAAAGATACCAACTTTCTCGTACTGTGGCCGCGGGGCATTGTTTTCATCGTTCGCATTGTGGGAGCGGCAGGAGAATGGCTCTGGTACAACGACGCCCCAACCTGCCAACCTTTGTCTATCTTCTATCTTCACGAGAGCAAAGAAAGGGGAAAAAACTGAGTGAGGTGACTGAGGCATATACCTAAGAACCCATCCATTCTCCGTTGGCATCGTCGCCCTCGATACGTCCCCTCTGTCGGCGGCTATAACATTGCCAACCCATTTCCTTGGCCACTCGGCCGTCCTTGACTATCCTCTTGAGGACACTTCCGCCCAGAGCCAGCTCGTCAACAAGGCAAGGGGAAGGAAGGGTTGATGGATGATCGAGTGAGTGAGTGCTAGCATGTATGTCGATAATACACACATAACACATATATACATGATGTCAACGGAGGGAAGAGAGGAGAAGATCATGAGTGATGGCGGCGGGGGGGGGGGGTCGACAACTTGCTTGCACAATTTGGAAAAAAATTCGATGCACCCATGGGGACGCACATAAGCCATGCACCCATCACGCTTTTTTTTACCGACGGAACCACCCAACCAACCAAGAGCGACCTAGCAAGGCCCACACAACCTAGCACCTACTGCCCAGGTCAACACCTATCCAAGCCATACGAACCTAGGTCGATCGCATAAACACCAACCTAGCACCTATCTATCTATCCAAGCAATACCAACCTAGAGATTATCCCATCAATACCAACCTAGCGCCAATGCCGGCACACCAACAACCTAGAACTGAGCCACCCAGCGTTAACCTAGCCCTAATGCAGGCACACCAACCTAGAACTGAGCCACCCAAAGTCAACCTAGCACCGATTGGGTGCGTTAGGGATTAGCCCTTTTCATGTAAGTTGCAGGTTGGAGGGACAGAAAACTGCGCCTGCCTGTAGTAGAGCAATCATAGGTGGAAGAAACAAGAAACACATACATGCACGTTCGTTCGTGACGCTTGTTCCTCAGACAAGATCTCCGTCGATACAAAAGGTGTGGGTGCATCGCTTACATGCGTCCCTGTGGGTGGGTGCCATAAAAAAATTGGCACAATTTATTTGCGATCATGACGTTGAAACCACCAAATAAATTTGGCGTTTACCCTTTGCTCATTGTTATTCAATGCAGCAAGATAATCACGACGTTCAGAAATAAATTTCATAGAAGAACCAAACATAGAAGAAAAGTCAAACTGACTAACTTCGGAGGATTCGAACGGAGGTCGACGGCTCGACTAAACAGCAGAGTTATTCTTCTCCCTCGCTTGCTTCGGATAACGATCTCGCCCGCCCGCCCGTCCGCTCGTTGCTCTTCAGCCTGTCTGTCTGTGTGTTTAGTATTAGCATCGACCGCGCTAACCGTGTGCGTCATGGGCTAGTGATAATAACAACCACTCATGTTGTTGTAGCTCTCGCACCATCTTGGCCTTGTCGCCCAAAGGGTCATTGACGACAGACATCGATCGTCTACCACCACCGTAGGTTGCTTCAGATATCACGCTCCCTGGATCGATTTTCAAAGCTCGATTCCTCCACGACAAAGAGGATGCCAAATCAAAGGATACGTTTTCGGAAAGCTCGCCACGAGAGGGTTCCAACACCGCCATTTTCGGCACGGTCACTTCTTTTCCTGCTGAGTAATCGAGCTTCGCAAAATCGGTCCAGGGGGTGTAATATCTTTCGCAACCTACGAACCTACGGTAGGCACGGGCTCGGCGTACGTGCAACGTACATGGTGCGTCGGTTTCAGTGATTCAGCGTCGAGAAGGAAACAATGCACCAAAAAAGAACACGAACTGAACGGCCTGGTCACATACAGTAGATACGTTGGGTTAATAACAGCATCTGGCTTCTTTTGGCATGGAAACAACAACAACAGGTAGTAGGTAGGGTACGTTCTTCTTTCCTCAACAAGTATATTTCAGAGCAACGTGCATGTAGTGTACAGTTTGTCTGGCAAGCATGCGGCATATATATGTTGGAAGTACATATAGTGTACAGTTTGTCTGTTAGCAGGCATGCGGCATATGTAGGGCATCAGATGGTAGGAGCCCCCCAGAAAGTAGGGGCCCTCCACCAAGTACGGCCGGTGCAGGGTCGACGTGAGCCACTCCCTACTAAAGTACAAAAAAACTCGTTGGGTTTGAGCTCGATGGCGTGTTGTAGCGCCTTGATTGTGGCGCGGAGTTTTTGGAAACACCGTTCAGAGTGACCTCGGTCGGTTATGAGCAGCCGAAGAGCGTCCCGAACGGTGTCATCATAGCGACAACTATACACCGACCGATGCATGCATTGATATTAAATGCATTCAGGAAACAGGTTTGTTTTCGTCCATTCAGAGAAACCGAAATCTATTGACAGCAGTTTCGTCCATACCGAAGTTACGTCGAGATACACACACACAATGTGTTCAACACCGCGCCTACAAGGCATTCATTCGCCGAAAAACGTTCAGAATTTTGGTTGTCTGTACATGTAAATACGGTGCCAGTCAGGGCCTATCTTATTTCTTCACATTGAAAACCGTTCCGGGTCCGTCCGTCCCCGCTCAGCACCTAATATCCGTACTGACTGGTCCACCCGACACAGAGCGTTCCGTGGTCTCAAGCAAACTACCCAAAGAAGGGTACATATTTCCATGCGAAGACGTGAAAATGGTGACAGTAGCCGAATTTTTTCACTGCAAGTGCACGAGGCGTTGAAACCACCGTTCGAATCCCGTGCATGTTGTCGGCTTTCGACGCGATCTATTTTACAACCTATCTATGTACTGTACACATAAACCGTGTTTTCTGGCGATACATACATTGTGTGCGTGGGACTGCTGTGCACGGGGTTGTCTTACAGAGCGATCGAGATGGCTTTCGGGAAAGAGTATACAATGATTCGTTTGCGGGTTGCCCTCTGCGAGGCAGTGTGGTTACCAACCGCCAAGGTTGGCGACGCTGGCTCGTATCTCTACACTCTGTAGCTCCGTAGCGGGTACACAATCCGTTACTTCGGCCCGGGCCCAACAGGCACCTAAAACCTAAAACGCGGCGCAACTACGCGGACGACCCACACACCATCCACACATCTCCGCGTCCGCTCCTCTCGCAGCACCGCTCGCCGCCCTCACGAAGCATGGCAGACCGGAAGCACACCTCACGCACCATTCGCAAAGAACCTGTGATGGGCCAACACCAGGCTGCTGCTGCTGCTGCTGCTGCTGCTGCTGCTGCTACTGCTTCTTCTGGAAGCGGAGGGCGTGGTTCAGGCACCAAGAAAAGAAGAGTCACAGACGCTTCCGAGCTGCCCCCGGCAGCGAAGATGGCGGTGCTTGATGAAGCTACCGAGCTGCCGCCGTTCGGGTTCAACATTGCGGTGCTAGAGCAGCGGTTGAAACATCGCCTAGGGCTCGAGATCGCTCAGGTACGGAGTGATGAGTTTGGCAACGGCAAGCAGAGCGCGCTGCCCGTGTCCGAACATTTGAATATTTGAGTAAAGATCACCATTTTTTTTTTTTTCGGCTCTCAAATCTCGTGTCTCCTTCCAATTGGTTGACTGCTCCCACTCCGCTCCCCCTCCCGGCCATCTTGCATGGGAGCACAATGTTTGCTGTTGCCTGTGGATGGGTACTTCTCTGTCCATTCTTGGCATTATGCATGCTTTTTTTTTTCGCCGGACTCCACAAGGTCTCCTTTGGGGCTACTGCATCGCTGCCGGCAGTTTGTGACAAGCGTCCCGAACGGCGGTTGGTGTTCCTCGCCTCTCCCCCCCCGCAGCAGTGCGTGCAACAACCTGAGAGCCAACTATGGATAAACTTGGAGGACATGAGCAGCCCATCGAGAGGGCAAACGCCGACCCCACGCACGTTCACAGCCCCTCCCCCCCCAAGGGGTGGTTGACCACTGCCGATCTCTTCCTATATCCTATATCCTATATCCTGGTTTTTGCGGCGAAATAGACTCAGACGCGGAAGATAATATAGCCACGTTGTGTCTCTTCGGCACGAAAATCACACCATTGTTGCGCGTGGCCGGGCAATGCTTGGCGTGACACCAAGCAGTGCTCCGCGCTCAGAGGGCCTCATGTATATGATTGGTTGTCTACAACAGTCTCTGTCCACCACCCTGCACCGCTGTGCTGCTGTATCTAACAGCTTGCCAAATCGGATAATGTCTATAGGACTGATGTTACCACCTGCTGCGTCTGTTATGACATCTTCGAGGGAAAGTCTGTTGCAGTGCAACCCCTTCCCACTTCAAAATGAAAAAAATCTTCAGGCATCGCTCGCGCGCCTCGCCACATTGAAAATCCCAAGCTGTAAGTATGTAGGTGTAGGTAAATAGGTTATTGTTGTTTGTTTGTCTCCACGATAAAAACTGTTCCGGTCTCGCTTTTTTCGCTATGTGTCTGCATTCGTCTGTTGCTGTACACGCACAACAGCCGGTCAGACTGCCCTCCATTAGTTTTTTATATTCTTGTTTTTCTAAAACAATTTATGCTCATCCACAGAGAAGAATCCGGGATAAAGTTGTAATGAATTTTCTTGGAGAAAGCTGGACAACATTAAATCTGAGCACCGTTTTTTCCACGCATTGCATACGAGATGAGATTGTTTGTGGTTTACAAGTGACTGCTGTTTTTCCGAAAGCTTAGCACTACGGTGAACATCGGAAAAGAAGATAAGTTTTTACGGAAATACAACGAAACAACATACATTACATTTCAACCCGAAAGGCCAACTATTTTGTACGACCCTCTTACCCCCCCCCCCCACACCCCGTTCGTCCCCCCTTTCCTGACCGACCCCTGTTGGTTACCCCCCCCTTGTCCAATTTTTTCACCAACACCTCCCGATGACGACGCCGAAAATTATGAAACCAGTCCGCAATCAACGCGTGCTTGTCGCCGTACTACAACCTGAGAGAGTGGGAGGACCGCTACGTGGTCACGTCCCTGGGCTCTGAGGTGCAGGAGTTCGGGAGCGCCGGCCACCCGCCCCGCTTCCCTCTCGAGGAGTTCCTCCTGTGCACCGACGACGAGCAAGAAGCTGACGACGGCGGAAGCGGCGGCAGCGGCGGCAGCGATGGCGATGAGGCGGACATCGAGAACGGTGCGGAATCCGAAGGCGAGGAGGAGGAGGAGGAGGAGGAGGATGCAGTTGATGCCGCCCGTGTCGGGCATAGTGGCGGAGGCGGTGTAGGCGGGAGAAATGCCGGCGGCGACGGCGGTAGCACCGGTGATGATGTCGGGGCGGGACGAGTTACCAACCGGCACCAAGAAGAAGAAGAGGAGGAGGAGGAGGTGGAGGAGGAGGAGGAGGACGCAGCTGCGGGAGCAGGCGACGCCGGCGGCGGCGGAGGGCCCCGAGCAGACGACGGAGGGGGAGGGAGGGCGAGGTCGGGCGGCGGAGCCGGGGGCTCTGCTGCTGCCGCGGGATCGGCGTCATTGTCGCTCTCCTCCACCCCGCTTTCCTTCCGGGCTGCTGCCGGTCACGCCACCAAACTCCCGTCCTCCGGCGAGGGGCTCCGCGGTATCAGCAGCAGCAGCAGGAAGCGTTCCCACAGCGACACCGGGGTAGGTTGGGACGGCGACGGCGACGGCGACGGCGGCGGCGGCGGCGGCGGGGGTGCGATCATCAAGGTCGATGGCAGCATGGCAATGGCGTGAAAAATGCAATGTGGCTGACTTTCGGGGTGGCAGCAGCGCTGCGCTCTTTTCGTGCGGTGCTAGACTAAGATAGGAGGTGTGCGAGAGTAACTCTCGGTCTCCCTCGTGTAGCCCCTCATCAACGAGCGGTTGCGCGCCGCGCCGCCCCGTGCTGCGCCGTGCGAGCGGCGGGAAGAACTCCAATGGGAACACTGCCGGTTGGGTTACCAAGCAAGCACACAACCGCAGCAGTGCAGAAATAGTTTGAAAGGGTTATGGCGTGGCGGTAGAAGGCACGAGAGGAGCAGCAGAAGAGGGTTCCGGCCTACGCCTACTATAGTCTTGGCTCTGCCAACGGTGAATCGTGTGATGCAACACAGGCTAGCCCACTCTCAACCAACGCTCTGTGCTGTAGAGTGTGCGCGAGATGGCTAGAACGCCTGGAAGGGCTTGCGTGAACGTTTGCTGTGTTGTTCCGTCAGACACCCTTTGCGATTCTTCAAGCGTTCGCTTTAGCGTTGCGGGATAAGCGTGACAGTTTTTGGGCCTGTGGGTGTTTCAGTCTCTTTCCTGCGAGGAATGATGACGACGAGGGGCGTGTTGTCGTCTGGCCTTGTGCCTGCTTGATGGAAAGGTGAAGGTTTCGCGGCCGTGCCACAATACGGGATTGGCTGAGTCGTTGGGGGCCGTGGTGCTCAAGCCGACTAGCGGGCTTGGTGAAATGACGGGACGAATAGCTCAATGTGGTGTGTGCTAAGGGGCGATGAACGCAATGGAAACTGCAGATGACCTCCGTGTCGTCTTCTGCTATTACAATCTGGTGTCTGCATGCGGGCGTTGTTTGCTTGTTTAGTCTTTAGTGCAGCACAAACTTGCTTAGGTGCTTATTTGTTCGTGTTTCTGTTGATTGTCTTCGACGACCGCGCTCTTTACCGGCTGGCCAATGTAAAAAATGTCAGTCTTCTGTGTGTGTTGTTTTTATTAGCATCGACCGCGCCATCGACCGCGCCATTAACCGGCTGACCAATGAATGAAAGGCTTCAAGTCTCAGCGTGTGTGTAAGAATGGTGGTTGGTCTCTTTTTCCTTGGCGTCGACGGGCTTGACCGGGTGGCCGATATAACAGACGGCCGTGTTTATGACTGGGCGAAAAAAGCGGGAACCCCCGGTGTTGTGTACGTGTGTGCTTGCGTGTGCCGTGTTCTTTAGCATGATCGTCCGCGCCCCCACGAGTTGATGCGCTATAGCGAGTAGTCACAAGCGTCGGCGGGCAGGCGAAAACACCGAACGGTTTCACGGTTGTAAGAGGACGAGCGTGTTTCGCTGATAGTACGGGGGGCGTGCGGCTGCGGAAGGAGGGAGAAATACAAATTTCGCTCTGTCTGGTGTGCTTTTCCTTCGTTGGCTTGGTGCGCGACTGTAATTGGTACCTGTGTAGCAGCCAAGCGTGTGCGTGTCCTTTAAGGTATGGATCGGTGTGGGTGGTGTGGCGTGTGTGTGTTTGCGCGTGTGTTCCGCGTGGAGGCACGGAGTAGTATTTAGTGAGTGGTGACTGGTGGTTCAGACATAAAAATGAAGCATGGTTGACGGTGTGTCTGGTCGGTGCGCTCGCGCGTCGTCAATGGTTCAATCGCTGCCGTTTTTGCAGCAAGCGGGTTTTGGAACCACCATCACCACACCAGAAAAAAAAAAGGGTCATCGAGCGAGTGCACGAAAGTGCACGAACGAGCAAGGCCTGCAAGCGGAGTGTTGGCTAACGGCTATAATGCTTCAGAACCCTATTCTCAGGTAGAGTTTGAACGCACGGAACTATGTACTTTGCAGGGGGTTCTTGGTCCGTGCGATCGCGGATGGAAAGGTGTGGCTCCACGGAAGTGGTGGAGAAAAAGGCATAGCGTACTACGTTCGGGAAGTAGATGCCGCCAGTGTAGTAGATGTTGTGGTGAGACGCGAGTGTATTGCATCTGGGCTAGCCAAACGGGTAGTTGGTGTTTTCTATCCTCGTTCTACCGCGAAGTGGCAAGTATTGCGTACACGCAGCATGTCAGAAAAATAACAAGACGTGAAATCCTCATGTGACAGCACGTGATCATCCATGGCAGACGCGCGCCAAAGGCCATGTTATGCATGGCAGACGGGTGCCGAGAGCGCCTGAAAAATGTCGGTGGCGTCTTTACCAGGAGAACGAAACGACGTTCCGTCTCGAATATTATTATTGTAGGACCCCGCAGATGCACGCAGTTTCCTGAATGGTCGATTTTTAGTTAGCCAATAGTCGAAGGACTAACGCATCACCCCCCGCACCGAATTTTCGTCGGAGGAAATCACACACACACTCTACATCCGATCACATCATTGTTTAGGATGGTTCCCCCGAACATTCCGAAAAATGCAAAGAACGTCGAAAAAAATGTCCCAACCTTCCGTTCGATTGTCTCTACAGCTGGCAAAATCCATTGCGGGTCTCCATGGTCAACAACACCGAACGACAATCAAGGGAAAACGGATCGAACCATAGACTTCTTGAGATACATTCTGTGGGGAAATGAAAGGGCAAGTTTCTTTCCGTTGTAGGTGGTGCCACATACACTTTTTCTACCTTGAGAGAGAGACTCCACACATTGTCCGTAAACCTGGGCGAACCCCTTAAAACTCCCTTTTTTTCAACTTTTCTTATCCCCCCTTAGCTACAGGGAGAGCAACAGCGCACCAGCAACCATCCGCATCTCCTAGTACAAAATAGAGATAAAAGTAAAGCAAAAGCGATGTAGCATCACTAATTGTGACAAAAATAATATGCGGACAGGATGCCAACCAACTATCATTGATCAACATCCAATGACATCTCAACCCAATTTCACCATCGACAAAAACACGAATAAAGAAAAAACGCGAAAAAACGTGGTGTTCGTTGCGCCAACTACGTTTGAGTCATCGCCGCCACCCTTTGGCGATTGGTTTGTCTAGAATATAGAAAACATACCAGCTATATATACGAACCAAACTGTTGGCTTTGGTTCTCGCGCCCACCTCGCTGCTATTTAATTTACTGGCTACTTTGAATCCCATCACTCCAGAAAATGAAATGATCCCGTGCTCTGTATCTATTCTGAACGCTGTGACTTGCCTGTCGTAGGTAAATGTGTATCAGACGTAGTCAAGTAAATCCTCGAAGGAGGTCAAGTAATACGCATTCCCCGTACCTACAGCACCGTGATTTCGTGTCAAGTCATTCAAGCGAGGTGAAGTGAAACAAACGAACGATAAAACAAAAACACCGAGATTTCCGGAAAAAACAGTGAAGTTGGCCAATGTGTGATAACCAATGTCTTTCTCTGGTGCACCCTCCCTCCACTAACTATCCACAGGTTATAACATGTGATATAGCATAACATGTGAAATAGCGTATAGTGCAAGCACCGGAGAGACGGGTGCACGGGCACACTGCTTGCGACACTTCTCAGAACCAAGAAATGCCTCCCACACACAGGAACAGGCAGTAGCAGCGGGGACGCAGCGGCCAGCTACTCTTACACACAGCAGCTCCAAAGCGTCACCATTCGACCCCCTGCACACACGCATCAACAAAACGAAACGCCAACAACAACACAAGAGAGAGAAGAAGGAAGCAGGTGCAAAGCACGCAGTCACCAACAACCCGTGCACTGCTGTTGCTCCACCGAGGTAGATTGCAAGACAGAAAAAGAAGCAGAAAAATACAACACGATTCACGAAAAAGAAAAACATAATGGTGGGGGCGTTTGAACGGCGGGAGCGGCGCAAGCGGTGGGGCCGGCTTCCTTTCTGATGCACGCCGCTCCGCCCCCGGCCGCTAGTCGAGCCTCGAGCTAGGGAGATGATGAGAGGTTGATGATGGTCTCTTCTCCTACATATCGATGCAGGCCGCTCGCTCCCCGCGGGAATCGAGCTGCGGAGATGGTTAGAGGCCGATGATGGCATCTTCGGGGTAGCCCCTTCGGACCAGGTAGTCGGTCACCTTTCGCGTGAAGAAATCTGGCCCTGTTGTTGACGTTGGAGGTCGCAAGCGAAGGGGTGGGGCAGACAATCAGCATTCGGGGGAGGGGGTAGTTCAGCAGATTTTCCTGGTATTGAAAAGTCAGGGCTTGTCGTAGGCAGAGAGGCAACCCAGAGAGGGGGGGGGGGGGGGGGGGTGCGTTGCCTGTCTTAGTCTCTTAGGCACACAGACGGACCACGCTTCTCTCACGAGACAGTCTCCGACAAGGTGGAGCACCGTTCCCACTCCTATACTAGAAATACCTTCGTATACTAGAAGTAACTTCGTGCACCTCACTCGATCGGGTGCTCTGGACGTTGCTTCTTCCAGATGTTATTCCACACGAATGAATTCTTGCTTGGTCCCCTTTTCAGTCTGTCATCTTCCACCCCATGTAATCAACCTGTTCTGCCGGAATTGGCTCAACTCTTTCATGACTCTCGGAAAAGGAACACCCTCCAACACTCGACAAGTGGCGAGGTTGAGCTACGTACTACAGCTACACCGGAAATGGCGCTGTCGCACGCGTTCGCAGATAACCCCACCCTAAAGCAAAACGGCTGAGGATGAGCATTAGACAGAAAAACTTCGCGCGTGAAGCGTTAATCATACGCTTTGGGGGTTGTTGCCCGGTGACCACGCAAGGCTTTCGTGTTAGTTGGACCGGTACGGATGTCATAAGGACTACTACTGCTACTCTTGTGAACCATACCTAACAACAACAACGACGACGACGACCGTACCTTTGATGCTCCCGTGTACCGTACCTAACAGCAACAACAATGACGACCATTACTCCCGTGATCCGCACCTGCCACCGCGGCTAGGGTGCCGATCTTAAACTCGGGAGAGGCCGCGTTAACGTTAGCGTTGGCCTCGAGGTGGCTCCCGAACAGGTCCCTCTCGACGATGCAGCTCACGTCCAGCTTGCGGTGGTTCCGGAAGAAGGCCTTTTCCAGCTCCGAGTAGAGGGCGAAGTCCTCGGCCTTCTCGTTGAGCCAGACCACTGAGTGGTGCACACGTTGTATTATTCGTTGTTGTTGGTGGTGTGGTCCTTGAAGATATTGTTGTTGTTGTTATTTGGTCGTGTTGCGTGTATTGCTGTGGTTGTTTTCAAGTTCAGATGCAGAAGCACCATCCAACGACGCAGCTAAGAACGATCGGCCATCGGCGATCGGTCCTGTCAATCCTCCGTTCTCTCAAAGGACGCGTGGCCCTCGGTCTAACAGACGAGGCACGCCAAAACATGACCCCGGTCCGTCCCTATATGAAAGCCACCGCCTGGGGGCTCCGTGTGATCAACGCCTTATCGTATTACAACAACAAAAAAAATTCGTGGGGACTTATGCTACAACCCGGGTGAATCCCCTCTCACCCCTCCTCTCACGCCTGTTCATGCCTGAGTAGGCCAACCCGGCACCTGACCCCCCCCCCCCCCCCCAAACACAATTTTTCAAGCCAATCCACGAAACCCCCCTCCTCTCACCGGACGCGGAAGCCACCGAAGACGACGAGGAAGGCAAGAGCTCGTTCACCATCTGGATCATCGGCACGACGCCCACCCCATTGGCGACGAGGACGAGGTCCGTTATCGGCTGGTTAGCCCCCCCGTACACCAGCCCCGCGCGCCCCGGCTTCACCGCTATCTCGTCTCCTGTAAGGTTTTGGTTGTGGTGGTTGTTGAAAAGGGAGAGATGTGTTGCATTTTGCGATCGACGCCTTGCGCGAAATGGGGAAGGGCGGGGGGCTGAGCTTTAAATGACTCGCTGCCTAGACAAAAACCGAGAGGGAGAACGCCAAGCCCGCGATGATTCACAGCAGCAGCAGCAGCAGCAGCAGCAGCAGCAGCGCAAAGCACAAGATACAAGGAAGCGGCACGTAGTAGGCACAAACAAAAAAGAAAACATTCTCGCCAGCCGGTCATGGCGGTAGAACCTACGGTACCTCCACCGACACGCACATACACCCAAAACACCAACGCTAAGACACCTTCGCACGCATGCGCACATTAATCTTTTTCACACGCACCGAGGGGCAGGTTGTCGAGGAAGCGGGAGAACTCTCGGTTGCTTCGGGTGGTCGGCAGGCCGTCGTCCAGCTCGGCCCCGTCCGTCGCCTTCATCACGACGACCTCGAAGGCTCCCCGCTGCTTGCGGGGTGTGAGAGGCACGTAGTTGCCCTGCACCACCTAACGCACCCCCCCCCCAAAAAAAACAAAACAAAATGGCAGGTGAACGAACAGGCACAGACCATAATTTTTCTTTCTATAATATACTAAGTCATCACAGCAATAGACTTCACAGCAGCACCAGTCGTTCGTGCGAGAAAGGGGGAAGCGAGCTAGCTCTCGACGAAGCGTGACAACACACCAGGGATAGCGCGTGTGCGCAGCAGGAGAGGAGTACGTTACTATTTCCTGCCGATGCGGTGCACTGACCACAGCACGTATAGGTATATTGAGGTTAGAACATTTTCTCGGGTGAACGAAACGGCAACAGTTATCCCGCCCCTCCAACATAGACAAGGCGCTCCCGCTCCGGCTTACAGGGGCACACCGCTCGCCACAGCAAAATACTAAATCATGCGCGTCGCTGATTTGAAGTGAAGACAAAAAAAAAAATGGGCGGGAGTGGGAACCACTACAATGAAGGTCGGTCTGAGACCATGTGTCTAAACGTGGCTGGCGAAAAAAAACGAATGACGAGCACTTCGAAACGCCGGACATGGTGAAGGAAAGCATGGCGGTGAAACGGGAACCAGAACAGCAGTAGCAGAGCATTTGCCGTCCCCTCGCGTATGCATACGTCTCCTGACAACTGTGCCCCATGATTTTTATTATCCCATTGGTTCTCGAGGTAAGTATTTCACACCTTTCGGTGCAATTGATGGACGCACCAGCAAACCTTCTACTTTTACGAAAGAAGGGAGAAAGATATTCGTATTAAGCCTCAGCGACAATTGACACGCTAAGTCCTACAACAGGTACAAGAGTACACCCTACTCCTGAGAAGCCTTAGCCTTGCACTCGTAGACGAACGACCAGGCTGCAACGCGAAGGTTAACAGCAGCGGATCAAGTGGTCCGTCTCTGAAGGACCCAGTAACAGGGGGTTCCCCTTTGGGTATACAACACCCCCCGGACAACGGAGCATACTCCACCAGGTACCCCGCAGACGCCTATATTCATTGATGTGTATACTTCTGTTTGCTTGTTTTTGAATGTGAAGACAACAACACACTTTTCCGTATACCTGGTTGGAGGCATCCAGCCCGCACAACGTCAGCTCCTGTCCGAGCTCGAGCGGCAGGACCGCGTCAGGCGAGCTCTAGATAACACGACGAAGGCGACGGGTAACAATAGAGACCAAACGCCGGGGCAACAGAAAGAGTTGAACAACAACAAGAGATGACATGCCGGGTCGTCGGAAGTTTCCAACGCGTAAATGCGTTGTTGTTGACAAGAGCGGCTCCGGTGGCAATTGAAACGCACGGACTAATGGGCGGAAGGACGGCCGACGGCAAGATTGGCACAAGCACCGGTAGCAGTAGCGGTAGCAGAAGCGGTAGTACGCTTTGTTGCCATGGAACGTAGCGACCACGGGAATGGTAGCAGTCAGCAGCAAAGGGGGAGAGGGGGGGGGG